GAGACCCTCAAGCTCTGGGCCTCCATCTTCAATACCCTCTCTGTCATTTCTAATTGGCAAACCCCATATCATAGAGACCACTTATCATCTCCCGAGTGGTTTGACATTCTCACAACTGTGGGGAATTATTCTAATGCTCGCATGAGCATGCCAAGCCTTCAGCTGGAGTTCATGTATGATCCCGGGGTCATGATTGCATTTTCAGGAAGGATAGTGAGGCATGGGGTCCATGAAGTAGCAGGGGATTGGGTTGCTTGGGCATGGTATATGAGGGATTCTGTCCATATTTATGCAGGTGTTCCTTCATGTGGATGGGCCATGATGGATTCGGTAAAGATTCCATTCAGTGAAACAACGCCCAGGGTGGGTCATTAGGATATTCATAAATTCCATACCTCTGACAAAGTGATCGAGCTCTGACTGAATGTTGAGCATTGAATACTTTGGATCAGGTCGTAAGCATTGGGTATTGAGCACTGAGCACCACACGCCGAGTCAGTCCCGGGTTCCGACCACCCATAACCAACCACTCAGGCATGAGTACTGAGCACCGAGTAACATAGTCCTACATCCAGTATCACCGAGTTAATATTTGCCTTCCTAGCTCATCGGTCTATACAATCAATAGTTCTATCGGCCCATCTGTCTATACAATTGGAGTTCCACCAAACTCCACCGATTTCTGTCCTCTGGAATTCCCCGGACTTCCATTGGACTTCCCCTCTGTCCCCCAGAAATTAAGGGCACGTACTCGGGTAAGGGGCACAGCGCACAAGCTGAAGCCGAAGCCCTTTGAGTAGTCTCCCCCTTGAGCACGACCTTAACATATACAATCTACAGGTTGATCGGCCCATCCGTCTATTCAATTGACAGTTCTATTGGCCCATCCATCTATATGATGTACAGTCCCATTGGCCCACTAGTCTACATCATTCAAATATCTCGGCCCTCCCATCTCTATCAAATCCCTTACACATAGTGGCAACATTGGCCCATCCATTACCATTGAGTATTATATACACATTGGCCCACCCATCAATATTGAGGATATTATGACATCAGCCCATGGTCCTCTGGCCCGTTTAATATGGGATATTATGTCCCTCAGTTGGCCCGTCTAACATGGAGTTGTACACTGAATGGGCTCACATTTACCAATACATCAATTTCAGAATATGAAATTGATTGGGCTGCACTAACTATTGCCCATGCAATGGTCAATCCCAGTGAGTGTCCCAAAATATTTTTAACTGTCATGAATTCTAAAGCAGAAGTATAGTCAATGTTGATTGGGATGTGGATCAATATGCTGACAGGGTCAAGTTGTTGCCACCGAATCAGAAAGGCTCAAGAAGTACTTCTCTGAGGCAGTGCTCGGCAAAATTTCGACTCTGGCCACCATTGTAGATAAGCATGGCAGAATCTTGATGGTTTACCTCCCCAATATTTTGTCACCTTCTCATCTAGTACGTTTCTGGATGGGATTTTCCCTCAGGGGCTGATTGATTAATTAGGATTACATTAACAATGCCACCTCAGGCTTACAAAATTCTCTTCTTGATACCCTGCCACCCATTTCAGATCAAAAAAAAGTTGGCAAGATGATGGCTTTGTGGTGCCAGAGGGAGGGGGTGAATTTGGGGCTGGTAGGATTACTGTGTCACCTGCATATATGCAAAGAAAAGAGGTATTGTATTTTCAGTGCTGAATTTTCCCAGTTCTCACTTGGTGATTAGCAATTGATAGATCCTCTTGTAATGTCGGAGTCTTACAACTCAAAGGAGATCCAAAAATGGCTAGGAGCTTTAACAACATCAGAACTTCTATGGAACTCCATTACTGCAGCAGTGGCACCAGAACTTTTTGAATCAGGCTCCTCTGCATTTTCCAAGGTTGTCAAGGAAGTTAGGCAGCAAAACAATAATTTGGCTCCAGTGGATTCTTGGCCCTCTATCTTTTCAGGGTTGGAAATCATTGCCAACCAAACAACCTTCAGCCCCAGAGATCCTGGTGGATCTCCTTCACTTTTTGATCTTCTGGTCAGTTTAGGTCAAAATCATCATGCAACTCTTTCTTTGGCCAACATCCATGCAGAGCTAGACTATTCACCTGGTGCAATGGTCTACATTGCCAGTAGGGTACTGGAGCACTCTGTGGGTCCTTGTTAGGTACCGTGCTGGCTCAAGAGGCAGAGGGGTCGGGGCTTGGCTTCAGCTCTTGCGCTGTGCCCTTAGCCGAGTATGTGCCCCGAATTTGGAGTGGGTCCGACGTTGTCCGACAGTAGGATGAGTGGACCACTTGGGTCCGCTTTGAGGGTCAGGGAGTAAGAGCTGCTAGCGGTGGACCAACTAGGAGTGGAGCGGAGAAGGCAGGGAACAATGTGGAGGGTGGATAGGAGCAGGGGGAATGTTTTGGTGGGAGCGGAGAAGGCGAAGGATAATGCGGAGGATGGAAAAGGGTCAGAGGGGAATATTGAAAGGGGTGGAGAAATAAGGGAGAGACTTAGAGCACAGCTCTAAGTCGGAGCGGAGGGTCGGAGGGTCGGAGGTGACAACAAGTTGAAACTTGTGTCCAGAGGAGGCAAGGTCCTACTGAGAATTCTCACAAGTAGTAACTGTGAGAAGACAAGTAATATTAAGACTAAGGAAAAATATCTAAGTACAGGATATGTTATATACTTCTATGTGTGAGGCAGTGATCAGGATAACTATGTAGTAAAGCTATGTACCAAGGATATAGTTTGTAAGTACTTTACATAGGCGAAGACATAAGTTGGAGCAGATATCAATATGTACGCGTCGGATCAGCGATCGGGCGGTAATAGAAATTACTGGTGATCTGGAAGTGAGGGTCTATGTACCGAAAAGGAAAGCATATACCTAAAAGGGGAAAGAGGTCCAGTTGAATGGAGAGATTATGGAAGGGGACCGGTTCAGCGGTTCAGCGGACGCGTAGGGTGGAGTGCGGACTTGTGATTGGGCAGAGCGGAGGGGGTCAGAAAGCAGAGTGGATATTGATATGGGAGTGGTCGGATCAGGTATATGACAGTCCTTGGATTAATGGAGAAAGAATTGTGGTTGCCCATTTCATGAAGGATGCTGTGCATGATAGAGTGAAAGTGCCAAGGCCAAGTTTTCCTATGCAGAGGAACTTTTTAGAGTTGGTAGGGAGGAAACCCAAACACATGGGTCAGAGAGCCAATAAATTACAAATATAGTTAGGATAGGAACAGGACTGTTTTGGGGTGTGTGGGCGGTGGTGGTGGACTGCCCCAATAATGCCAATGTTCTTGTTGTTTTGTCCCCTTTGACAGACTCTCAATTTCATGAGCTCGCAAATCACACCGAGGAATAGAAACAGGGTCAGAGTCCAGCCATCTTCATCTGGAACTCGCCCATCAAAAAGAAAAAGAGGCGCTTATAAATATGCATATTGTTATGATCAACGTTCACCGAATGGCAAAGGTTTCACACAACCACTAGGACTCATCAAAGAGTAAGAGCAAGGATAAGATTGAGAGTGAACGTCTGAGTCTACACTGGGTAGGAACGAAGAGGTTAAGTCTAAGGAGTACTACTGACTACGACCTAAACTATATACTACTCTCTAGGCGGAGATATCTGAGTATGAAAGGTAGTGATATATCTATATAAGATCATAACATTGCGCCTAGTGTATAGGGCGTCTTATCAACCAATCAACTACAAGGAAGGGGAAAGGGTCCATAGGGGTATCAGGTGATTAAGCAGGGTTCTCAGGGTACTGCTTCTATTCAGGGTAAGCGGATATTAAGAAGGGTGTGAGAGAGTTCTGTGACAAGAAGTCTCGAGCGGTGATTAAGGATCTCGATAAGAGATGGGATCTGGAGATGTATCGGGTACGATCGGATCTAGGGGTTTCTCCAGGGTCTTCGGTAATGAGCATGCTTCTCTATGAGTGGCGCTTCTGTGATAGGGGTTCAGGGTTCTAGCTGTGACTGTGCAACAGGTTCTTATGTAAGGGGTTCGGTGAATGACAGAGGTAACTCTTAACATGTCATGTGTGGGAAGTGAAGGTCTGCGATGTGAAAGGATGATGACTCTTCGAGAGATGACTCGTAAGGGACTCTCGGTTATGGTTTGATCATAGAGGCGTGTAGATGCTTATGATGTAGCCGGTTGCCTAATCGTAGGACTTCTAAGGATGTGATGACTTCGGATGTCTAGGGTTACGGATATAGATGGATGACGTTGATGTAGTATAGATGTGAAGTAAAGATAGTGATCGTTAATCGGTTATCCATCTTATCTTATCAGGGATCTATATAATCTAATCTTATCGGATAAGGTGACTTAGGGTTCGATAATCGAAATTTAGATGCAGTTGGTAACATTCATGACACATATATCCCTTCAAAAACGCGGAGGGGAAAAGATTTGTGGAAAGAAGCTAATGCATCATTTGTCTATGAGGACTCTGATAGTGAGATAGAAGTGGCTTCACCATCAAAACAAAAGAGGCATCACCATATTGAAGATCATATACTGGTGGAATATGACCAAGAGGTTCATGGTGATTTTTGGATGGGAGGCTTGGATGGTATGATAAGAAAAACAAAAGTGAGTTCATTGAATTTTGAAGTCTCAAGTTTTTAAAAAAAAATCATGTGCAGACCCAAAATGATTTCCTTCAAGATTACTTGCCTTGGTGCACTGAATATCTTTCAGTGTTATTGGAGTTAGAGCAGCTGGTCAACGATGGGAAATGCAAAGATTGTGGAGAAGGAGAGGGGTTGATCCAGTGTTTGTCTTGCTCAGGAACACATGCTTGGTGTCCTTCTTGTGTTGTTAAAGCTCATCAACACAACCCCTTCCACAACCTTCAACTCTGGAATGGCAGGTTCTACGAGACTACTACCCTGCAGGCTCAAGGGTATATAATGTATCTTGGCCATGGGGGGGGAACCATGCCCCAATATCTCACATCAGCCAGACCCATCTCCCTGGGAAGATCTTGGGGCCATGGAAGATGTGTTTGCACAGGAGGAGGGGGATACAATTAATGACATGCAGTTAGGAGTATCTAACCTAGTCATTGTGCACTCTACTGGTGTTTACTCACACAGTGTATCATGGTGCCAGTGTTCTGGAGCTGAGAAGGCCCAGCATCTCCATCTCATGAAAGCAAGGTTATTTCCTGCCAGTATCACTCGCCCTCAATCTGCTTTCACATTTGATGTCCTGGATAACTTCCTCATAGACACTTTGGAGTGCAAGACTTCAGCCATGAGTTTCTATCAAAAGCTCCATCGGTTCACGAACAATGCATTCCCTGATAAAATACTGGTGAGTAATTTTATATGATTGTGTGCCCTGCTGATAGGACAAAAAGGACCGTTACCGTGAACTTATGCGAGTGTCACGTATATGGCGGGATTTGGTTAATAAAAAAAGGTTTGGGTTTGGACATGACATCAAATGATCCCCTGGTCCAAGGGATTTAGCCCTTTATTGCCCAGCATGTCCACAACCTGGAATCAACTTGCCAATGTCTTGGAGATATGACTATGAAGAGTAAGCTGACTTGTAACTATTGCAGTAGTATGTCACTCATTATTGGTCTGTGGTAGGTGGTTAGTTATGCAAAGATATGTGGTCGATGGAAATTTCACAGCACAACATATGAAAATGAAAATTCCGGAAGATGATGTTTCTCTAGCAGATGGAAAGGGATACATGGTAACAGAGGGACCTTATCAAGCTCACATCCATGATTCTGTAGAAGAGAGAGAGGCAAGTGATGATTTTGGATGACCGGTTCCTCCTGACTTATAATATTTTTGAAGAAATCCACTTGCAACAATCATCAGGCAGTGAATGAAGCAAACATCCAAAGAAGCAACCTAAGAGCTACAGGGGTTGGGGCACCAGCATGTGCTAGGCACGGATGCTTTGTTCCTCATGCAGTGGTAGACTTCCAAAAGGGAGAGTGGTTTGTGATTGTTTTGCTATTTCAGACAATGGACTGACCCTGTAGTCAGGCACATGAACATGGACTATTCCATTTGCAATACAGTGAAATATATGCCCGAACATATTGGCAGTGTGCTCATCATCTATGATGTTGCATGTCAGTGGAGTATTCACTTTGCTGAACGGGTGGACCAGAGCTATCATCTGTCCCTTCCTGAGGGGACTGAAATATTATCTGCAATTGGCAAGTTCCATTTGAGCACACATAAGTTTCAATGCTTTCCTAGGTTCAGCCTGAATTTTATAACCAGAGCCGGACATATTGATGGGGAAATATTAGAGATGCTCTGGGCTCCTTTCAACAAGATTTCCCCCACTGCAAGATCCATGTCTTTGGCTCACCGAAAGGAAGTATTGGATGACCATATGTGGGATTCCAATTGGAAGAAGCTGGTTGGCATTGGCAAGTCCCCTTCATTCTGGTTTCTGTGACTTCGCCTGACATAAAATTGGCAAAAGTCAAGTCATTACTCAAAAAGTATTGTCCAAGCCCTACAGGGTGTTAGTGACACTCAGGGTCCATACGAGGAATTAACCAGATCACTTGATTTGGATGATGTTCAGGAGTGGAAAAAGGCAGTCCGAAAAAGCAGCTCAGGACCATGGAGAGCTTCTTGACATCTATCAGCCTAAAATGGACAAAGGTAGGTCTTATGTTGTGGACGTTGATTTTGCCCTGATGGAAAATAATTTAAAGCACCCACTATGGCTGAAATACGTCTCAGATTGACCGAAAATGAACTATCTGCTAATGGTAGGACTGGGTCTGTTGCATGGTTGATTGAGGGTATAAATATAGAAAATGCTCAGTAAGATATTTGAACTTTGGGATTGGATTGACTTAAATTGTGTTACTAGAGATGCCTTGAGATTGTCTATAAGGCAGCTGCCCCAGGATCCTGACTGCTTCTCAGAGAACTGGAATAGAAGAAAAAAGGCAGAAGCTCATGGCATGGATTATTAAGTTCCATGAGGCTGCAGAGGTCATGACTAATGGTATGGAATTGAAGGGAGGTGAAGGAGCACCACTGGACAACCCTGAACTGTGCCTGGAGGAGGCTGACATATCCAGTATGGAATGATCCAGAGGAAGAGGACTTTTTCGACCTTTGAGGGTAATATTGACTCACCTGCAGAAGTCACCGAGATTTGGATGCCATCATGGGCAGCCTCTGGTCACATCATGGATGATGTCATCTTGGCATTACATCAAGAAGAACTCGAGCTTCGAAAGGGTCAAGCAAACGACTGCCTGGAAAAGCTTCAGTCAAGCCCTGGGTGATAGATCAGTCGTGTTTCGGGAGAAAATACACTCCAACAAATCAGTCCATCACCAGGGCACTAGATCTAAAAGGGAACTTCAAAAGATAACTCTCTCCATCAACAGACAGGCCGAGGTTACAGCCGGGCAAGGGCTGCAATGCTCCACCTAGGGGCTGACTCTGATACAGTGGCAGTGTATCAACCCCTAAAGCCTCAGGACCTAGTGGTGAGCAAAGAAGTCACAGAAGAGTCAAGAAAACAGGCATGGGCAGGGTTCAGATAAATTGGCTTGGTTTTGGAGGATCAATAATGCAGAGGACAGTCAGAAGAATGTATGGATGAACGAGTGTAAGTTTTATTGTGATCTGCTTTTTATCAAGGTAATCAGCTTATATTCCCCATTTCCAGTTTATCATGTGAATTGGTTGAAAGCTAAAGCACGGTATGACCGTTGGTCAGAAGAACTGAAATTGGTACAGCATGAAATGTTTTGGACCATGTCCTGGTTTTGGACACAGGAGGAGAGGTGGAGAGTTCGGGCAGATGAAAGCATCAAGAATGGGAATAGGGCATATGCTGAGAGGCAGGCATCTATGTGGGCAGAATTTTCAGCTCAGGGTCTCAAGAATTTTGAAGGAAAATTACTTATAACAAGTTGATAGTTCATGAGTTGACATGCTAATGTAATGTTGATCTTCCTGACTTGTAAAAAAAAGTGTGATGTGAGTATTCAGAATGTAAACATGGTATAAAGGGGCCGGCCGACATGCTTTGGGCTTCTGGCATAGTAGGCCTGCCCACCTCTGCAGTATGTGGGAGGTGGCTGGCTGGCCTAGGAATGAATTCTGGCTGGGCCTGCCTCCCTTTGCAGCCTGCATAGAGGGGCCGGCCGACATACTTTGGGCATCTGGCCCAGTGGCCTGCCCACCCCTGCAGTATGTGGGGGATGGCCGGCCAGCCTAGGAGAGAATTCTTGCTTGCAGGGCCAGCCTCCATCTGCAATCTGCATGTTGGGGCCGGCCGACATGCTCTGGGCATCTGGTCCAGTAGGCCTGCCCACCCCTGCAGTATGTGGGGGGTGGCTGGCCAACCTAGAAGTGAATTCTTGCTTGTAGGGCCAGCCTCCTTTTGCAATGTGCACTAAGGATTCACTCAAACTCATCCATCCAGGGTCAAGGATAACTGTGATCCCAAGGTCTTGCATGAATGGCGAGTTTTGATAATCGAGTGCCTGCACAGATTTATGTTAACCATAGACCTAGTGTTGCGAGGACATGCCCATTGACTGCAATTGGGTCAGGGATAACTGTAATCCCAGTGTCTTGCATGAATGGCGAGTTTACTTCATTAACATATTCCCTTTCTACATATCATCTGCTCCTTCCATTTTACACTCACCCCTTGTCTGTGAATGTATGTCCCTCCATGCAGACCATAACGTGTTCTCCAGTGATCCTGCCACCAGTTGGATGCAACGACTAAGTTCCGGAAACTGTTGTTAAAGGAGAGGAACCCCCCAATTGAGAAAGTCATTGAGTGTGTGGTTGTGCCATAAAAGGAGGCTGACCCAGCAAGAATTCACTCCGAGGCCGGCCGGCCACCCCCTACATACTACAGAGGTGGACAGGCCTGCTGGGCCAGTTGCCCACAGGATGCCAGCTGGGCTCTCCATGCAGACTGTAAAAGGAGGCTGGCCAAGCAAAAATTCACTCCTGAGCCGGCCGGCCACCCCCCACATACTGCAGGGGGGGCAGGCCACTCTATGCAGGCTGCAAAGGGAGGCTGGCCGAGCAAGAATTCATTCCTAGGCCGGCCAGACACCCCCCACATACTACAAAGGTGGGCAGGCCTACTGGACCAGATGCCCACAGGACACCGGCCAGCCCCTCCTTGTAGACTGTAAGGGGGGGCTGGCCTACTCAGCCAGATATGAGAAGCATGCTGGGTGGCCCTCTCCTGCAGACTGCTAAAGCAGGCTGGCCCTGCAAGCAACAATTGATTCTTAGGCCGGCCGGCAGCCCTCCACATACTGCAGAGGCAGGCTGGCCTACTGTGTCAGATACCAGTAGCATGTCGGCCAGCCCCTCTATGCAGCCTGCATGACCAGGCCTATCACCGGCCTACACAGATACTGCAGAGATATCATTGTGTATAATAGGGCACCGGCCTGCAAGGGTTCTGCAACACCAGCCAGGTCTGGTTCTGCATGGGCTGGCCGCTGTCCTGTACACCTGGTTTTGCAGGTCAATGTACATGTCCTATCACTCAGTTCTGCAGTACATATGACTGAAGGGTCTGTTAATTTCCGGGGGACAGAGGGGAAGTCCGACGGAAGTCCAGGGAATTCCGGAGGACAGAAGTTAGTGGAGTTTGGTGGAACTCCGGAAGACTATGTGAGGACGGAGTAAGGCTACTACGGAAGTCCGGAGTAGAAACAGAACAGAGGTTAGACTACCCTAAGGTAGAGCCAGAGAAGTAGTCTTAAGGTTTAACCCCTAAGACTCGGAGGTGGACATGAGATGAGACTCAAGTCCGGAGATTGCAGGAATGAGCAGAACTAAGATGATATTCAAACTGAGGAGTTCCAGAGTATTACAGGGGTTTATATACTGTAGGTATCATGTAAGTAAATCAGTCAGCAAAGGTAAGGGCTATGTATGAAGCATGTGGAAAGTCTATTACTAAGTATAACAGATCAAAGCAGTGAAGTCGGAAATGAAGTAAGAATGGACGGATCAGTAAGCATAGCGGAATAGGACATAACTGGTAACCAGAGCAATAGCTAATCTAAAAGGAGTTAGGGGTGAGTGCGGAGATGAAGGCGGAGTGCTGGGCGGAATAGTAAGATGGAGGACCAGACTTTAATGAAGTAGATCCGGAATTCCGGATCCGGAGGTACGGGATATGACAGGCACTCGAGCTATCATTTGTATTTATGCCCTGGCTTGATACATGGTCATTGACAGAACAGAAGAACATGAATCATCACTATATTCATTCTCAAGAGATGGTTGAATGCCCGTACAGTCATAGTTCTAGACATGGGAATGACACAACCAGGTAGGGGCCAACAGTCGCAAGCCTTGGAGTGTGACAATCGAATTATGGATCCCCCAAGCTGGGTTCTAAGCCGACAAATCCCCATCTAATGTGCCGGAAGTCCCAAGAAGTCGATTGACAAATTCGTCTGATACAAAAACAATTAACACATAGCATCCTGTAGCAATACATCTGCCACGGTAAGAGGCAAAGTTCACTCACTGATTATCATCGAGGTTTACACCTGGGTGCATCAAGTGCGATACTTCTGTTTCTGGCTGGACCCCCCATGCCCAATTTTTAGGCAACACACTAAAGATCCAGGTGGAAAGAGAAACCATGTGGCTGTGTAGTGTGATAAAATTGGTCAAGCTAGATCTTTATCATCTGACAGTTAGAGGAACTCTCCAGAATGATGCTAGCTCTTGTGAGATTCCTGCCTTTATACTGACTTTTGAGGACACTGGCTGTTGACTAGCTGTGACCTGTATGCATCACTGAAATTCACTTAGCTCGATATGATAATATTTAAATTACAATTTTAACCATTTCTGTTTGGTCATGTTAACACAGTACAATGGAATATAATAGTATATCACTTGATATGCCATTATAAAGGTGTATCAAATGATAAACAGACACTTAGATTTTTACCATTCTTACTCCAAATGATTTCACCATCTCAATTCCTGCAAAAAAAAACCTCATTAGATAGTCTCATTAAATATGTAATATCAGGCAAATATCAAACTGCCTAAAGTTTATATCTTACTAGCAACAATGATCATGATTTGTTATTATCAGGCATTTGAATCTCGCCTAGAGTAATCAGACATTGCATTGAAACATGACGGTACAAAGCAGTGAGGTACAATTGAGTGCATTGTTCTGAGCCTATGTATGCAAAATTTGAATGCGGGTAATCAATAATTGACATCAGAACAGGAATATGAGCTATTTATGAGTAGGTCAATAATACAGCAGTTCAGTAGTGTACAACAGCAAGCAAATGAAAGTGAGAGCATGAAAACAACACATGAGTATCGTTTGACAGCCTGTGAGCGATGTGAATAAAAGGAAACATGCAGCATGTATCCATAAGTAGTGGATGGGTACTTCCTCGAACATTTTCATGCCGGCGTTGGTGTGGGTGCCTTGTGCTTTATTGAATGGCCACTAGCCTGCAGATTGAGATCATTAAATTTAATACAAACACCAGTATATTCTGGACCTACCATCTTAGCCTTGCATTTGGCCGCAATTTGGACAGGTTTGGAATTGAGGACCGGCAGTAATACAGCGATTTTGAAGGGACTGCTTGGCATGGCAGCAGGGGGTGATAGGATAGTAAGTTCTCGTAAAACAGCACTGAAAATGTCATGCTTTGTGCTTTTGACCTGATGATGGCAAAATGCCATGTGCACTTCAACAAGTGCTCCCTTTAGCTTTGACTCATATTCAGACGGCAGGATGAGGTTATGATCCAAGTCATATGCTGGCAAGGGGCGAATTATATGTGTCGAAGTGAGGTCCTGCAAGCAACCTTTGCATCGGTCAGCCACTGGCCAAGTGGTGATGTCGAAGTCGGAGCTTAGGCCATCCAAGTCTGCAGTCACATAAAAATAATTAGCATACTGATGGACACAAGAGTTGTTTGTGGCTTACTTGTCAAGTAGTTGTTGTCACCATCAACTTCGCTAGTAGTATCTTGCTCAGGATGTTCTTTATTGACCTGTTTTGTCGTGGTAGTATTCAGTACATAGTCACGGTAACGTGCATGATAGACAAGTATACTTATGACTTCAAAGAGACTGTGCATCAGTTTGATCGATCTCTGACCAAGTGAATTATGAATAACACTAAGCTTCTCATATCCTCTCACCCTTGGAATCAATCCCTCAAAATAAGCAAGATTGTCAAGGACGTCTGGGAAATCTTCTGATGAGAATCGGAAGGCATTGTTATGACCAGCAGTAAGGTGACAGCTCAATTTTACATCTGCAAAGCAACCATGAAATACATTTAAGGGATTGAAATTTGCATCTGGGGTGAAATTAAAATCATTGTGACTGATCTTGAACATGCCACGAATGATAAATTCTGTGGGTTGGAGCCCTCCTCCCTTGCTGATAAGAATATTTCCGTCCTGTCCACCTATGAAATATTTGACATGATGAATAAGTCTCGGTGTAGCAGCATAGAAACCTCCAGGAGAATTCTGCAGTTTTTGAAGTACAGATGCAGGGGTACTAGTAGCGGAGGATGGCTTACGTTTGGGAGACATGGCTGGTGCAACTGGTGCATGATGTGATGCGAGTCTTATTGAGAAACTAAAATCATGTTCCGTGGATACAAGTGACTCACAGCAGCAATGGCAGCACGGAAGCAGTAGCATAAGTATATTGGACTCATCTTGCTTGAAGCTCTGAATTTTTGATGGTCAGAAGTGTGGGGTACTGGCGCAATGAAGATTGGTTGACCAATATCACCAGTGGAGGGAAAGCTTGTGGAACATGTACATTGTCCTAGTGGTCATGGGATCTGATGTTTGCGAAATTATCGGCAATTGGATGGTATTAGCTGTGCTCACATTTGAAAAATTTCAAAGAATATGTTCTGCTGCACCCACATTCCGGAAAGCTTGGCTGCTTGTGAAATCCCTGTGCTCACATGATGAGCTGGCGTCTGAATCAAGTCAAGTCTGAGTCCCCGCTTCCGTAAGGGATCTAAACAGACTTTAGTCAAGGCTAGTCGTAAGTGGTCTGTTACAGTTCTGAAGTAATTCTTTGGCTGCCAAATGAAGAACATTGTAGGTACGTACATACTAGTATCCTCATGTTTGGCAGAGGTCAAGTCCAGCACTGCTTGGTAAGGAATTCTCTGCTCGTGTAATAAGATTAAGCACCTTGCCATCTCAGGCTGTGTCTGCTGTTTCTGGTGACTGAGAGATTGGCATGTTGGAATGTAGGGTCAACAAGAATCGAAAGAAATTTCTGTATCAGACCAGGGTCATTTTTATGTAAGTTTGAAATGCAGAGTGACTTGAATTTAAATACAGTCACTCAACTTGAAGGAGGAACCAGCAAAGATGTCCCACACAGATTCGAATAGCATTGACTCCCAGCCCTCTGACTTTAATGATGGAACTGAGTGTCATATACCTGATCTGTCCGCTCCGATATTAATATCCGCTCAGCTTTCTGACCACCTCCGCTCCATCCATCCTCTGCTCCGTCCAATCACAGTCCGCATTCCGCTTCTACACTTCTGCTCGACTGCCCAACTGCCCAACCGGTCCCCTTCCATAACATCTCCATTCAACTGGAACCACTTTCCCCTTTTAGATATATACTTTCCCCTTTGGTACATAGACCCTTACTTCTGGATCACCGGTAATTCCTCTTACCGCTCTATCACTGATCCGACACATACATACTGATATCCGCTCCGACTTATGTCTTCGCCTGTGTAAGTACTTACAAATTATATCCTTGGTACATAGCTTTGCAACATAGTTATCCTGATCACTGCCTCATACTTAGAAGTATATAACATATCCTGTACTTAGATATTTTCCTCAGTCTTAATATTACTTGTCTTCTTGCAGTTATTACTTGTGAGAATTCTCAGTAGGACCTTGCCTCCTCTGGACACAAGTTTCACCTTGTTGTCACCTCCGACCCTCCGCTCTGACTTAGAGCCATGCTCTAAGTCTTCTCCTTACTTCTCTGCTCCTATCAAACATTCCCCCTGCTCCTCTCCACCCTCCACATTATCCTCCACCTCCTCCACTCTGCTCCTAGTTGGCCCGCTGCTAATAGCTCTTACCTCCCGACCCTCAAAGCGGACCTAAGTGGTCCACTTGTCCTATCGTCGGACAACGTCGGACCCGCTCCAAATTCAGGGCACGTACTTGGCTAAGGGCGCAGTGCAAGAGCTGAAGCCAAGCCCCGACCCCTCTGCTTCCTGAGCCGGCACGGTACCTAACACTGAGGCGATCTTGATCAATACTACCTTTGGAGCTCATAGAGCAGGCAAGGTGTCCATCGCTCAAGGAGCTCCACTCCACAAAGTCACAAGGACTCCTGCCCTGGGCCAGGTCAGGCGCACAGGCAAGGTGGTCCAGTATATTCCTGTGGGTGTTACACTTTTGGTAAGATTTTCGACTTTGAATCATTTATCCCCAGACCTAGAGCATCACACAGATCAGTTTCCGGACTGCAGAAAGGAGTCTTTCCAACTTCAGAATGACTACCTCAAAGACGTTGATAAGCCACAGCCATTTCTAAAGCAAAAGAGGTCACAGGACAAGTTGAATAATGTGAGTATGCATAGCTTTATCTTTCAAATTATGCACTTACCATCATATGGAGGCTCAGCACAATTTTGATCAGGGCAGTACCAATGGAAAAAAAAGTTAAAGTATCACGGAAACACAACAGACTCAGGTACCTAATTGACGAAATTGTGGGTGTGTTAGAAGCTGTGGATAAAATTGAGGTGGCCATCAGTAGGCAAAGCGGAATCCTTACTGAGGTCTGTAACATGGTCGAAAACTATGGCATGTGATATTGCTCAGTGCTTGATAGCAGTTAAATCTTGTTTGATGTATGTAGACTCTTCTGGAGCAATATGTAGTAGTAATCAGTATTGATACCGTCCAGGTACTTGACTGGGAACACAAAATTACCTGAGTGAGTGGCTTCGTAGGGGTGTGTACAGCCATGGTGGTGGAATTTGAGTTTGCCTTCATGCTATCATGGATCATTAATTTTGTTGGTAAGACTTGGAGTGGGACTGGACTTACAATATCCTCGTTGATTTGAACACCAGCAGGTATGCAAGCGTTTGGAATCCCATCATCAAAGCCATCATTGGTGCCACCTGTTGGGACGGGGTCTTGTGGGTTGACCAGTGGTATTTGCAGAGACACATGAAGAGAGGTGCTGCATTTTGGAAGAGTTGTTGTTTGGTGAAGTCTTTGGGCATTTGGACGTGTTGGAGGATTGTAGCAAATGCGTTGTCTGCTGGTACCTATTCTGTCGTTAGATACAATATAAAGGAGAGACAGACTAGCATGTGGCCTTGCCAGAGTCATGTTACAGATCCCCAGCATACACATTAGAACTTCAAAGCTGTGGTTGACTGAATGATAATGCTGTTTGTTTGACGTTATTAGAATCCAAAGCTCTTGCCATATATGGGTGATTATCTTGCCGAAGGAAGGTGTATGGCCATTGTCTGTTGAAAAACTCAGCTCTCCACAGCAATGTAACAGCAGCTGTGAAAGCAGTTACTTTCTTTAACTGTGAGCTATATCCCCAACCTATATAATGTTCTATAAAGCCATTGTGAAGGGGAAGAGACCCCTGCAGGCCGCATCTCATGCTATCACGTCTACCGTGAACAGCTCTTCTGCCCTTTTTTTGCGAGTCTTTGTGAAGCATAGAACCAATTTATCAGGAACTGTGCGCTCATTCAAATGGGGTGCTTTGAGAAGATCATTTTCAACTAGGGCCAATATTCCTCCAGAGACTACACCGCCATTGCCAAGCACCCATGGCATCCCACTCTACAGTATGCCTTTTTGTGGATAAAAAAACCATGCCCCATCTGACCTCGCCGATTTAGGATGGCTTATACTGGCATGGACGGAAACACCAATGAAGTGGCACCCGCTTCCCTTGGCTGTCGGGGCCCTTCTCCTCATTGTTATCCAATACTGCAAGAAAGTAGCCTGTGTAGAGATGGAGGTCCACATTGATGATGAAGGTTATGAAGTTATCAAGCTCAAAGGTCCATGGCATGTGCATATCACTGATTAGTTGTGGAACTCCATTTGTTTACCTACTCTCATGCAGGTCCACATATTAGGCACTCTTCCTCTCCAGAATATGTCATGTGTATGGGGCTACTTGAACTTGCTCGAGCTGCCAGTTTGGGTATGGCCTTACGGCTTCCAACTCTATGCACACATTTTTGGCTGCAACCTTGAGGAAATTGACCCTGATGATCTAATGCAATATGCCAGCCTGGGTGTGTTTTTCTACCAAAAGCTCAAACCAGGCTCACCTCTCTCTACTTCAGGTGGTGAGGATTCACACATTAGCTATTCTCTGGTTATGGTATATTTACTATTGTTACTTCTACCTTAACCCTATAGGGCTAAAATCTCGTTTCTGCAGTGATTGACTTGTTCCACTCGCAAAACATCATTGTCTTTGGTACTGCGGACATTGTATGGGCATAATTTTGGTTTAGAGTTCCTACTCTCCATTTTATTCAGGTGATTATCCCTTGGTTTAGTGTCTCCGCTTCTGATTTGGTTTAGAGTCCCTGCCTTTCCATTTCATTCAAGACATCGGGGTTTTCTTGCTCCGTCATTACTCAAGTTGACCGCAAGATTTCACGTAATCGCTGTCAGTTCACTTGATTAGGCGATCCTGTCACCTGTTCAGTCGATGCGTATATGACATATGTACCGTCCATGCAGGTTTGAAGAATGTACGGAGCCAATATTCCTACATGATGGTTATGTGGGGACTATTGGTACCAGGCCAAGGATCCCCAAGAAGTTAGCTGTTTCAAGGTCCATGCTTCATTTCTGTTATGTTTCCTTAGCTAAATTGACCGTCATGCCTACTTCCAAGTCCCCACTTGACATTCTCATCCATGAGCAATGGCGGCCTCATCCCCATCTCCATCTGAACTGGACAATAATGAAATTCACCTGCTAGTCGCTCTTAAAAGATGAATTGCTGCACTTGAGGAAGGAAATGCAGACATCTGAGTCCGTGGGCTCCCTGGGAAGAAAAGGTATGTCTAGTGTTTAAAAATGCGGTATAACAGGTTGATAAATATTCAAAGTGATGAGTCAAATGCAAACTATGGCCGACCAATTCAAAGGCTTGTATGCCTGACCGAGCGTGTTGAAGATCTGGTAGCAGAATTCAATAGGCGCATTGGACTGGGTGCTGTCAATGAATCCGACGCAGACATGATGGATTCAGATGACCCAGAGTAAGTACATCTTTACAAATTTTACTGGTTAACCCTCAGGTCATGTTCCAGTGAAAATAGGCTGTATCGCTCCTTCAAGAAACTTATGGTATGGTGTCCCTCAGCTCGTAAATTGCTATGGTCATCAGTCAAGCACAAAGTTCTTGCTTTTGCATACAACAAGGTGAGACTCCCAAAAACAGTTCACTGACAAAACATCACTGTATCTTGCATCCAGCTGAATAAAAGCTCTGATGGGGCCAGAGGAGATGACTCTGCTCGTCTTAAGCACGCTGTCGCCGAATGGCTAATGGAACATACTCCCACACCAAATCCCGCCATTCACAGGCAGGACAAATCTGGTTGGGGTTTTTATAACGACATGATGGGCAGACTCCTGTGCCCAGTCAATTACTACTGGAGCAATCCCATATAAGGGCTCTTTTATGAGCTGCACCATAACTAACTTATATCTTCAAAGTGTTCGAGCCTCCATTCGAGACTACCACCCTGATTTTTGTATTACCACTTGTTCATGGCCCTCATTCCTTTACAGGAACGGACACTATGACCCCCAGAATCCTGCCAATGGTTTGTTTAAAGGTGAACTACTTATAAAGGTAAAATTAATCTGTGTGGTAGAAGCATACTGAATGCAGTCTCCAGGCATTCAAACATATTTTCACCTCTCCGAGTTCCACAGATGAGGAACCTGTTGACTCAGTGACTCATTCTGCACAGAGCAAGAATAGTGGTGAGCATTGCACTCAGCGCGACGTTTCAACACTACTCAATATGAGATCTATCCAGCCTCGAGCTGTAGCCTATGTGTCCATTCAGGTACAGGCCATTTAACTTGAAATATCTGCGCGCTTTGCTGATTAGATGGTTTAGCTAAGATTTGTGCTGTCAAGTGCAGGATCTTGGTGCATTGTTGATGACGAATTCAACAACCAAGAATTCTATGACAACATCATTGACTACCTTGAGCTTCCTCCAACGCCTGAAGCAGCGAAAGAAGTTGATGACCTCTTGCTTTGGTGGAATCAGTGAGTAGCTTTGGCAGTTTTACACTGTCTCCCATTGATCCATCAGGTTTCATTTTTAGGAAAGTTTTTGGTCAGAAATATGTTTCTGATTATCACCCGCAGCAAGCAAAAAAAATGTCAGTCGCCATGACTTTGGCCAGATGCCAGATCTAGCTTAGTTGGGTTAGAATAAGGGAACCTACTTAGGCTAGTACTTGACTGCAAGCCGCATGTAACTTTATGTTGTGCAATTTTCATATGTATAATGAATGTGACATTAAGACCCAGATCTCCGAATGATAGGTAATATGTCCAAACATTGTGTGCCACCATATGGTCGAGACAAGTGGTCCACCTTCATCACCCATCTAGTATCTAGTAGCCAACACAAATATGATACATATGTGACTTCAGGTAGTGAGTTGTGTGTGATGTTGCAGTATTGAAAGTTGGGTGTGCTTGCGTCAAGGACAGCATTACAAGTGATCAGGGACACATCTACCTGACTTGCAAGCTCTGGTAGCACACACCGCACTGATACATGTGGGCTACCAGCTCCATACGGACAATTCTGTCTCGAAGCACCTAATTCTGCAATGCAAGTCGCATCAATATATTAGAACTTTAGAATGAGATACTGTGTCTGCTGCTGCCAATCCTGCAAGTGTCTGCCTACAATGTAGGTTAGTGAAAATAATATACAGCTTATGTCCCCCTCATTGCAAGTCTAATTACTAGTCAAATGAGCCTCTTCAGCATGGTAGTCACTATTTCTCAATGTTTGACTTCTGGTCACTCACTATGCAGGTATTGTACTGTGATGCATTCCTTATGATTCATTTGCTTACACACCATACTTAAGAGTCTCGGCACATGCATGCAATCATTATGTAGATTGGCCACAAGGGCTACATGTTTAAAGCCATATATGATGTCCAATACTAGCTAACTAATCGTCTTCTGTATATTTCAGTTGCCATTGCTTAATGTCTGACTTCCCATTGTGTAGTTATAAGGTAGTGTATCGCACAAAAGGATGATAATCTCTTCACTTACATGTCATACTTGGTAGTCCAACAAATATGTATGATTATTATTTAAATTGGCCAAGGAGGCTAGGTGTTTAAAGGTATATATGACATTATATAACCACCTACCATATTTCACCCGATTGTAGATATTATGACCATTATAAGGGGGATATAATGGTTTATAGCAGATCTTGATTTTCAGTGATGCGATACTCGAGGTTTGAGTGCCAACAGGAGTTTCCACAGGAACATGCTGTGCGGTCAAATTGGAAATGTAAACCTTGCTAGCCCCACCATGTAATGATTTAGTCTTGACTCTTACTTACAATACTGCATTTTGGCATTTCTATATGGGCAGGACTCTGAAGTCCGAACTACCCAGTTCTCTCTGAACTGAACTTTCAGTACATGCAGCAAATCAGGGTCTAGATATGTACTGGAGCGTTATTCACTCAGATTCTCCAGCTGTACCCACAACATGCAGCTGTGTTCTATAATAATTCACATCAAGAATTCATCCCATTACACAAAAATCTTCCAATCCATCCTATGCTCTCTGCTATAATCCCAATTGAAGATCAACATTATAACCAGACATAATAGTACTATAAACCACAGCCTACCTAGTGAATAATTGTGACACTTGGGACGGGCACTATGCAACCCAGTTCGGCAAGTTTGCACAGTAACGTTGAATAAATCCCCGGCAGTGAGAAATATACAGCCTATCCGAGGGCATAGGAAAACTTTTACACTTGTAAAAGCCCAGTAATTGATTCATCACCTAAACAACAAATTATATATCTCTTAGGCACATTCTTCTATCTTCATTCCTTAGTATTCCTTGATATTCTATTGGCTCATAACGACAGTATAAAGTAGAACTCGTAGTAGGAGATGGGTAGTTGATCTTTCACCCCCACCAAAACATGAAGCTTAGTTTGGCCAGTTTCTTCTGTTTGAACCCTAAGTCCTTCACCAAAACCAACTCTCTGTAGTGTGAACGTTTACCTAAATGCCACATATTTTTAAACTCAATTCTCTAAAGCTTCCCCATCTCCTTCTTCCTACAGCCGCTGTTGACGAGGATTGATCACCCTCAGACCTGACGACCCTTCACTCTCCTCCTATAATGTCAACAAAATCTATTAGTGCACTTAGTACATTGTCTCGCCCTCCGACTCCCATGAGCAGAGTGAGCAGAGACAATGGCACTCTTGAACTGGGCATTGAGAGTGCCTGGACTCATGATGAATCATTTGTCACTGGAGTCAAGCGGTCAGATAGTGTGAGGGCCGAACCCCCAACCATTGACCTGCCAACTGCTGTGAGTGTGGAGGGAGCTGTCATATCCCATACCTCCGGATCTGGAATTCCGGATCTCGCCTACTAAAGTCCGGTTCTTCATCCTGTTATCCACCCGGCGCTCTGCCTTCATCTCTGTACTCGCAACTATCTCCTTTTAGAATAACTGTTCTCTGGCTACCGGTTATGTTCTCTCTGCTTTGCTTACTGATCCATCCAATTGTACTTCATTTCCGACTTCACTGCTTTGATCTGTTATGCACTTACTAATAGACTTTCCACATGCCTCAGACATAGCTTTTACTTTGCTGACTGATTTACTTACATGATACCTACAGTATATAAACTCCTGTAATACTCCGGTACTCCTCAGTTCAAATATCATCTTAGTTCTGCTCATTCCTGCTCCTCCAGACTTGAGTCTGATCTCTCGTCCACCTCCAAGTCTTAGGGTTAAACCTTAGGACTATAACTCCGGCTCTACCTTAGGGTAGTCTAACTCTGTTCTGCTTCTACTCCAGACTTGTCCGCAGTAGCCCTACTCTGTTTGTTCCTAGCCTTCTGGAGTTCTGTTGAACTCCCTCTGCATCTGACCTCCAGACTTCCCTGGACTTCCATCGGACTTCCCCTCTGCCTCTTGGAAATTAAGGGCACATACTCGGGTAAGGGGCGCAGTACATGAGCTGAAGCCAAAGCCCTTTGAGTAAACTTTCCCTTGAGCATGACCTTAACAGGAGCAATGGATTCTCCCTAAGACTCTAGTACCTCGTTGATACCGATCAATGAAGGCATACCTCAAACAACCTCAGTGGTTGATGGTACTGATTCAGATGGATTGACACCAATGAGTGTTTCCCTGCTACTCGGGAGTGTCCCTGGACTACACCCCTTGGCATTACTTAGCCCTGTAAATAGAAAATATGAGAATGATCTGCACTGTTCCCCAAGTACTTGGCACCTGTCAAATATAGTCAACTGGGCTGACCTCCCCGAAGACGATGAAATCAGAGACGTACCTGAGTTTCCAATCTTAAAACCAACCAGTGACCCACTATCCACAGTATCAACCCCAAGAATCCCTGCCAAGTTCAAGGGAAAGGGAAAGAGCACCAACCTAGGAACCTCACCTAAGGACTGGTTGGATTGATGGACAGAATATGATGAAGGACTCGCTGGTGCAGCCCACCCTGGATCAAATGACCCTGATGTGTTGCTAAGAGCAACTTGGGATGACAGTGATTGGCACTGATCACTGCAACATCAGAACTGTTACAGGGACCCTCACACCCCTATCGTCTCCACCAAATATCGCTGTCACAACCGTGTTACAACATGTGACAGATGACATCACCGGCACGTGACTAAACTGCAGAGCACAGCATGACAGCTGTTGGAGCAAGACAGCTCTGGAACCAACCTAGACCGGGATCAATAGAAGCTGCACACTTCTCCCTTATCGCCCCTACCAATACACCGGTACTGACTATTGTTTATTCTATTGCTTATCATGACAGATAGCGTTATCTGAATTGGACACCTACCACTGTGCCGGTACCATACCCTGGACCCTTACCATTGAGCCGGTGCTCTTATCTCTGAGTCCTTATGACTCACATAGACGCTTACCTAGTTGGGACGCTTTCTGGCTACCCAAGCCTACCCTGAACTCATAGGACGATACCTATATGTACCACAGTAGTTAGACCATGTATTCTCTAACTTGATCTTCACTTGTGATATACGACTCTAGCTTCTACCATTGAAACTTCAGTCAGTCATTCTGAATGGACAGCCTCCATTCAGTCTTCCATCGTCTCGGTGCTCCATGAAGCGGACATGGGATTAACCCTATCAAGTGCACTGTTGGAAAGCTGGGCTTTCCCATAACAAGAACCTGTATCTAAGACAATATCGCAAGCACACACAAGAAAAATTAAATGAGCATGACTACGAAATTACCGAACTCCTTGATTGAATTAGAGAGCTTGAAATACTCGTCTTGCAAAGTCAAATCCATGAAGAGGAGTCACAAAACCACGTTTGAGAAGCCTACAGCACCCAACACATGAGTGCACAAGTCCCAGCATCACAGGCTGTGAACTTACCTCAGGTCCAACTGATAAATGACTGTCTAACCGAAGTGTTTGAAAAAGTCGCCCAACCCCCCCTGTCATCAAGACAAAGTCCTAGCCAACACAAGTGCTCAATACACGCTATCAATGTGCCTCATCCATCCTTCCCTGAAATAGTTCTGTTAGGTGAGCGATGTTAGGCTCTTATCCAGACAACCTGGGTCCGTGGACTTCCTAGCCCTAGAGCCAGAGTCCAATCACAATAGTGACTCCACTGAGACCAAGCATGCCAAGCGGCTGGCGCGTTGTGAGTATTGCACAAAACTTAACCTACTTCAGTATCAGAAAAGCTTGATTAAAAACGAACCCCCATTTACTTACAACAGTGAGTCTAATGCTACCACCTTTAAGAAATTGGTTAGAGAAGTGTGTGATTGGAAGGAATGAGCTCGACTCACCATGATTCAAAGCTTGCGAATGGTAGGAAAGTACCTAAGTGATCAAACATACCGATTCTATGAAAGAGACATCCTAGACCTCCAAAAGGACTACTCGCTTACTACATATTCCCCCCAGACTTTTGAATGCAACAGTGCCAGAAGTTCCTGGACTGTCATCAAGACAATAAGCAATACGTGCAAGACTACTTATGAAGACTTCACAACCTTGCTGATATGGCTGGTGATGTCAATGACCGGGAGAAGGTGTGGCAATTCTGGATGAACTGCCTACCTTACATCAAAGCCTCCCTGGTAGACAAGGGCTATGAACCCAATACTGTGAGCCTCGAAACATTAGAGAAGAAAGCACTATGGACCAAGTGCATGTTCATTAAAAATCCAAAGGACCCAAATATCCTTCTTGCTATTAATCCCACTCTTGCAGCGGGATTATCTTGTCAAAACAATAGACTTGAATGTCAAAACCATCCTGACATGAGACACCATGACTCATGACCATGAGCCCCATCCCTATCAGTACATGCTGCTCATCCCAGACTGAGCTGACCCAATACACAGCATGACCACAACTGCCAAGGATGTCAGAACACTGGGAGGAACTCAGTGCATGCTGACAACAACCCTAAGAAGAGTGCTGATCGATTAAAAAGACTCAGAGACAATAACCAGTGCTTCAAGTTTGAGCAAACAGGCCACCTTGCAAAGGATTGTCCAAAACAACACAGACTCCCATTCAAACTTAACGTGAGAGTATCTTCCCTGCAAGCCAGTGCTGTTGGAGTTACGAGTGCTGATATTCGCTCTGCAGCGATAGAGGAAGGTATTATCCATGGCCTATATGGCATGGCTGCATATATGTCTGACTTAAATGAACTGGACATTGCCAAGCACCTCTTGATAGCACAGCAAACACTAGCAATCTTGCAACTAGCTGTTCCACTCCCAACTGATGAGTTACATGACCCGATATATGACCCCTATGGAAGGGACAGGTTTAGCCTATTTAACCACAGAGGACCAAACACTTACCTGGGCTCGGACAAGCACAATCTTGATGATTATATCATTTACTATGAGCAAATGATTGACCCCAACTTTGATGCTGTTGTGTGGCTTACAGACTTGAAACTAAGGAACTATGCTGACCTTATGAGAACAGCATCGTCATCCAAAGTCATCCAAAGCCTCTTGGATGGGACTCATGGTAAAAGGCCAGCACAACAAGGCATCTATGATTAGTGATACTGACAGCACCTGCACTGATCATCAGACAGGCCTCCTGTCCGATCCTGAAGATGAATTACCTGCCCTACTTAACAGTGAATCATCTGATAAAGATGATCCTTGGGTCACCGACCCTCTAGGCAATGGAGACCTCCCTATCACTGAATCATTATATTGTGGGGGCAGCTCCAGTAAACAAAACAACCTACCTGACTTGTGAACTCTACAATGACAGGCTGCCCAACTGAGGACAACATCTCAGATTCTCCTGTGATCGATTGTCATAATCATCCTAGTGAATGGATGGCCCTGCCGAGCATTGTTAGACTGTTAGACTCTGGGTCCCTTAATGACTTCATCTCCACTACCGTTGTCGATCAATTGAAGCTGAGATATGACATACTTGAGAAGCCAATTCCCCTTCAGCTCACTGTCTCAGGATCATGTAGTGTTGTCAAAGCCACTACGAATGTTGAAATTACCTATCAAGATATTAAATGCAACCGTACCTTTGACATCATGAACCTAGATTCTTATGATGTCATTTTGGGCATGCCCTTCTTATTTCAACACCAGATCCTACTGGGATTTAATCCCCCTGAGATAAAAATTAGAAGCCTGGACCCCTTACCTATTTGAAGAGCACAGATGCAAGTTCTTGAACTGTGGGGCTCCGGATTGACAAGTAACCCTATTGAATCCTATAGAGAGGAATTGCATCAGTACACAAACAATATCTGCAAAGAGCCAATTGAAACCCCCTTGCCTCCTCTCTGAGATATCAACCATGTTATCCCTCTTATCAATGATCATGCTACATACACATGGCGCCAATCACAGTGCCCAGAAGCACTTCGCCCTCTGTGGCGCAATAAGCACAATGATTATATCCGCACTGGGCGCTGGGAATTCTATAGTGGCTCCAACACCGTCCCAATGATAATGAAAAAGGTGACTAAGGATGAGACTCTGCAACTGAGAACCGTCCTCAATACTCACAAGAGAAATAAAAACACCTGCAAATTAGCTTCCCCTCTACCTGACATAGAAGGCATGCTATGAAATGTGACACATCACCCTTATCAATCCCTCCTAGATGGCAAAGACACCTATGATCAAATCCGCATCATCCCTGAGGACGTACCAAAGTCATCATTCGCTACCCCTGACAGTACCATGATTAGCCACGTCATGCAAATTGGTGACTGCAATGTGGGAGCCACTTACCAGTCCTTGATGAACCAGATATTCAGTCCCTACATTGGCATCTTTATGGACGTCTATCTGGATGACATTGTAATCTATTCTGACTCAGCTGAAGATCATGTTCGACATGTCAAAACCATCATCGACACCTTGAGAGCTAATAAGTTCTACCTGAGTGAGCATAAACTACAGTTTTTTTATGCAAGAACTGTGCATCCTAGGGCATGTAATTGATGATGAGGGTATCTGCCTCGACCCTCATAAGGTCGATAAAATCGTAAATTGGAAGACGCCCACCCACATTGAAAGAACTGTTAATGCAGTTCATCGGCTCTGTGAGGTACCTCACTGCTGGGTGTGACAGTGTTCATGTCGACATGCAGCACCTGTCCAAGGTGGCGGCTCAATTGACGAAATGGTCATGGGACCCTACAGATCAGCGAGCGTTTGACCTAGTAAAAGCCAGACTCCAACCCATCCGCCTGTGGGGAGAAGTCCTCTCATCCTAGAGCAGCCATGATACAAATAAAACAAAACATTAGTCATCATACTATAGCTGAAATTTTGGAGGACAACTCCCCACAGAGCGACTGGTAAAACTTGTTGTGGTGCAATAGTTGGGCCTTGTTTGTCCTGCCCAAAAAATTTCAACCTGCCGCCTATCTCAAGTATGTGTCAGCCTGTGTCCCGCCCTCCTGCCCTGCCACTCCCATATACAGTATTGATATCACCTTCCTACTTGGACAACATCAGATCTATTACGCAATGTCTGTTCTACGATATACGATCCCAGATGCTTCAGTGATCAAAGACACTGTCGAAGTTAATTTCAACATTGCACCATGCAAATTTCAGCTGCAGTGTGCCCAAGCACAACTGGATTGGAAGGATGTTATTACCATTGCTCCAACAGGGGCAGGAAAAACACTAACATTCTGGATTCCCCTCCTTTTCAATAATGATGGCATGGTAGTCCTTATTACTGCACTCAACGGACTCAGTGACCAGAATATCAATGAGTTGCAGCAGCTGGGTATTTCTGTGGTGAATTTGACTGGTGCAAATGCAACAGACAGCATAATCCAATGTATGTCAAGTCTTTTTCACTATTGTTGGAGTCACCCTGATCTATGAAGCAGATATCAAGAGCTGTAAATATTGAGTGATTGTTGCAAGCCCCGAGCTTATTATCAATGACCGGTGCTTCAACAATCTATGGAGAGTGAGAGATTTCACGGCACAATTATTCAATATCATTGTTGATGAGGGGCACTGTATCAGTCAATGGGGCAAGAACTTTCGTCCTGAATATAGTCAACTTGGGAGACTTCGTTGGCTGCTGCCATCACATGTACCTTTTCACATCGTCTCAGCGACCTTGCCATCACACATCCTGAAAGATGTCTCAGTGTCTCTGAATATGCAGCATGATAACACCTCCATGATCCGACTTTCAAACAACTGATGAAACATACAGGTTGCTGTTATTGAGATGCTACATTCAGCGAACAGCTTCCACAACATCAATCACATCCTTCGCTTGCTACAAGGAATACATCCCCTGAAATTCATGATATTCTGTAACTCAAGACAAGACTCACAGAGAATGGCTGAGTACCTGCACAGTCAGCTGCATCCGGAGCTCCAGCATAAGATCATTTGGTTTCACTCCAGAATGATGCAGGAATTCAGGACTGACATGATGGAGAAGTTACATGGAGGCAAATTGTGGGGGATGTGTTGTACAGATGCTGTGGGAATGGTTAGTTCACTCCATCTCACTGGCCTTTGCTCAATCGTGCATGCTAATGCAATACAACAGGGACTGGACATTCGAGATGTTGAGTTAGTAGTCCAGTGGGGATATATATCCAGTCTGTGTACATTGATGCAAAGGTTAGGCCGTGCTGCTCGAGATCCTTCCATTGAGGCAAGCAGTATATATTTTGTTGAAAAGGATTACAAGAGAAGGAGGGGACATGCAAAGAAGGTACATCATGGGAAACAGAAAGCGAGAGTCCAACAGGGTTCTCCAAAGAAGGTGGCATGCCTTGAAGGGGCTGTGGGTGATGTAAAGCGAGCTATTGCAATAAAGGGGAATAATGGAGGTAGGACTCATGAACAGCCTGAGGGTCACGAGAGAAGTGATAGCAGCAGTGAATCAGATGGTGATGAACTTAATGATACCATCGCATCTTACAGGAATACTGGGGTTGGCACTTCCACACCAACTCCTAGCAAGCTCCTGCCATCATCCACTGGTCTGTGCATAGAAGAGTATGAGGTAGCGGCCATGGAAGCTTTCATCGATGCTGGAAATCAAACAATCTGTAGGTGCAGAATAACAGATGAGTACTTTGGGAATAATCTGATTGATGAGTTGTGGTGTTCTGATGCGGCGGCTGTTCCTGACGTCTATAACATAAGATGATGATAATGGTTACTGTTGTAAGAGATGTGAGAAGTGCACAATGAAGCTGCGGTTTTGCTGTGATGTTTGCACTCCCCACGCATTCTTGCTTTTCTCCAGTGCACCTCCAGTAAAGCCAAAGTGAAAACGGAAAACCAAGCTTGCTGTATATGAGATGGACACAAGGGACTATGCACTACGGAATGGCCTCAATGCCTGGTGCCAGAAGATGCTTGTTGATTTGGGGATAAACGATCCATTTTTCGGTCCTGCCCTTATCCTTCCTGATCCGATCTTAACGTGGATTGTTAATCTCTCCCACCACTCAAAGCTATCTGATGTTTCTGCCCTCCGAGACTTAACGGATTGGTGCTATGCTGACGAGTATGGCCAAAATGTCTTGGTTTTGGTTTGCAATCACTATCCTCCCCCAGCTGTCATGCCAGCACCACAACCCAACATTCAATTCACAAATACATTACCCCAAGCAGCGCTTGACCCCTCAGTTCTCTCTGCAAGTGTCCATAGCAATGTGGCTCTTAAGAAACCATGTAAAGCAACAGTGTGTTTCAAATGCAAGCAAGTCAGCCATAATGGTATGTCCACTGTCCTGTTCTGCACAGATCAAAATTGAGTTGCTGTTGACAGCCAGGAACCGTCTTTGTCCAATGCAGATGGCTGGTTCCAATGTCAATGTCGATCAAGAAAACATGGTCCCTAGCGGTGCTACTAGCAGTAGCATCAATAATCAATGACATCCTCAGGCCCCATTACATCCACCTCTCCATCACAATCCATTAGCACTTCCTTGTCCTGCATCAACATGGTCATCCCTTCAACAATCTCATCCTCCACTTGATGGTCAGCATGTCTTCCAGCAATGAATTTATGCGGTGAGTGCCTTTGTATTTCATCATGCAGTTTTCATAATGTTCTTGTCATATCTGGTGGCACATGCTTCATGGTGCAGTTTTTCAGATGAAATCCATTCTCGATCGTGATGTGGCATTCCCGGTACAGTTTGATTAGAGGGGACTTGTTGATGATGTGTTGGAGCATGTGATTTGATACTGTCCCTGCAAAGATGACCTACCAATCTTCTGTCAAGTTGTGTTGTACTTTAGTTCGCTGACGGAAACCTCAAACCTTTGTATACAGATTGTTCCATTCCACAAGCCAATCCACAGGTCGAAATTTGAATGCCTTTCCTGTGGGGTTGCAAAGCCAATTCAGCCGGATTAATCGTCTATAGGTATTATATTTTTTGGTTAATGTGCAACATACTCTGACAGAACCATACACACTGTAGGTCCTCAGGATACACATACCACATTTGTACCATAAAGTGAGCTGTATGATAAGCATATTTGTGCTTTTTTGTTGCTTTGAATATGTAGATCCAGGATAAGAAAGAGGCCTCGACTCATCCGATGTCACCACTGTTCATCGCATGACAGAGGTCGACATAGAGTAGTTCATCGTGGTTACAGAGCACCTGGTTTTCAAGCTGCTGATCGTGTCCTTGTGTGGGTTGCTGGCACAGGTGCATGAGTGCCGTTGTGTTGGTAACGTACTTGTTGATAATACACTCTGACATCTCAACGATTAGCTCCCATGATGGCAGACATTTTGCAAACACTTTGAGTGAGTCCCATGTGCTGTCTCTTGTTTGAGCCTCAACCAGCCAACAGTCGAGTATTGACACCCAGAGATCGTGATGCAGAACATCATGCATCCGTCAAAAGCCTGGTTTTGACGCAAATTTTCCACTTTCACCCAGCCTCAAGATCCCAACATGTTGCCATAGGCTATTGACATCTGTTCGACCAGCTTGTGGTTGGATCCATGTATGCCACAGTGCATCAGCACATGCCATTTTGAAGTGAAAGAGACCAGGGACAAACACTACGTGCTGAAAGTGGTGTTTAGGTGTGTCCTCAATGCATTGTGATTTGATAATTGCATCTAACTGTTCCTTTGTCAAAATATCTCCGTGGACAAGGAGGATGTTCTCAGACATGTTGACATCATACTGTGGATCAAAATCGACGTCTTCGCACTCCCCAATTCTGCCTTGTCTCAAAAGGCTGTCCATCACCTCGATGTTTCCATCGGTCGTTGATTGTTTGATGGGCATCGCTCGGCAAGGTATCTGTGTTGTCTTGTGCAGTGGGATGGCATTAACAATGACTGGATCGCCGTGGTGATGTTTTAGGAAGTCGAAATGCTCACCATGGTTGAGCAGGATGTCACAAACATTCCAGGCGAAGTTTTCCTCGTGTGGAAATAGATGTTGTCCTGGTAAGGTTGTCCTGTAAGAATGTTCTTGATGAAAAATGTGCAAATCCTTCACTGTAAGTTTTCCGGCAGCTAGGGATGCCCTAACTGCACCACTCAATTCACGCTGTTGTATCTCCTGCGAGCAGCAAAGGACGGCAGGGTCATCAACACCATACAATGGTATTGCGGGTGCAGAAGTAGAACTGACAAATTGGGATTGATGCTCAATTGTGGGCTGCGCAGTCTTAAAATCAATGTCAAAGTTGTCATAGGCAAGTGCTGTTGTCAGTGTCCGCACTGCACGTTTGATTTGAATGCCTGCTTCTTTTGACAGGGATTTTATGGCTGTCATGATGGATTGCACGCTGATCAGCCCATAGTGTCATTTTGATGCATTAAGGGATTACGGCTGTAAGACACTTGTAATGCATCAACAGTTACTACTGCTCATCGAGAATCCTTGGTGAATCTTCGAGGATCCCAATGCATCAGTAATGCATTAGCACTCTAAGTGATGCATTAGCACTATTGCCCAGCGGGGGCGCTTCCGGTTGCCTAATCCAGCTTCCCTGGCCATTAAAAATTGGGTGGGTACCTTACAGGAGTGATGCATTAGCGCTATTGCCCAGTGGGGGCACTTCTGGTTGCCTAATCCAGCTTCCCTGGCCATTAAAAATCGGGTTACCTACCCCAGCCATTAAAAGTGAGTGGGTACCTTATGAGCCCTTACCCTCGGACCCTTTAAATGTGGGTGGTAGGCTGGTAGCGGGCCTTCCTGTACCTGGCTACCTTTGTAGAGAAGTTGGTTTGCCTTTGTACTGCGTGGCTGTGTTGGTTGGGGATAGCGCATACATACCCCACACTTCTGAAAACTTCATTCAACCGTTGAGCGACAAAGTTCAACAACAGCATTTCCCGAGTGTCCCAAATTTTGTCAAACTTTGATGGCAGCATTTCCCGAGCGTCCAAAATTTCATTGAAGTCCAAACTTGTAGCGACAAACTTCAAAGTATACATTGTCATAGCTTAACAAGGTCCGGCATTTCTTGTTCACATGTAGTTGAGCACAACCAATAGATTAGATTGAAACAGATTCGAGATTTTAAGCAATATGTACAGCTAACAGTAAGACAGACGGCACAGTGCAGTACTGCCAATTGAAGTATGCATGCCATGAAGAATCAAGATGTTAGGCAATATGTACAACCAACAGTAAGATGGACAGCACTCGCAATCATGCAACCTTAGATTTTCTGAACGAGAACTCAATGATGGAAAACAACAAAAATTCAACAACACTCACTTTTTATTAGATGTGTTACCAGTGTTCTCAGCATTGCGTTTGCTGCTGCGTTTTGAGCCCTGTGTTGTTGATGTAGCATTTGCGCCTCTGCCTACTTGACCAGACCGCTGAGGAGTATCACCAATGACATTGTTCAATTCACAGCGATTGAAAGGGACTGATCGGCGTGCCCTACCAGTATGCCGAGCGCCAGGCTGTTCTTCTTCAATATGGCGAGCAATGGGCTGAGACACTGAGACCGGAAGAGGCTCAGGTGCCAATACAGAAAGTGCTGGTGTTGGCTCAGACACAGAGGGAGCAGACACAGAGGGAGCAGACACAGAGGGAGCACGAGACTCAGACGCAGGTGCTGACTGAGATGCCTGAGGTGTGGGGATCAATGACTCTGGCTCAAAAGTAGAGGGAGTAGGAGGCCTGGGCATCGCAGGTGCTGGCTGGAATGTAGGGGGAGCAGAAGTAGAAGGAGTAGGAGGTCTGGGTGTCGCAGATGCTTGCTGGAATGTAGGGAGAGCAGGCACTGCAGAGAGAGGTGCGGGGATCGATGGCTCTGGCTCAAAAGTAGAGGGAGCATGAGGCCTGGGCATCGCAGGTGCTGGCTGGAATGTAGGGGGAGCAGAAGTAGAGGGAGTAGGAGGTCTGTGTGTCGCAGATGCTTGCTGGAATGTAGGGGGAGCAGGTGTTACAGAGGGAGTATGAGCAGGCGCTGCAGAGAGAGTATGAGCAGGCGCTGCAGAGAGAGTATGAGCAGGAGCTTCGATGGACACAGGAGGCTGAGGCCCATGGAGCGCTGGGTCTAACTGAAAAGCAAGGGGAGTAGGAGGCATAGGCCAGACAAATGGAGGGATTGGAACTTCACGCCCCACAGGAGGCAGAAAAGGCAGATGTAAGTCAGCGCCACCCTCTGAATCCATGCTGGCCCCAACAGATGTCTCCAGAAAAGAGGATATTGCAGCCTCATAGTCAAATGGCTCAGTGGAAGCGAGAAAGTCCAAGTCATGCGTATGTGAGCTTAAGTCCTGTGGTGTAGTTCCATTAAACTCGTGAATGTGATGCATTAACCTTGAGCCCACCTGAGCGAGTAAGTTGAACTGTGTTTGTGATGGTGATGCATTACACTCGTTTGGAGTCAACTGATAAAGTGCACCCCACTCCCTTGAGCTTCCAGGACCAATATTGCCCCCTGGTACTTTTGCTGCAGCGGTACTTTCACCACTGTGAACCTCATCCACCTCACTATCTGAACCCTCATCATCTGAGTCATTATCATCACATTTGATCTCTCTCTCTCTGTCGTGGTCGCGGTTGGTAGCTGGGAGAGAGTCCTCGTGCTCTAAACATCAAGTTTAACATCAGTAAGCACACAATTCCCCATGCCAATCACTTACTGATAGTACTGTCCACAAAACTCACAAATGCCTTAAGAACCTCACTGTACATGACATACAAGTCTGCAAACTGGCCACCAGTGGCGCATTCACCAAGGTGATAACTGTCGGATGATTTAATTACTGATTGATTATAAATAGATAACTTGGCACATACTCAAAGAATCGTATATTACCCCCAACTTCTGGATTGCGGCCACCCATGAGGATGGAGAACTTCCATCCACCAGTCATGTGGCTCAGGTGTCGGAAGATACGATCTAACACCACCGGAAGGTCATGGATTGCCCTGCGTAATGGTGAATCTTGCTGAAGAAATGCTCAAAGTAAAAGTACGTACTTAATCTTGGTATCATCATCTACCTCTTCCCTCACCTTAGCTTGGGCGACCTTGCGGGCTTTCTTGAACTTCTTTTTCAACTTTCAGTGCTCCTTCTTAACCTTCTCTTTCACAGTAATCGACTCCGCCTCATATTTCTCTGCCGTGGTCTCACGACGCATGCGGAGCTTAGAGCCACATGAGGTAATTCCCCCCTCCGCAATTGCGTTGTCGGCTGACTGCTTGATGTGGTCGGCATAGTACATCTGCGAGTAAACCTCAACTTCCTTTGGTGCACACATGGATGTGCCTCCTGCGAGTGTTTTTTCCATGGCAAGCACTCCTCTTGAACCACCTGAACATGCAAGACGCGCAGGGTTTGTCTTCCACCGATACCAGCACACAATTTGCTGTGATTGACAGTAAGCATATGTTTCGATAATGCAAGTGAACATGTACTTCTTTTCGCTTTTTTAATGGTGTCTTATACACCTCCTTTTGCTCCTCGGTCAGCTTGTCCTTGTCATCAACATCGGGATAGTATATTTTATGGACTGGGCATTGGGCAAAAAAATTCTTGTTGATTTTGGGCCAGAACTCCATGTAATTTTTTGTCGGCATGTAAGTGCAATATTCAGCTAACATTGACATCAGGATGACATCTTGCTCATCCATAGCCCATGTCGGTGGAGCCATTGTGTTGAGTACTGCGCGAACACATAGGCAAGGGGGGTTCGAGTATGAGTATAGCACACCAAGACACAGAACATATAATGCATTACTTGATATGCAACTTTGCTGTCAAACGGAGGATTGTGATGTCACAAGTATACCAGACGCGCACCGAGACACGGAACATACAATGTATTACTTAGTCGCTGTCAATATTCAACTTTGCTGTCAAATGGAGGATCTCGATGTCACGAGTATATACCAGATGCTAATGCATTACTTGGTATCCAACTTCGCTGCAAACAGAGAATCTCAATGTGAACACGAACATCTATCTATGCTACAAAGAACCTCAATATATCTATCTTAGAGTTCTCTGTACAACATACAACCCGCAGGTGTATTCAGCTGTCTGCGGGTTCTTTAAGTCCGGTCTTCTGCTACAGTATGTGCTGAACATTTAACACTTACTGGATGGTATGCATGGCATGCATATCCAAGTAAACTCTAATACATCTGGCGGTGTCAAAGTCATTGCGCAAGTGAGCTGCCTTTCTCCTGAAAAAATAGTTCTTAATCAACTGCGAACCAAGGGTGATCAAAGGTTGAAGTAGAATAGAAGCAAATAGAACTTTACCTCTCGGCGTTTTGGAATCCATGCCTGGATGATAGCTTCCCCCAAGCTGCTAATTGTTGTGGTATCCCCACCCGGGTAGATGCCGCAGTAGGAAAGGTAGACATTGTGCTCAGGCCATCGAGCAAACCATACCTCATAAACAGACTCCAAGAACTTGTCATAGTCGCTAATGGGAATCTTGTCGAATCTGTCATATAGTTCAGCAAGAAATGCGCATTGAGCTGGAGACAGGTACTGTGCTTCGAGTTTTTGAGACATTGAGTGGGAAGGGCGGAAGAGTGTAAGAATGCAACTTATTCTCTATAATAACTATGATAAAGTTAATGCATTACAATTTACAAGGACCCGGCAGATATGTGTGCTTACAATCTCTGAAAGTCTGTAAGTCCTCAGTCAACATTTATCGACAATTATAGTAGCACATCACAGAGTCTCATACAGTAAGTCCCCCTGCCTGCGCCTGTCAGCAAGGTCGGACATCCCTGATGTTCCATAGCACCACAGTTCCTCAATTGCAGCTATAATCTTTTTGCACTGCTTAGAAATTGCACAGACCTCCTTGAAAAATCTTGTCATGCCCATCTCTTCGAGCACACTTGCTTCCAGTGCCTGCAGACCAACCTGAACCTCTTCAAGATGCGTGAGGACCTCGAGAAGCTTGCAGATGGCAGTTTCCCATGTCTCGACACTGCATAAGAGCTGGTCGTAAAGTTTTTTGCAGAATTGTTGCACTGGTACATCAGTACAGTCCAGTAGTGCAGCCTGGGCACAATTGAACTGCTGGCTTTGCAGCGTTGAACAACGACGGCCATAAATTAGTAAAACTTAGTTCGTAATTGTAAGAACATCTTACACATGTAACGGTTGAGTTTTTGAGTGACCTGGCCTGCGTATTCCGGTGGTTTGCTTTGATTCCGGCACAATAATGATCTGAAAGGGGCTTGTCTCAGAGGTAGGGCAAGAGGTAGGGCAGAGCTTCATTGTTGCAGTTTCTAGAGAGGTGGTAGTGCACTGGGCATTGCCTGTCATCCAATTTGCACGATATCTGCTATTCTTTTCGCAGATAGCCTTCTTGTTCCTAGAGACAAGTGTCTCACTATGAGCATGCATTGAATTGACGAGTCACCTACATTTGATAGTATTTTCTGTGGGATTCATGCGCTGCTTGGGCCCTCTCAGTGTCATCCTTGTATTTGAATGGATGACCCCCCATTGGTGTCAAGTGGAGCAGTAGGAGTTAACTGGTATTATAAGTGTTGTTTCGAGAGTGTTAAGTGGTAGTGTTGAACGTGTTTGGGAGAATAATGCCGTTGGGAGATTAATGGTTTGGGAAATTAACCGTTGGTACACTTCAAAACTGAATTCACCATAAGCTCGCTAGCTATTAAGGTCATATAGCTATGTCGACCTTCCACAGTTACTGTCAGTGTTGACATTGTGACTGGTGCAACAAGGCTGCCTGCCCTCATACTCATAATATTCCTGACCTTGAACCGTCTGAAGCGTGACTTGACATTGAATCTTTGTCTGATGCCAATAAGAACTGCCCGCTGTGACACTCATAGTAAATATTCCTGAATCCTGACCGTTCCGACATAGTACACAACCAATATTCCTGACTGTGAGCTGTCGTCCGATGCAGTAGCAAGCTACTTCAACCTCCCAGAGAACAAAATGTGTTCAAGAAATGATATCATGATTTCAAGCAAGAAACACGTGGGCAGTAAGTACAGATAAGAAACACACGGGCGACAAGTACATATTTCGTATATACACTAGGTATCACATTCGTTTGCTAGCAGCAGCAACCATCAGAGTGGCAACTCCTGCACAGTGCCATCTTGCAGCACCTGGGCATATGCCTCATCTGCACTAGCACGAGAGGTGTACTGTCCAAAACAAGCTCCAGGAACACCTACTACATGTGAATGGACATTATGCCTGGAAGAACATTGAATTGAGATGTCTAGGTCTAGATGAGAAGGAGGATACGTACCAGCCTTGAAATACACCGGTCTCACATCCAACAGTAATGATGTACCAGCAGGCTGAAGCAGAAGTACTCCCGTGATGTGGAGCAGTGGTGGTGAGAGATGTAGCAGCAGCAATGGTGACTGGGGGTGGTGCAGTGTTGGTAGCTGCAATGGTGACTGGGGGTGGCGCAGCGTTGGTAGCTGCAACACCAGCTGCTGCAGGAGGTGCAACATTGCCTGTAGTAGCCACGCTGGTCAAGGAACTCGTGTCTGTGACACTCTGAGCCTCATCTGGTGTGTTCGATCAGGATCTGGTATAGCTTTTTACATGAAGCGAAAACTTACCTCCTCCTTCAGGTAGGTCTGGACTGTTGCTAAGGGAAACTGCCGGGGGAATTTGAGTGCGACAGACGTAACAAATTTGCCTATGAGAACAAAGAACGCAACCTGGGCAGTAGCCTACTGCTAGCACTTCCTCCACATAGTCAGGGAGGTCAACGCCAGCCTCAGCATGGGCATGTGTGAGAACTAAAAATGATGATTTGAGTGCGACGACAAGCCAGTGTTATTATGCTGACTTACATAGTTGATTGCGCAAAAGCTCCACCACTGTGACCAGTTTGGACAAACTGAAGGTTTGTTCCTTAACCACCATGGGAAAGACATTCATTTTGGACAAACAGATGGAGCTCGATGTAATAACAACGCTCAGTGGCTGAAGATAGCTAAAGATGTGGTTGCTCGATGATGGGAAAAGGTTTCAATCAACGTATCTTATATCACTCACATTGGCAAACATTGGCAAACTCTGCCATGGGCTTCACAGAAGGGTTCTCGCATGACAAGAATCCGATACATAAGGATTGGGAGGATCCCAAAGCACATCCTCACTCACTCCCATAAGTCTGGACTCATCAGACGATTCAGACCATGCAATGTCGAGCTCTAGTGGAGGCATCACCAGCAGTGACCCACCAGGTATTGTATATCTGCTCAATGCATGATGTGGGATTGATCATGAATTTCATAGCTCATGAAACAATCGTGGTCATAGCAGCTGGGGTCGGGGTCGGAGTCGGGGTCGTGTGCGTGGACAACATGACACTGGACTTGGCCATGGCCGAATACATTATCACTCCTTCATCAAGTCTGCCGATTACTCACAAGAGGGTCAAATTTACCTCACAACCGCACGGTGGTCTAGCTGCATCTCGTCAAGATGTCATCAGGTCCTCAGAGGCATCTTCTTTCACCAATGCACGTCCTGCAGACATTATTCTTAGTGATAACGTCAGCGACGACGGGATGGTGATTACTATGCGGCAATGGATGAGGATCCTTCACCTGAAGTGGAAGTAGGATCTCCGAATAAGTGCAAGTGCACAGCTGGTGTACGTGGATGGTTTGGTTTCCACTCGCTTACAGTTTGCTGACCTTCTCCAGGACCATCCTCTCCTTAATTGGATTGATCATCGGGAATTATTCCTTCTTGAGATGCTTCGCCACAATGGAAGAGGTGATGGTGTCTTGTCGACCTTCTGTGACACCTGTGGGATCACTGTTGGTGTATACCGCTGTAAGGATTGTTTTGTGCCTGGATTATCATGTCAGATGTGTGTTGTTCGTGCTCACGCACATTCACCAATGCATCGTGTAGAGGTAAGTGGCATGTCTGATTGGGATGCTGTACATGCCTCATCAGAATCCTACAGAAGTGGAACAATGAGTGCTTCCAAAATGTGACTCTTAAAGATCTGGGGCTTCGCGTGCAACTCGGTCATAAGATTGGTGAATCATGCTTGCTTCCCAACCAAGCATTCAACAACAATTTCATCCTCATCGACACCCTTGGCATCCACCCTATGGCCATGGATTTTTGTGGGTGCGACAGAGCACAAACTCACACCCAACAACTGTTACGTGTTGGTTGGTTCCCTGCAACAACCAGTGACCCGAGAACTGCAGCAACATTTGGCATGCTCTGGCAGTTCCACATCTTGTCATTTGAGTTGAAAGTTTCCTCATACAAATTTTACCATTCTTTAGCTCGTCTCACGGACAATACAGGCCTTCTGAAGTGCAAGGATCGGTATGAGGCATTCATGCGCATGGTGCGTGAATTTCGGCATGTGAAGATGCTGAAGCGAGCTGGCCGTGGACATGATCCTTCAGGCATCATTGCCACACAGCAGGGTGAATGCGCGGTTTTATGCCCAGTGTGCCCTCAGCCCGGGAGGAATCTTCCTCATGCTTGGCAACTTGCTCCAAAAGGAAAAAGGTATGCACTTCATTGATTGATAATAACAGCTTCTCATGCGTCTCCAGATGGTTATATGGCCTCTTTCTTGCAATCAATGCAAACTTTTGCCTGAAGAGGTGGATAGTCTCAAAGGATACTGTGGATCCGAGTTTGTCCTGTGGGTGGGGATACTTTGTTGACAAGACCACATACAAGACACATCTTACCAATCACGGCATGGGGTGTCTTGAGGGTATATGAGCTTATGCTGCCAAGCAGGCAAACATTCACTGAGTGTTTACCGATCATTTCCAGACTTTATGGTCTCCCTTTCTCTCTCCCGATACCATAGCCTTGTCGAATGTGGTTCATTCTAGCGCAGACCATGCTGCCAACCTCCCTAGTCTCTCGGCGCCGCCTCCACCCGAGGTGTAGTTGCTTATGTGCCTGTGTACATTATTGCCAATATATGTCTACTTTGCATCCCCGAAGTATGTGTGTGGTGTGTATGTAATGCTTTGTGGTACCTTAGATTAGATCTGGACACCCTTCTGGTCAGTGTGCTTCACAGCGAAGGTACCGTGTGAACCGATCTGATTCCTGAGGGGAACATGCTTCTGGTCAGGAACACACTTCTGGTCACTGTGCTTGACAGCAAAGGTACTGTGTGAACTGGAATTTGGATGCTAGAGACAGGGCAGGCGGAGACAGGGTAGGTGTGTCTTAGGGGCAGCTGTCTTACAACTGTAATGAATTAATGCATGATTCAGGCTTACAATTGTAGTCGCTCATGCATTACAAGTATCTTACAATTATAAGACTTAATGCATCATCACCCCAGGGTGTTGTGCACTGATAGAGAGGCCGGCATGTGCAAGTACATCTATAACTCTTTGCAGCGCACCAGATGAGTGCAGAAAGATGCCGAAGATGCACTGCAATGTATTGCAGCACTCATTTGAGTTCTGTGCAAAGATGCACGCACAGATTACGGTTTTCTTCAGTAAGTCAGCTAAGACCTGCGTGTTGTTATTTGAGTGTCACGCACTATTATCATTAGTGCTGCATTCCTTTCTCCAGCTCGTTGTTGCCGTTTCCATGCTTTCCTTCATCATTCTCACGTTTCCTTTTATTGGAATCTGACTCGTCGATCACAGCAGAGTTGTCCCCTCTGAACTCACCGAGGATCATCTCCTTGTCCTCATATTCATCTTCCTTGTCCTCATATTCATCTTCCTCGTATTCTCACAACATTTCTGTTATGTCCACCACCGAGAATGTTCGCCTGCACCCTGGGTTTGCATCTAGCAGTGCAAGCAACATTTTGAACACATTTGGTGCAACTTTCTTGATTTTTAGCGCAAGTGTGCGCATAAATGAATCTTCAAGCTGTGTAGATGTTGTTTTAGACGCTTTGAAGTGCAGGCCAATGCGCTCGCTCGATAGATCAACCATTTCTTCACAAAGAACCCCAACAACTGTTTCAAATGCCCAGCCAAAGACGGTCTCACAGCATCCAACAGACGAGAAGAGCAGATAGCAAATGACAACTGCATGCTGCTGAAGTGAGTCTTTTATTGGCTGATAGTTTGGCTGCAGCGCTGACAGCACCGTTTTTGCAAGGTCCCAGAGTGATACTTTGTTTGCAAGCATAAGTTGAAGGATGCTGTTCACAGCGCTAGCTGGAGGAATGACAGACATTGTGCGAGGGAGTGCAGGGAGTATTTTCATTGTCTCGTACTAAAGATACACTATTAACTGTAACACAGCCTGCTCCGTTACACATTCGGTGTTTGTGCGTATGTAGTACTTACTATGAATGAACATGCCCATATATGGGAGTGGCAGGGTGGGAGGGTGGGACACAGGCTGACACATACTTGACACATACTTGACACAGTGGCGGTTTCTGAGTTTTGCCCCAGGCAAGATTTTAATCAAAATGAGAATGATAAATTAGTCATTTGTACTTTGAATTTCATCGCTGGGACAATAGAAAATTTCGACTGATGGCAAAATGACAAAGCACAATAATACATTTCAACACCAATTTGAAGTGCATCTAGATGTATAAAATACTCGAAGTTTTCTCCTTTTGAAACATGTTGGCCCAAATTTAAACTTTTGCAATCTTATTTTATCCAAAGATAAATCCAGCATTTCGAGCGCAGAAAAATGTTCTGCAAAATATTATATAGTAATAGGTGTTTTGCCAGTCCCAAAAATTTTGAATTTGCCCTAAATTTAAATGAGATCGAGAAAATGCAAAGTTTAAGCAATGGAGAATTATAGTGGGCATTCATTGGGCGCTCGCTGGGCATTCAATAAGCATTCATGCTGAGCACAGTGGATGTGACGTGTCACGCGTTCGACCTGTTCATTGAAATCAAACACGTTAATCTTCAATAAGCATTCGCGCTGAGCACAGTGAACGTGACGCATGACGCGTTCGACCTGTTCAAATCAAACACATTAATCTTCAGACACTTTTATCAACAACGATGGCTGAAGTGCACACAAACGTAAGTTCTCAATAGCCCGATCACATGCAGGGACTGATCCATTGTCTGCAGGAAGTTAACATTGATGAAAATAACTATGTAAGTAATGCTACCGTCTGAGTGAGTACACTAATTCTACAATATTAGCTTTTTTATGGGGAGGTGGAGCTAGAGCAGGCTGGGGATGTTATGGTGCAGGCTGGGGATGTTATGGAGGAGGCTGGGGACATAGAGCATGGTGGAAACGTTGAGTACGCCGGAGACATTGGGTACGCCAGAGATGTTGGGCACACCGGAGACATATGGGAGCAGAGCGGTCAAGAAAGTTTTGCAATAATGCCATCCACAATAGTAAGTCCACTGCTGCTCACCACCGTAAGCAAATTGACATGTCTAGGTGTTATGGGACTACGCACAGGAAATTGTACAAGACGATATGGAACACAGGCAAACTCATCCGCACGACCCACATCGCGCTCACCCCCCCATCCAAATGTTGCATCGCGACAAATGCCTCCTAGCGTTGATGGTGGAGGATAGGCGCGAAGTGGTGTTCCAACTATGGCAGGAGTTGGACGAGATAGAGTATCTATTGGGTTTAGAGCACATCTAGGGTGTGTTCTACCAGACGAGCTGCCAGTTCCTGGCGGACCTGCATTAAGTACATTCATAGATATTCTGCTGTGATTTGTATTACCTACTCGATTCAAATGAGTGTGGAAGTGATGTACTGGAACGCCATCCACCACTTGCTTGGCTTGCCCGTCTCATCAGCATACAGGTGTTCTACCAGACGAGCTGCCAGTTCCTGGTGGACCTGCATCAAGTATGTTCGTAGATATACCGCTGTGATGTGTATTACCTACTCGATTCAAGTGAGCATGGATGCATCTGCTTTGCTCCTAGGTGTAGGATAATGGACATTTGATGCTTCATGCTGTCGTCCATACTAAAACGAAAACACGAGAGATGTATGGTATGTTCACCGCTCAAAACTTAGCTGGACTTGCCAGGTCAGGCGCATCAGTAATGAATAAGTAATTTAGAAATGCACACCCACCTCCTGTCCGATACAAATGCCCACCAACTTCCATCCCGATAGATTTTCTTAAATTAAATGAGTTCTGCTCGCCCACCCGCCTCACACCCACTAAGCATAGAGAATTTTATAATGTCACTATGTACACAATTTGCAGCTGCACCTCGGAGGACTCTTTGCTTCATGTGAGTACGTCAACCTCTTCTCATTCTTCTCCATCAAGAACTCAATCCTATTAGTTGTGAGACCATTGTAAATGTCGGAGAGAGAGAGATACGCACACGACACAGAGACACGGCAATGATATGCTGCGGGGAGAAGTTCCACCGTGTGAAATGTGACACTACCCACTCAGGCATGACAACCTCAAGATGGTCAGCAAGCGCCGACGAGTGTAATTGAGCCAGGAAGTGAGGATAATGGCGAAAAGGGTCTGGGTAAGAGAGTAGTGGGAGGTGACACCACACAGCGAAGCTTACTCCATGCTCGGTCCTGAAAATATACTTGATGGTTCCTGGTGTTTGCGTGTGCATAACGCCGTCAGGATAGTAGAGGATCAGGCTGTTGCCCACGTGAGTGGATTCACGTGCATAGATTGATCCCTTGTAGATTATGCGAGCATGCAAGACTGCTCGCTAAACATTAATGAGGCATCGGAGGTCTTCTGGAATATCTTCTTTGGGTGTAAGAGGTATTGGGCAATCTTCAAGTATAGCATCAACTGTGGGAGAAACAAATCTGTCAAATAAAGATTTGACATCCCTAAATACGGGAGGGCAGGAAGGCCGGTTCAGCCAGTATTTCAGTTTTGCAGCCTTGATGTGCGAGGCAAGGAGAGTTTATTCTCGCTGACCTTTATTAGAACCACCAATGTTAGAAATCCATCACGACCAAGAAGGTAAAAATAATACCAAAAATGTGGTTGATTGGCAAATGCTGCAGCTGCCTGATGAGGTGCTCATATGGGAAGCACCACCACGACCACACAGGACCGAAGAGCTGCAAATAGTCCCAGACGTGCAACACCATGTGGCCATTAGTACGATGGGGTGCATGGGGATGTAAAACCTGTAAGTCTTGTACCCATGCCACAATGTATCCATGATATGCTTCTACTTGAGCGGCTGTCATGAATCGCAGACATGCGATATGTACCGCAGAGACAAGGGACATGGTGTGATTGAGGATGGCGCGACAATTGGCTGCAACTTCTGAGGTGCAATGTTGAGATCCTTCGCCCCATAAACTAACCAGCGCTATGGGTAAGTACACAGTTGTCAATGTGCGCCATTTGTCAGCCTTCAGGGTTCCAGCTTTTGCTTCTCCAAAGTTATATGGGACTGATCTTAATGAGGACAGCATATCTGTTGTTTGAATAACATCAACAATGCGTTGCATGACTTCAGGGGTAGTGATGCGCAATTTCGACGATTCGGTAGTGAAAGGCTTTGTTTGATGCTACAAAGCCAATTAAAGCAGCAGGTTGAGAAGATGTATGAGAACGCCAAGAAAATTACATACCCAATGAATAAGTGATCCAACCCAGTGGGCCTTGTAGACCTTTTTTCCAGGGTGCGTGACATCTGGCACAATGCCCAATTCCACCGATACAAACTGAAGGCATGCGACCTTCTTCGAAGAAAGCCTCCTCTCCAACTCGGTCATGTGAGTCTCAACGAGCAGAGTATCATTGCCCACTACGGTAAGGAGGTCACAAATGGAATTGACACTCTTGATGTCTTTCTCCCAAAAGCCTTCAGGCTTGTTGAGATTGATGTGAAAAGAAGGGAGAGGATCAGACTTTCACTGCGCCGAATCAGCTGTAAGACCCAAGAATTCGCGGAAGTGATCGTGCGTGAGACCCTCCAGTAGACAATGCATGGTATCAACAACGAGTTGACGAGAGGGATCCCAGTACGATAACCTCCAAAGTGTTGACCATTGCACCCCGTATGATGCGAACAACTTGTTGCGTTCAGCTGAAGTGCCAGCGTTCTTCCACAGCTCAGCAAGACAGCGCATTTCATTCTTGTCCCGAAGTCCCCAGTCTGCAGAATGAATATCTGTTCTACCACAAGTTGACCTGTGCCAGCAATGGCATGCAGTACAATAAAAGTGACTGGTTGGACCAGCTAGCTGGGCAGCCTTTCTCGCCGCTGGGAGGTCGCACACTAGACATGCTATAGCGCTGCGCGTCACCCGACCATGTGCCTGGAGAGCTGTGCAGGAAAAATGTATCCCGCATTCCCAACTTTCTACCAAGTTGTCAACCACGGGATCAAGGAAGTGATTCGACTGATCTCCCAAGGGTTCTGAAGGTCCCAGAATGATTCCGGCTAAGTACATGTTTTCTGGCTTGTATCAGATATTGAGGGGGAGGTTCAAGCACACACAGGATATTATTCCAGTGGAAGTCGATGCAGTCCGCTGAAGATTGCCCTCAATGTTGAAAAAATCAACGTTGAGCGTGAAAGCGAATCGACCCTCGCTGCCTCTGTCAATAAATAATGATTGCGTGGGACCCTCGAAATTGTGAAAGAAGTCGGTATCCCAGACATCTTTGATGATACGCGGTGGTGCACTCCCAATTGAGGATAGCAAATCATTGCAAGGCCTATCCATTATCGCTTCCAGGTCGGGACGAGACAGCAGTCCAGCGAGGTAGTCGTGGAAGTGGTGATAAACAAATGTTTTTATTGGTTCTAGTTGCCCACCAAGGGAGCGCTGCAGCAATGGTTCGTCACAAGGAACATCCTCGGGTCTCAGTCTGTTGGAACAATTGGGGGGGTGACATGCACTACTTGAATTGAGATTGGCCTTCTGTTTGAAGGTGCAGTTGCACGCAGGACAGACCGTGTAGGTAGTGGTCTGGCCGTCAAGCTTGAAGCGTGAAAGGGCGGCCTCCATTGTTCACAGGATCTGAGAGAGTGTGTTTTGTTGACGAGACTCAGAATGGGGGTTTTGCGCATCCATGGCAAGGCTCAAGATTAGGGAAAGGACGCCCATCAGGAACTCCCCATGTCTGCGACCGATGCCGAAAATGACAATGGAAACGGCTCCCAGAAAAAGGGATACCTGGGCAATCTCGTTGGAATAGTTGATGGACAAATTGTAATGACGTGCTTGCCTTTATGTCAGTGGGAAGGACATAATGTAAGAATAAACAAAACTCACAAGAATCAAATTCAACTGGCCCAGACAACAAGGGAAGCCCATCTTCCTTCCTGAAAAGGAGTTTTTGCATCTTGTCACACGATGTCTCTAGCCGAGTCTTGCGAGAGACTATAGAGGAGACCTTGTGCTTTACTTTCGTGAGGGTCTTGATTGTTGCAGCCAGGTCATTTCGGATGGACCACAACACATCACGAGACGTTGCACAGGAAAGTTGAATGTGAGCCCTTTCCATCCGTGACTCCACCACGTTCAAAGTTACTTCAGCCTTTGAATGGAGCCGCATCTCGGCAGCCTGGAGGGTGTGGGTGATGTGTCTGTGAAGCGAACAGTTAGCATGCATGAAGCGTGTGATATGTATCACTCACTGAGTATTGTTGACAGTGAGTTCAGCATCCAGGTAAGCCTTTCCCTTGTCTTGTTGGACTTCTGAATGCGAAACCCACAATTTGTGGTGACTATCTGAATGAGCATTGTTATTGGTTAGGGTGATAGCGAATAGTTCGGTGGCGATATCGTCCACCGGTGTCGACATGTTGGACTGATGCATTGGGCGCTCATGTTCAAAATGTTGAGGGGACGGTGGCTCGCGATCTGGGCTGGGCTGGAGAATGGCTTGACGAGCGAGATGAAGTATGGAACTTTCACATTCGGATGAGGTCGAAATGTTGACAGCGTGCACTAAATACACATGTTTGATGGCAATGGACAGGTCTTTGCCACCAGGATTCCTAGGTACGCCGTCCACTCCAACATCACAACATTGTGCACATTTGCAAAGAAAAGTTCGACTAGGCATCTAAATAAACTTTAGATGATGATGATCAAATATGAAGCTATTGATGATATTACCTCTTGAGAAGATGGGAATGCGGCGAGCGCTTTAACAGAGGCTTAAGTACCGGAAAAAGAGTGAGGATTAAGGAATTATGTCAAAGACACCGATGTACTTACCAAAGTACAATGTTTGCCCTGGAGACTCCAGTTGTTGTAGGATACGTCCATTTCGGTCAATGCTGCACAACACCCGCTAGCTGGGCGCTCACCTGTGAGCATTTCAGACGATTACAACCAAAGACAAGTGAGGGACTGACCAAAGTAGTTAGCACTTGCGCCGGATGAAGTCTACAAATAAATTACAATGTCTGTTGATTAAGGATGTGCTTGCACATACAACAAAGGGGCCTGAGTGCACTAGGTCGGATTTTCACTTGAATAATTTCGTCAATGCACTCTAGAAATACAACTACTACTTGAAATACAATAGTTGTAACATTAACATTGCAACAAACTCGAAAACAAGTACATGATGGTCAGAAGGGAACCAAATTAACAGGAAGGCACGCCTAATGTAGTAAATGACTACATAATCAAGCTCCGCCACAATTTTAGGCTCAGCGCCCGCTCTTGAAATAATCTACATAATCAACATACTACATGAGTAATAGATCTGCAATTAATGTTTCCTCCCAAAAAACAAGCCTCGTAAGCATTGGGGAGGAACAAGAAGACAGATGTTTATGAATTAGAATGTCGCTGGTGATTTTGCTTAATGTTAAATGGTCGACTGTCGACTGTAAAAGTGCGTTTCATTGATGCATCAAGATCAGTCATGCATTGTAACAGTGCTAGAGAACATGCGTAAAGGTATTGTAGGTATATGGTAAGTGGAAATGTGAAATTGGAAAGCATAATGCAGCACATGCAGATGTCAAGGAATAAAATGAGACTTTAGGGACTTGAGCTCATTCAGGCCAGTCACCAATAGCGTCCCATCACCGACTTCTGACAAAACACCATGCAGGCTGGGTGCTCCACTGTCATCTTCTGCCACAATATCATTTAGCCTACGTTTCTTGCCAGTTGGGGTGACTTCTGCCCACGAAGACAGTATTGACTTCGTGACCATGCGACCTGCTGGCTTGCACATAAGTACTTTTTGTTCCACAGCAGGGTCTTCAGGCCAGCCAGGTACTTGAAGGTACTTGTCGTAAAGGTCTATAACGGCATCGTGTGAGTGTAGGACCTTCATCCCCATCTCATGCTTGTAGGCAAGAGACTCCTCCATGAACTTCTGTACAGCCATGTACAGTTGCCCTTTCACCGCTGACTGTTCCTGCAACACTAGCTGGAGGTTTGCAAGTGCAGCCCTCTCATCATCTGGGATCTTAGTGTACCGATGCGAGAAGAACACGCAGAGTTCAGCGACCAGATCGTCGAGAAATTTGTGACCGACAAACGTATCATGTGGAAGGTTGGTTCTCGTCAGGAGCCAACCCTCTTTTGAGGATCCTCCGTTGAAGACCTGCGTCAAGAGTAGTGTCCGGTCGACAATATCCATGGAAGTTTCTGTGTACTTTAAAGCTGTCCAGAGAAGGACGTAAAGACTGGATTCAAGGTCGTCCGCGACACTATGAACGGCATGTATATGTGAGATGAGGTAGGCAGACATAAATTGCTAGGTTCCCTTGGTGACAGAAAAGATATTACAAAATATAATAAACCTTAGGAATGCAATGAATTTACCGTGTGGTTCTTTTGTCGAGGACCCTGAATGGTAACTAGCTTTGCTAGGTCCCAATCGATGAGAAGGCCAATGCCATCGTGTACGACAATGTTTCCAACACTGAGGTCTCGATGTAACACCTTTGCAAGTTCATATGTGTCTTTATGAGCTGTGTGTATAAATAAGATGAAGATGTATTACTTTGAGTTCCAAGATACGCACCAATCAGTGCGTCACGGATGGACTGGACAAGTTGATGAGAGCTCTCAAACTTAATCAACATCACTCCCACAATATTGAGAGCCAGGCGATGAAGAGTGTGCAGAGTGATAGCCATGTCACAGTTGGGACGTGCCCATGCAGAGCTTGAAAGCCTGACAGTCTGGGTGATTTGCTGAGGGATAGAGCGGGGTACGTCATGGCATGCAACACATGTTGCAATATTGCAAACTCCGTGTGACTTTAATAATTTGTAAGTCTCGCCCTCCAGGAGGAGGACGTCTGTTAACAATACCTGCCAAGAGTCCTTGAACATTACGACCTTGTCATTGAGAAGATCAAATGCAGGACACGTGCATGTCCCACGGCCGACGGGCGGAACACCATATGCAACGGGTTGAGGGATGATCAGGGTCAACATACCAGAGCCATTAACAATGGGGATGGAAACTTTAAACATGCGCTTGGCATCTGGAAGCTTTAACTGCGACCTTGCAAGGGCAGCCTCCTCGGCACTGGTGGGAGATACAGAAGTATCGATGCCACACAGTTCAGGTGATGCTTGTGCATAGTGATGGAAGAAGTTGGCTAAATGTGGCTCAGTGTTGTAATTGATAATGCTAGTAATGATAGCACCCTCCCTATCCCATCGGACGATGCGAGCGCAATCACTCACAATCAGGACAGAGAATGCATGGGAATGGTATTGGGTGCCAAGCTGAGCTGCAGCATAGCTCGTGATTTGTCCCAATGTGTCCATGCTGTTATCGGTGGGAGATATGATGCTGTCACCAACTTTGTGGAATGTGTCATGGCAATAATCACATTTGAATTCGATGATTATTTCTGCTGTGGAAATATTGGTGCCACGTGATGTTGCATCGGCATATACGCAGACGTCTGGCTTGACGCTGAATGTGAATGACGAACAATTAACTGTGTCTGCATGGTTGTGGGAGTCGATAAACGATAATTGAGGAGTGAAATATTTCATGGTGTTGATCTGTAGTTGGACTCTATCAACAATCTCAATGTCACAGATGCGGGGACACTCACGAATGGTTCATAAGCATGCTGCTCATTAACAGCAGAGAGCGTGCTGCTGAATACGCCAGGAGCGAAGGCTGAAGTGAAGCTCAAAGCATCATAATTGGGTATCTGTGAAGTTGGCAGGAACTCCTGGAGAAATTCCCCAGCTGGCATCGGGCCAACGACATGACCTTTCATCTTGTAGCCCATGGCATTGAGAGTTTCGAGCCGGCATCGTGTATGCGTTGTGTAGGGCAACATCGTGGAACTACCAAATTTAAAGGGAGTGTCGAAGATAGAGGGATCTAGGGATGATGCAGGAGGAGGAGGCAGAGGCCCTATCGGTCGTGCAGCAGGGGTGTTGGTCCCATCAGCAGGCACTTCTACTATGTCAGGCGCAAGGAGCATGGTATTTCTAGATACAGTATTACAACTATAGTACAGTGAAATTGATATATGAAATGATGTAACAGTGGGATGATGTAACAGGTAATGGGGACACCAAACCGTCCCAAATTAGATGAGGGAAGAAAAGAGAAAAAATAGTCATTATTTCGAGCTTATATAGTGAATGACTCGGTCGGATGTTCCTGAAATTGGGTGCTGATAGGTAAATGCCGGTGAGCCGGACTCTAAAGTTGGCACCGGTGGGAAGCATGCTTATAGCCCAAATATTTCTTTGTATAAAGTACACTCAGCGCCCGCTTATCGATTCTGTGGTTTAGCCGTAAATATGTATCTATGAGGGGGAACAAGTAATGAATTACGAGGAGCGCTCAGGACTCTGCAGTTTTACAGACACTTCAACATCAGCAGCTGCAATTCTGCGCATAATATTAACAAGATCCCCAGCAGTAACGCTAGAGTAACCTCACATACTGACATGTTTGACTTCAGGAAAGGCTTCGATCCACACCACAGATAACGCCTGTGGCCACGATCAGTATTGAGATAGCAATTGAACAAACACATACCAATGCATCTCCTGCAGGGGCAGAGGATGATCCTGCAGCATCTGAGGAGTCAATCGCCAAGTGATTGATGCGGACTGCTGAATGAGTGCCTGGCCAAATCATTGCCGAAAGGGAAAGACTCTGTGAAGGTAGGGAGATGAGGAGATATCTGACACTATCACAATGGCCGATACATTATAAAATGGTGGTAATGTAGTCAGGCAATGCGTCATGAGCTTGCAATGAAAGTACAAGGCAGCCGAGGGCAGGCGGTTTACGGAGACTCTGAAGGACTGGGAGGACATGGGACAAAGGTCCATCTAGCGTAGATATAGATAGCATCAAAGGAATGATGGTTCGATTGGTCCTCCAGAAACCACCAGGTCGCGGAATGATACTGAGGTCATTAATAGCAGGGTGGCAGGCCAGAAAATGAATGAGTGTGGATGGCGCACAATCAGCGTCAACTCGGAGTTCGACAAGTGTTGGGATAACCAAGTACCACAGGAGTTTGTCCCAGTGTGCAGAGCTGAGTTTGATGGAAGTAAGTCAAAGCTTCTCCAAATGGGAACAGCGGATAGTCTGGATCATGAAAGGAAGGAGCTTTGGGGAAAATAACATCCCCGAGGACACCTCAAAGGCTTTGAGGTGATTTGCACCCACGCGCCCCTGAATTCGGGTGAGTTTAGTGATGGCTGATGGGCCAACGAAATGGCAAAATCCCATGTACATCAGTTCTTTGCAACCAGAGGCATGGATGTTCTCGAGGAATGTAATTATTTGAGGGAGAATGGGCGAAGCGAGAATGTTGAAATTCCAGAAAAGCGTGATGTATTGTATCAATTTGTGAGGGACGGATTGAAGGAAGTGCGAAAATGCAGATAGCTGTGGGGCTCACAAATCAGAATCCAACCAACACAACATCATACGTGGCGGACAGAAGGTATCCATCCGTATCCAAGTAGGCAAGACGTCAAAGTTGGGTGAGTCTACATGGATGTGACACAGGTCCTGTGGTGAAGTTGGAAAGTTCCGGTTGGCAAAGAAGAGCAGACCAGCAATTTCTCTCAACAGAGAACAAACTTGCGCAACATAGCGCATATCTTGTGCTCCTAGAAAAGTAACAATAAGAATGAGGATTTCCGCGGGCAGGGACCAAATGAATGCCGTGGTGTTACAAGGCTCATAAAGCTCTATGCGCTTGATTGAAAAGGGTTCTAGTTGAGCATCTGCTTTATGCTTCAAGAATATGTCAGACTACAGTTGAGATCAGTAGAGTCCAATATATATGGGAGACCTTTCCATACTGCCTCCCTGTACAAATGTTTGGCTGCGGGGCTTGTAAAGGCGGTGGTGCAACAATTTATAGATCTGGGTTGCAAATTCATAGCAACTTGGCGTATGTTGCCTGTGGAATAGGATTGCAGGATAACCTGGCATATGTCGCCTACAGAATAGGATTCCAGGATACGTCGCTTTTGAGGGGATACCGAGTCATCAAAGTCGATGTTGTGCTTCAGGGATCGCGCCTTACTGTGTTGGGTGACAGCATCCTGCCGACCAAGTGCTAGAGTGCTGATGTCCTGTAGAACAGCAGTTAAAGGGAGCCTATATGCCTACACCTATGAAGAGCCTCACCATGCCAGAGGTGGCAATCATTGATATGGAGTCCCAAGAATGCATCTAAGAAAATTTTGTAAGTGACAAGCAGAGCAATTGATACACGGAGCAGACATCACTAAAAATGGATTGTTAACCAGAGATGTGAGTAAAGGAGGGATTGAAGACAATTGTAATGATCTACGCCTGCTTTAAATTGTTCAAAGTCTGAGGAGCTTATTGTTTGGTCCTGAGGAGAGCGATTTGTTCGATCTATAGGTTTAATCTCTTGCAGAGGGATAAAACAGAAAGATTTCATCAGTGGCAGAGGGGATACACCAGAGATTTAATCACCTGCAGAGGGAATAACCAGAGAGCATGTTCGAATAGGGTATGACTACTTACGGAAGCGAGTAGGAAATACAATACAATTGAAACATACTACTAGATGGGACGGCCCAAATGCAAACTGTAACGACTGTCAGGGCCCGATTTAAAAGTTACACAAAAGTAGGATTGCACACAACTCACTCATGGTGTTCACATTAACATCACCTCGCAGCAAAACTACTGCAGTCCATTGCAAACACTTCAATCCCTACATTCGACCCTCGCAAGAATATATAGCACCAACGGCACCTCTAACGAGGAGGTTTGCTATGTATTTCGACGAGTACAAGGTTGACCTGGAACAGGATGCAGTAAGTGTAGATGGAAGCTCATAATCTCAAGCACTCACTCAATGAACTGAACCTCCCAGGTGTGGATGGGATCTGCTATGATGATCGACAAACCCAATTCACCCGGCAAGATATCAGGAAGTGTGAAAGACGCAGATGTTCCCAATAACATTAGTAACAAGGTTATGTTGACAGGCTCATGGACTGACAGTACATTTCAAGGTTGGCAATCTCGAGGTGGTTCAGGCGCCAATCTTGGTCAATGTTGCCAATGACATCGGTGGCAGTCAAGCTGTGGGACACGTGTCTCTGAAGAAAAGCAAACTTATTTGCGGCCTACAGAAGGCGATCAACAAGTGTATTGAACATCTTTGTGAAGTGGGCCATCCAACTACTAACCTCTTGCGCAAGTGTATTGAACATCTTTGTGAAGTGGGCCATCCAACTACTAACCTCTTGCGCAAGTGTATCAATGCCGCATTGGAGGGTGCATTGTTGGGCATAGAGATAGACGACATTATGCCCAGGCATGGCTCCAAAGGTGGAGAACCCAAAACACACAACAATGAACAAGATGACGTAAGGCGATGAATTGGTGTCACAATAATCTCGATTGATTATGTTCATTAGAAGATTCATACCAACGACAATGATCCAACATCTGGCATGCCAGGAGGATATCCAACTGTATAGTGATATTGAGACGTTGATAACTTAAACTACTGCACATAGAACATACCGAGCTTGCTACATTTGAGGAATATGTTATATGTATGTTTGTGTTCGAGTCACCAGGGACGCAGGAGCTCTTATTTATTTCTTAAACATTGAAAGGAAATCAAAAAGAAAGCTTCAAGTCAGTGAAGGCCCACCTAATATAGAGAATGACTTACACATTTAAACTCCGCTGGATAGAGTGCTCCCAGTTGACTATATGAGAAGCATCAAAGCCATAGAATAGCAATATTGTAGTACAAGTACAGGGTGCGATAGCTGACAGTACAAGGTCATATTGAATAGTAGAAGAAAAAGAGATAACCAGGAATCCAGGAATCAGCTGTCATCCGACTTGTACATGAACTCAAATGATTTCACCTGTGTGCAACCATAATTTCAATCCTCTGGAACTTTGTATTAGATACCTTGACCGGTGGATGTTGGTCACTCAACCACAATGGATTGTAGAATGTGCTAGGTAGACCCGCGACTGCTGGCCAAATAGACTCTTGCTTGGCATTGTGAAGACACTTTGTGGGCTTGCTTCCCCTTGGAGTGAAGACGGCTGCACCCACACGCTGCTTGTCAATGATTTGCATCTCATGACTGAAATTGGCTCTCCAAGGCATGGTCTTCAACCGAAAAACCAGAACCCCGCAATCTTCATCCTCACTTTCATCAGAGCTCAGCCATCTTTATCCAGTGTCTCCACAATGGAGTTCAGATACACCCACACATGTAGATCCTCCTTTCCGGTCGCTTTCCTATCACTGAGTAGCGCTGATGTGAGCTTTGGTGAGTTTTGAACTTCTAAGGAGCAACTTAACATTCGTCGACTCCACGGGGACATAAACAAACATGACTTACTGTTGTCCTACAGGACAGGACCCTAGCCATCCACAATTGCTCGTTCGTATGGTCCATCAGACGATCTCCCACTTGTCGCATAGTCTCACGAGTGCCATCACTAAGGACCTGAGGATGGGCTTTTCTCCAGCACCTGTGGCATTGATCACATTTGTGTGTGATATCACTCCTGATTGAGTGCTGGGACCATCCGGTCCAGTGGTTCCTCTTCTGCAGGGTCATATACAGGGAACAGAGAAGATCGATGACCTTTTGGTTCCAATCCAACTTGTGTGTGGTCGTCATATCCCACTGCAGTGCAAGCAAGTCAAGACCGGGACCCATGTCGCCTATGAAGGACGAGATGGTTTCGCATGATGCTCCCTCATGAAGCATGTACTCATCATCTTTCGTGAAATGGAACACCTCTTTGAATAAGTCCCACACATTCGCCTGATATTTCATTAGCAATGCTGTTTGAAAGAGCGAATTGCTCACCTTATTCTCTCGATGTTGAGCGTTGGTGAAATATTCAACAGGAGGGTCAGTGATTTTACGTCTTGAGCGAGGTCCACAAGGGGACGGTGTCTGTTGAACCTGAAGAGCTTTCACGAGCGCCTCAGCGAGCATTCCGACCATGGCGTGTTCAATCAGAACATCAGCCAATGGCGAAGTCAAGGGACAACCAGCATTGCCACTGGTGGAAGTCTGAGGTTCTTCGTCTGCAAGAGATTCTGAGCGTACATCAGGAATCTGGGAAATAATGGGTGTGATGATAGATACAGAGGGGAAATACATATGTTGACTTACTGGTGAAAACCCTAGAATGTTAGGGCATGTAACAGCAGGTCTTTTGCCTACAAGAGTTGCCTGTCGGATTTGGTTCTACAAAATTGTTAGAGCTCGTCGCACCAACACTTTTAAGATGCACATTCAATGAAGCGATTTTTGAACCATACTCAGCGGCCAGGCGCACTAATTCCATTTCATTATCAGCACACTGCTTCTCTCTTGCTACAAGGATCTCGCATTGATATAAAGCATCTTTCTCTGCCAATACATTATCTTGTTCCACATGTGCGGCATTTTGTGCCTCGTCAAAGTCAAGTGCCAACCAGTTCTGCCAATAAAAGTCACAACAGTCCAACCTGCAATATAAACAATGTTCTACCTGGATTGCCGTAACTTCATTGCGGTGCTGCCGTTCCAATGAAGTGAGTGCCTCGACTTTGTCGCACTCAAGGTATGCATTCTTGTCATGATACTGCCTGATGACGGATTGCATCTCCGATTCGTGTGAGTGAGCATCCATCTGGAGGCGAGTGAGACATGATCATGTATGATGCGAAATGATGCCTTACCTGCACGTGGTGCTTTCGAAGCAAAAGGTCGTGGTAGCTATAGCGTAGCTCACGCACATCATCACGCAGCCCGGATGAATGATCCGTTTCCTTGAGAACAACTTTATTTGGCTAAATATATGTATGTTAGCTGAGATACGAACAGAGGTATAGGAAGGCTGACACACTCATCCTCCTCCTCTCTCATCCTATGGAGAGCCACCAACAGTTTATATAGTGCCATTGTGAAGTCCTCACCGAGCGAGGTAGGCTCGAGCGGCCGAGTGTGGATCACGGTAGAGGCAGGCTGGGGTGTGGGTGGATATGTGTGCACAGGGTGAAGCTCCTGGAGCGAGCAAGACTTGACAGCTGAATCGGTTGGATCCTCATCAGGATGAGGGGGGAAAAAAGCCATCAGGCGGGACATCTTGTCTTGTGAGACTGGTTCAGCATTTGTGGAATTTATCTTTAAAGAACACTCACCTCAATGAGGTGATCATCTAGCCGAATAGAAATGGGCATGGTCTATAGAACAAGTGTACTCTAATATCCAATATCATGGAGCTTTAAGTGTGAAACAACACATGACCTTGTTAACATTAGAGGTACAACAAAGTTTGAACTCATTCTGTTCATGTCAAATAACTACTTCTGTTCCATCAGACCAAACTACTTCTGCTCCACACTACTTCTGCTCCAGACTACTTCAGACTACTTATAACTATTTCTTCTTCGCATGTTTCTGTCGCTCCTTAGCGGAAATGTTTTTCAATTGCATCTGAATAAAATCTCCCACTGGCCAACACCCCATATAGTCATGTAATTCCAGAAAGTGAGCGACGGCCTCAATGGGAAGTTAGAGGGAAATAAGTGTAAAAACTGCAGACATACCTCACTCTCAACAGAGGTCAACGCATTAGGTGTTTGGTTTGTCTTGCTCTTGCTAGTGTCGCAATATTTATTGATCGATTGGTGGCAATGCTCCTAACGTCAGTATGAATATAAGATTGGATCGTAGCAAAAGGATCTTACCCTTAACTTCTTGAACTGATCAGCATCCCAGTTAAGTGCCTTTTCCAAGTTGTATCCTCCACGACCTGGGCGCCCTGCTTCACCCTCTGGTTTGGGAATTTTGGAGTCATTGGACTCCGTTGACAAGATGGAAGACCACATTGACATCTGTTCTGGCTCGCCATTCTGGGAAACCTTGTCTGCTAAAAACGATACTGACTTGGTGACTTTGGGAGTGGAACCACAAACAGGGATGGGTGTGGTTGCACAAAACGATGTGGTTGTGAAAACACGCGATGGAGTATGAATGTGTCCCCGCAGCGTATGGGTAGAGAATGCCATCTCTTCTTGTGGAGAGATCAAGATAAATGATGCCGTTGGATAGAGCATCTCTGTGTGATACATTAATGATGGAAGTTGCTGTGGAGGACCATCCGCCCGATAGAATGCATTGACAGGTGCAGAGGTATGAGGCATGATGGGACTGATCTTACAAGTTAGACAATGCTTTATCCCCAAAGTTTGTAAGGACCCTAATTGGGGACACGTGCCCGCTAGGGAGTTACCACGGAGATGTCATCACAGATTACCTGTTGTTGTCGCCAAGTGTTTTTGTTATTATGTATACCATGTCATCCAACTATGGTATATACATTGTATTAAAGACCTCAAAGATATTAGAAAATTGACTTACATCGTGACCACCAATGTTTTTCCTATCTGCCAAAAATAGCAAGGAATACCGCCTTGAAGGGCACCTTGTCGGACACAAGAACACGATCAATTGCTTGACTGTCTCAAGCAATGGCAGTCTGTTGGCAAGTGGTGGTAAGTTGAATATGCGACAGTCCCATAGATAGACTTACTAGGAAGTAGGCTTGGACGGGATGAGGATTTGGGACCTCAAATGGCAACTTCAGCTCCCATCTCCGTGTCAAAACGTAGGCCTTCACAATCCAGCCGATCCCGTGACATGTGCATCCTGGATCACCCGCCAAGAGGTGACACGAAAGACATTGTGTTATGGCACAGGACTGGGATTCATTGGTATTTGGCAACAGCAGGGCGAAGGCATGGAGGACTTTGACACCAAAGTGTCAAGAAGAATCAGCACAGGTAAAGAGATCATGTGCCTTACCTATGATCATGCTGAGGACGACACTTGTATTGCTACTGGGACACAGGACAAATGTGTTCAAGTTTGGTCATTTGACTTCAAAGGACCATTAATTCCAATCTTCAGCATTGAGCTCTCTACCACAATTCCGCGCACAATACACTTCAATTGCACTGCAAGTCAAAACTTATTAGTCTTCGGAATGTATGATGGAGAGGTGTACGTCAATACAGCAATCCTCACAATAATTCTAACATACTTTGTAGACATGCTCTTCGGGGCACAGATGGAGTTATTATTGCCATGAACAATGCTGGACCCATGATGTGAGTGATTTCATCAGGAAAATATTGGCATTCCTTACCATTTAACCAAAGCGGGCACACTTCCATGGACGTCGCCCAAACACTGTTCCTCATCGACAACGTGATGAATGGATTTAGCTTGCACCGATTGGACGATGCAGTGTGCATCCGAACCTACAATACTAACCCAGTCAAAACATTTCCGAAACAATTAGTGTTCGGCGAAAAGACTGACGTGGTGGTCGGTGGCAGCGACACAGGTGTTATATACGTTTTCAACAAGAATGAAGGAACCCTCAAGCAAGTGTTGAGGCATGCCAACAAGGCGAGAGTACAGACTGTTACAGTGTGGTATTTTTATCGAGTTAGAGTAGGGTTGGCTATCGCGATAGCTCTGCTCACATATGTTAGCCATGTCGTAAGTCATAAGTTATCATTCGTCCGCAGTGTGACGACTTACCCTGATTGCAGTGTGTTACAATGAACACATTGATTTCATTAGAGTCACTGGGGAATATCTGGCGAAACTTGGCTCGACTGCATGACCCAACAAATCATGACATCCGTGTCTGGGTAGAGCAGTATATTGAGCACCGAGGGGAGATGGTAGTAATCTCGAATGAAAATAAGATACATACTGGGTGAGGAAAGACTGGAGCTGACAATGACATGGGGCATGACGGGGAGTCGCAGGCCATTATTATTCTCGGTATCTAGTATGGTGTCACTGTGATGAATTGATTCAATACACCAAATCAAACTATGCACGCGGGCACGAATTACCATCTGTATCATGATTGCGATGAGCAGGTGAGTGCCGACTCTACGTTCTGAGCGCGCAAAAAGCTATAATTAGAATGCCCAATGTACGAATGTTCAAGAGTCTAAGTCAATACTATAGGAAACAGACTACGAATCAATCATACTACGAATCAATCATACTACAAAACAGACTACAAAACATACTACAAAACAGACTACTAGCTTAGCTATATGAAAAGTAGAGCTATAGTAGCTAATGAACACCTCCCTTAAAGTGAAAATCTGAAAGAAGTCGACAGTGTAAACAAACACCATTATATAGAGAACAACTATAATCCAAACTCCGCCGGAGATTTACCGAAGCGCCCATGTGACCAGTCTCGAAAGTTCTGAGATGTTCTGTTTACATAATCATTGCCTGCAACTGGGTTTCAATTGTGTAACTCATTCTCTATATCATGGCCGTCTTCTCAAATTTATCTTTTTTTTCGACTGTCTTGTACAAGAAGTGTAAATACATAGAATACATAGAATAGCACTGATTAGTAGCGGGCGATCATCGCCTATTCTTTATATTCGCGCACGCACCCAGTATGCTCCCCTAAGTTTGGCGGGCGGGAGGACTCAGGTTTTCAACTCTGCGCAAAAACTGAAATCCACCACAATACCTCACAATGGGTAATGTTGCGCTAGTCCACAATTAGTCGTTCACTACAAATACTGATCTCGTGCCTTGATAGTTTTCTTTCCACTACCACTACCTTGACACATAATTGAACTTTGTGATACTATACTTAGCGTAGACTTAATGTATTGAATACAGTATGTGACATTTTAAGTTTGTTTGTAATGCTGCTGAAACCAATTGTGTAGAACTACAGAAAGAATGTCCAAATGAGCTGCATTGAATGATGACGCACCTACAGCAAAGCGCATCAGAACAGACGAAGGTGAGTAGCGATACAATATTGTCGATCTCATTATTCATGCATGCGTATCACAGGGAGTCAGAGTCAGACCTCAGCCCTGGCGGATGAGGGTGCATGGAGAATTTTAGAAGAGTTCCTTACCACCGACATGACGTACTCTCAGATGGAGGAAGCCTTTCTATCGTACCTCGGTAATCAATATTCTGAAGACGACTGGAAGGAATCACGAGATGCGCTGTTCTCCGGTGACAGTGATGACAATGTCATCTTGGAAAACCTTCGCATTGTAGAGGCGAGGCACATACAGTGGCTCAAAAAACTGTCCGCATGTTTTCACATTTTTCACTATCTATGATATTGTGTGAGAATATACAAACACCTCAAGGACATGCTGGTACCATATTGTAGCACCACTTCAGGGCTTTCAATTGAGCACTATGGCGTGGGAATTGGTCAAGATATGGTTGAGATATGAGGCTTCCAAAATGATGACTCATGCGGACAGTTTTTTGACTCAAGTATTTTACAGTGATAATCAGGTATTCTAGTACTTTGTGTGACCTCCCTTGGCTTTAATTACTGCCTCTATCCTTCTAGGCATACTCTCAATCAATTTCTGGCAATATTCTGTTGCAATCCTTCCCCATTCCACTGCTACTCTCTCCCATAGCTCCCATACTCCTTTAGGGGGGTTTCAGAGGCTTGAAGCTTCTTCTTGAGTGTTCCCCAGAGATGTTCAATGACATTGACATCAGGGGACTGTTCTGGTCAGTCAAGAACATTGATATCATGTTCTTCAAACCATTTTCTGGCTCTCCTAGATGTGTGCTTGGGATCATTAGCCTGTTGGAAAATGATGTCTTCTTCATCAATCCCTGATTTAGCTATGCTAGGCAGCAAGTGGTCATTTAGAATGTCCACATACTGCTCAGCATCCATCCTCCCCTCAACTTCAGCAAGCATACCCACACCATTCCATCCAATACACCCCTGTACCATTAGAGAACCTCCTCCAAATTTGACAGTCTCACCAACCTCTCTGTCTGTTAGAGAATCTCCCTTCTTTTTCCATACATATACCTTCCCATCTGACCCAATCCTATCGATTTTGGTCTCATCTGACCATATAACATGCTTCCAGTGCTCTACAGTCCAGTTTTGATGGGCCAAGCCAAAGGTAGTCTTCTCTGCCTATGTTTGATAGAGAGAAGAGGCATTTCTTCTTTGTTACTGCCTTGAGATGAACTGCCTTGAGAACATCCCTCACAGTTTGTGAAGAGACAGTGGTGGTGATGGTGGAATTGATATAATGGGTGGCTTGGACAGCATTATCAGCCTTTCCTGCAGTGATATGTTGAATGTTAACCCTCTTATTAGTAGAGGTGGACATCCTCCACAAGATTTTTCCATGTCCAGGTGGCTTTCTTTGATAAACTTGGCCACAGTAGACTTGCATACTCCAGTTCTAGAGGAAATTTGATGAGCAGAGAGGCCAGAATAGGACAAAGAGAGGATATTATCCCTTTGAGCAGAGGAGATGGCTTTAATGGTGATTATGATCATGACACATGAAACATTCTGGTTTATATAGTTAGATATAGTTTTAAGAGTATGCCTAGAAGGATAGAGGCAGTAATTAAAGCCAAGGGAGGTCACACAAAGTACTAGAATACCTGATTATCACTGTAAAATACTTGAGTCAAAAAACTGTCCGCATGAGTCATCATTTTGGAAGCCTCATATCTCAACCATATCTTGACCAATTCCCACGCCATAGTGCTCAATTGAAAGCCCTGAAGTGGTGCTACAATATGGTACCAGCATGTCCTTGAGGTGTTTGTATATTCTCACACAATATCATAGATAGTGAAAAATGTGAAAACATGCGGACAGTTTTTTGAGCCACTGTACCTCCGGCCTTCTGTACACCAAAAGATCATTCTGTTACGGGCAGCCGATTGTCCCGGGCGCGCGTTCGACCTTCGCGTAGACCAGCCAAAGTAAGTGAAATGTTCTGATACCTTGATCTATATCTACTAAACAGCAACTGAAGTTAAAAAATCCCTACCTTGATCTGGATGCAGAAGAAGATGACGAGGAGGAGCAGGAAAAGGAGGAGCAGGAGCAGGAAGAAGATGACAACGGCCCATCTGAGTCATGGAAGGTTTCATGCTTGCCAGGATCATCATTGGCCAATAAGTTCACCGCAGTCATCAATGACCTCTCGAATAGATTCAAGGATACACAGCAGAACTCATCGCGAGATCACCAGCGTCTTCCCTCCTCAATATCTGGCTTGATCACTTCGACTTCAGCTCGATTGCAAGACAGGAGGATGTATCTCCTTCATGTCAACCGTAAGTCTTTCTAATGACGTAATGTATCATTTTTCACCAATAAATTACAGGAAATGTCACAGACTATATTGCTCAACACCTTCGGAAGAAGAACTTTCGCGTTACAGTGTCAGCTTGGCTAGCAGGCCAGCTTTACGTGGTGGCGGACAGCCCAAAAACCATCGCCAAATCCCTTTCTTTATCACTGTACCTCACCGTGAAAAAATATGTCTATATACCGGATGAAGAATGTGAAGTGGTCGAGTGGTCTTGCGCAACATTTCCCAACCCAGCATGGGTGAGGTTCAAGCATGACAAGTACAAGGGTGACATAGCCCAAGTCTTCAATTCTGACTTACCAAACAATTTTTTCGCGGTCTTAGTTCCCCCACAGGAGTTCCCCTATCCCATGCCTCGGGGATCTCAGTCACTACTTGACCGATCCCGCCTTCCGAACGGGGACACAGTCTCCAACATTAATTGCAGTGAGGAAGTTGTAGGATGCAAGTACAAAGGAGAAAGATACTATATGGGCCTCCTACTTAAAAGTGTTCATCGTGATCGCCTAGAACGTGTTGTCTGCCCTCATGCTGACGACATTCAACTCCACCTACAATCTGGGTGGGGCCAGTCCTTTCTCAAGTCAACTGTAGTTGCGTTTGCCATGCAGTTCTTGCGTGTAGGCAATTGGGCCAGGATTCTCAAAGGAGACCTTAGTTCAGAAATCAGTCTGGTCATTTCGACCGACCATCCTGCTGGTGTTGTCACCTTGGAGCTGACCTTGAGTGGTCGCTGAAAGGAAATAGACATCCAATTAGAGGACATAGAGCGCGTGTTTTGGGTCGGCAACACAGTTCAAGTGGTAGCAGGTCCATACTTAGGTGTGGAAGGGCACATCATTCAAATGGTAGATGATATATTTCATCTTTGTCAGGACATCTCGAAGGAAGAGGTAAATGTCTCTTGTCAATTTTTTTAAAAAAAAACATCTAATACAAGGCATAGTTGGAAGTTTCCAAGTACTACCTAGATCATCGCCCTCTGAGTCACACGCTGCAAGCACAGCTGCCAACTCAGCAACCTTTAAACCCTCTCCCTAATATTGAATCCATTCAAATTGGGGATTCCATAGATGTGCTTGTGGGGGAGCACATGGGGAAATCTGGCATCGTGCACTGGCTCTCCAAGGGAGGGAATTATCTGTGGTTCCAGGATGGATTGTTGAATATCCCAGTTCCTGTTGCAGTTGTTCAGCGGATCCCCAACCTCCAGACACTGCAGTATATGCAAGACAGGGGTTATGATGTCAAGCCTGGAGATGTTGTGAGAGTTGCCTGTGGGCCAGAGTATCTGACAAAAGGGGTCGTGCAAAGCATTGACTTTCCAAACACTTGCTTGACCCTACTCTCTGAGATTGACCACTCGCTAGTTAGTATTAATTCTCCTCGACTTATGCATGTCTGACTTCTGACAGGTTGACATTCCCATCAGATTCGTGATCAAAGTACACAATGCCAACTTGGATGTGTTCAAAAAGGACATTGGCCAAGAAGTTTTCATTATTGGGGGTGACCACAAGGGCTACCGAGCCACGCTGTACAGTTTCACCTCCAAGAATTGTACCATTGCCGTGCATGGGCAGCAGCACACCACAATCCAACTCAAGGATGTTGCTACCAGGTAAGCGACACGCACATGTTTGCAATGAATTAATTTCATAGGTATTTAGGTATGGAATGAGGTTGAACGGTACCATGCTCGAAGGAACCGACATGTTATCTTTCTGCGAGATGCAGAAAAGATTGTACTTAGCCCTGCAACCTTGAAGCGCCACCCCCCCCCCCCCCCCCCTGAAAAGGTTCCCTTGAGCTCGTCAGCTTCCATCGTAGATCCTAGCATGTCATCATCCACCTGGACCGCCTGGACCACCAGCCCTGAGGGTCCTTCGTCTAGCCTCAATCCCTCACAGACAGCCAAACCTGACCCCTGGACTGTCAACATGCTGGATAACATTGATGCTAGCATGGAGGAACCCAAAGAGAGTGAGTCCTTCAATAGAACCGTCCACAACATTCCCACTTATTTGATCCTAGGCCCGTTAGCTTGGTTGATGAACAAGGAGTTTTCTTCCAAATTCACTACTTTTCACGCAATGTTGAAAGTCTCACCCTCATTCATGGGAGGCAGGCTACACAACCGATTTGTGTCAATGGCTTGTCCTGACCCCTTCCTCGGTCTGAATGGACCTGCCCCCGAGGGTTATGTTGCAGTGTTCTGCTCATCAAATGGTGCAGGCGCTGCGATTCAGCACTATCATATACCTGCCACAGATCTGAGCGCAGCTCCCCCACACAAAAAAAACCAACAGTGTATTGTTCTGCACGGAAGTCATTGCGGTTCTATCTCCAATGTAGTTAAGTGTCACCTCAAGAAGAACACTGTAGACATCGCAATTACTCCGTCAACATTTATCAATTTGCATTTTGATCAGATTTGTCTTGTAGAGCAGTCACACATGACTATGTAATACCAAATACCATTACCACCTTACCATAATCATTACCTTAATAATATGCTGAATGCCCAATGAATCCCTTATGAATGCGCAATGAATGCCCGCTGGATGCACATGTCATTTTCCCATGCATCAAACTTCGCATTTCCCCTATCACATTTCATCGCAAGAAAAATTTTGGGTTTAACTGTCATGGGAAATGCCTATCATTATATAATATTTTACACAACATTTTTTTGCGCCCAAAAGTTTGTATTTACCTTTTATTACAAAATTTCAAATGTATATTGATATTTTCCTGGTTGAAAACCTCAAATATTGAGACAGGGCATAAAATTTTTGTCAAAATGTGTCACTTTGTATTGTCCTTTCCCCGTTCATCCAAATTTCTCGTTGTTCTCAAGTCAAAATTCGAAGTGAAAATCCTTGATTTATCAACCCCATTTTGATTAAAATCTTGCTTGTGTCAAAACTCCGAAACCGCCAGTGTGTGAGATAGGCGGCAGGTTGAAATTTTTTGGGCGGGACAAACAAGGCCCAACTATCGCGCCATAACAAGTTTTACCAGTCGCTCTTAGACTGGTGACCAGCCCCTCTATGAGGCAAACCGTCGATAGAGGGACTGGTAAATCTGGGTTTGAATTTGGATAGTGCGCGCCTTGGAGTAGTAACATGACCGACAAGCCCTTTTCGGGAGTTAGATGAGTCTTTGCTAAGTTCTCGATCGAATGTGTCGTCCCAGGTAGCATTGCTCGTCGACTCCGGCAGCGATCAGCTCTCATTCCACTGGCCGCTGCAGGGCAGCGCCACGTCTTGGACAGCCCTATTTATGATTTAAATTCAAACTTTAGCTTCTTCTGAGATAGTACTGGTCTCAAGCACTGTTATCAAGGGAAAGATGTCTCAAGAACTCGGATGGCCCAGGGACGACGAGGACCTCTCAATGCTCATCGACACTGATGTCAACCGGTCCATAGACTCTGGATTCGTCGACCTCACTATGGAAGCTCCTGCACAAACCTCCCGTTTGAGTACCAGAGGCAGCCGGATGTCTACACACGAACGCATCAGCAGCGCACTGAAAATACTGCGGGACAGTCGGATATCTATTCTGGACTTACTTGTGAAGATAATGGACCCATCTCAGATGTTGTACTCAACTTATCGAGATCGCATGTACGTGCCTTCGGCAACTGAGAAGCAATCGGGAAACAGGAGGTTGGAGAAGGTGCTGGATTTTCTATGGGACGATCCCCGAAGTCATGCGCGTGTTCTCAAGTGGATGCAACCACATGCCCTCTCATATATCTGTGATACCATGTATGGTGAAATGGACCAGGTCAAACAGTGCCTCCATGTCACGCTCAATATTATCACTCCCAAACTCCTCCTTGCCTGTAATGTCGAAACAACTCTTTCCTCTGTCGTACACGAACATGCACCTGTACTGTGCGAAATTGTTGCAAGCGCTGCTCAGACCGAACGTGTGAAGGCGAAGAATAAAGTCAAAGATTGTGGTATTGTACGACCACCAATCCATCCGTGTTTCATTGTGTTTTAACTGTTGTGTCTCGTACTCAAGGCCTGCAATGTCATCATTATGCAACTTGCAGTACAGCGCTCGTACCACAGTATTTTATTTTCTGCATCATTCACACTCTTTCTTTGGATGAACGGTGCCTCACATCAAACTATTGAAGCATTTCATAAGTGTGGCCTGTGTATATCATTCACCTCGCTCCTCAAACTTCTCGAAATCCTCGCTGATCAATGCATCGAACAGGCACATAGGATTGTGAGAGGACCACACGTCATGTGCTATGACAATATCAATATCAGCACGTCAATTTTCATTGAACAACGTATCAAATGCTCGTACTTCCCAGCACAAATTGACTGTATATTGATAGTAAATGAGTTCAAATGTCCCCCATACATAGAAACTAGTAGCAATATGTGAGTCAACTTCACCTGCCAAAGCGACATGTCATTCGGGGTGTCTTCATTAATTGATATCGTAGATATACCGTATTTCATGCATTCATTGACCTGCCGCAGGCTCATTCTCACATGTAATGAGTCAACATCAATTTGAATCTCACCTGTGTAATTTGGAGACGTTTCAGAGGTGAAATCGTCATACTGATAGTGTCGGGACGAAGTAGATTAGGAATAATAAGACACAAGGTCTTTCCGCAGCCTGTACCAGCTGTAATTATGCTGTCACAGCCATTCAACGTGGCAAGAATAGCTTCTAGCTGAAATTGTCGTGGAACAATGGTTGTAGCTGTGAGAATGTACACGAGCAGGCAAGCGCGTAATGCATCCGTCTTATCTTTGCTACTGAGGGTTTCGATGTAGTCGGTAGGGAGCCGTTCTTGTATCAGCGAGTGAGCAAATGAATCTAGTCCTTCGAGTGATGCTTCCCGCACAGCTTGGATGATCGAGTTCACGTCCATTGGAGTTGTAGAGTGAATACATACATTAACGACGTGACCGTGTTTGCATCACATCAATATTCAAACATTAATTTCAATATCTCAAATATTCTCGACGAAATTTTGGTTTTCTGATTGGCTACAGGTCACGTTACTGCTCCAAGGCACGCACTATCCAAATTCAAACCCAGATTTACCAGTCCCTCTATCGACGGTTTGCCTCATAGAGGGGCTGGTCACCAGTCTAAGTCGCTCTGTGGGGAGTTGTCCTCCAAAATTTCGGCTATAGTATGATGACTAATGTTTTGTTTTATTTGTATCGTGGCTGCTCTAGGATGAGAGGACTTCTCCCCACAGGCGGATGGGTTGGAGTCTGACCAAAGTGGATGCCATCCCATTTCTGAGAAAGATGGCTCGCAACTTGTCTCTTTAATTCAGATCACGACTCCTCAGATATCAACGCACGGCTCTTTCGTTCTGGACCCAAGCATCGTCATCAGACAAACCAATTTTCCGATAGCTTCGGGTGGGCTTGGAGACGTGTACAAATGTACCTTGCTAAACAGGGGTGCAAGTCCAGAAGAGGTATCTCACACATCCATCATCTCCATGTTTGTGCTCACTCTATGCTCAGGTTGCGGTCAAATCGCCACGGTTTCCAAGTCTGACTGAAGCCGAAATTGCCAAAATAAACCATGTGTGTTTACTGCCACGTGCCTGAATTTCATTTCTGTTTGAACTCTGAACGTAGAATCTTGACCGCGAAATCAAGATATGGACCCTACTGGAACATCAATATGTATTACGTCTGCATGGCACCGTAACAGGTTTTGGGCCGTTTCGCTCATTGGTTTCCTCCTGGATGCCGAACGGAACATTGAACTCCTACCTTAATCGTGCGCATGAAACCCTCACGACTATGGGTAGCCTTCACATTGTAAGTTTTTGTACGAAGCCTATTACCGGAGCTTACTATTTCTCAAAGCTTAAACAGATTACGGAGGGGCTCAAATACCGTGAGCAACGGATTGGCTATGGCAATCATGGGCTGAAGTGATGACGATGCTTTGGACAGTCCACGATAACAACGTGATTCACGGTGATCTTACCAGTGTATGTCTGCATACGATGTGCATCCATTATCCTCTGATCACGATTGTAGAACAATGTCCTGGTTGCTGCCGATGGATCCCCGCGCCTTGCAGACTTCGGTGTTTCGAATATCATGGTAAAGTCCAACCCGGCATTCTCCTACCACACCGGCGCTGTTCGTTGGGCCGCTCCGGAGTTTATTGTCCATCAGGAAGGCCAAACTGTGCAATGCGCCACTAAATTCAGTGATATATATGCTCTTGGGTGTATCATGCTTCAGGCCAGTCTCATATTTACGTTGTTTACGACACCTGACAGGTTCTGTAGGTGTTATACAGGAAACTTCCCTACTGGTGGATCAAGACTGCCCTGCAAGTCGTGGCATTAAAGTTCAATTACCAAGAGCCCATTATTGACACCATGCAAATTCCAGCACATCCCCTTGATTTCATGCGGCGGTGCTGGTCAATCAAGAGTGAGAATCGTCCATCAGTGGATGACGTGTTGGTCTTTCTCGAGAAAGCTATCTCCCATGAAACTTCATCTACGTAAGGTCTCGATTCGAAAGTGTTTCTTTTTCATGCCTTATTTATTCTGACTACCTCCATGCTCTCATAGAATAGTGTCTCTGAGTATAATATAGACTCGCATGTCCGGGGGCTCGGTACCTGTGACTCATAATACTGTAAAAGCGAAACCCATCATACCTTCGCATGCACACCCGCATCCAGGCTCGCTGTCTTATGGGACGATATGACATCGTTTGGCTAGGGACGCGAATGTGTTTTCACGCGAGTGGGTGCACGCCTTAATTCTTGCTCGGGGACAAAGAGTAAGGAGGGTCTTGGGGCTCCACCGACTCGCACGAAGTTCAGAATCAGACCTTCGCACGAGAAATATTGCCAAGGATCGCTATCACATAGTACATTATATCACACTGATATCTCGCGACAACACAAAACCTAATTACTGGGACCCAGATCTCGCACGATATAGTCGATCGTCGGGCGCTCGGCTGGTTCCCTATTCAAGCATCGCATTGACAGTTGTCCATGCACCCCATAACTCTGTATGTCGTTGAAAGGCTCCCGACCTCGTAACATTGCGTTCATAACGGCACCTGCTTTTTTGATCGATTCGTAAGGCTGCTTTCCCGAGAAGATCTGGAACTATTGTAAGAAAGCTATTCCAAGAATTAATGATTCGACTGACCTGCAACATCACGCAGCCATACGAATAGATATCCCCAGCTTTGGTTGGCTTCTCGTCTTCGACAGCCTCGGGGGCCATCCAACGAGTGTTTCCTGGATGACATGAGTTGAACGTGGCGTTTTCCGCCTCAGCGAGGATCATCGATAGCCCAAAGTCTGCGAGACGGAGGCGACCAGTGTTATCAACCAAAACATTCGTCTGACCGCAATTCATTGAATTTAGCCATGTTACATGTAGATTGGGGTGAGACCTACCCCTGTCAAGTCGCCATGCACGATATCTTTCCCGTGTACTAGGGGACCTCAGTCTTCAGTATATTATGCCGCATCGCTACGTTCATTAATGGGACGCACGATAACTGAGGCCAGAAGCCACCTGTTGTATCTGAAATTGTGTAAGTATTATGAAGCCAGTGCGATAGCCATCCACTTACAAGTTCTAGTTTCCGATGGTCAGACAGCTGGGAAAATTCGCGCCTTAAGTAATCGTTCAGTGATCCGTTTTCCATCCATGGAGATAGCAGCGCAGGAAGTGGTCCAAAATCTTCGGTGACCCCCTCGAAAGGGAGGATGTGGTCGTGTGACAACGTGATCCAAACATAAGCCTCACGACGAATTTTCTGAGACGCAACCAAAACCATCAGCGAGTGGAATTGCTACTCCTTCGTGCCCTAACCTTGCCTGTTTTCTTTACTAGTTCTACATCACTTGTGTGAGGAACCCTGATCGATTTGACAGCGACCTTGATTATGATTAATAACGAGGCGTCTAGTATATACCCATTGAACTTACGGTGCGAATCTCGGATTGTGTAGACATAGAACATTTCCAGACATCACCGAGCCCTCCTGAACCATTAGGAAATTGTTCAAGTCTTTGAATAGCTGTCTTAGGAACATGAATTGGTTCGAATCCGATCTTGAAGAGTGGGTTGGTCTCCTGCTAATACAGTTAGTTTGTAATCAATGCATAAGTCCTATCGACTTACGGCTAGGTAATCCCCCATTCCGAAGTACTAGTAAAGGTCTCAGTGTTCGAAATGACCGTGACAAGAGTTAGACAACTGATGGGACGAAGGAGACGCAGCGGACATCCTCATATGTGCCCACTCTTGAAGAGACAAATTAACAACGCCGTAAGGGTAAAAATAAATACCATGATCATACGAGGCCCTCTGTCATTGTCGGACCTGTTTGAGCCTGACGCCTGCCAAGGCCGGAGGGTTTACTAGTTATTAGGTTAGCAACGAGGCCTCAGTGAGCGTCCTGCTCCGAGGCCTAAGCATCTTGATAAGCTTGTGCGACGGTTAATAGTACTATGGCTGTGTTGTTTCAATTATCTTCACATCGTGGCGATTGATTTATGTACGTCTTCCATCAGACTCGGAGAAATAAGATACCCTACGATGCGCATGTTTGATTGTATTATGTACATAGTGTGATTCATCGATATTCATCCATGCATGTGGATCCACACAGATACAAGATTGACACTGGAATTCCTCCATCTTCACTTTGTCGTAACTTCTCCATCCAACCCTACTCACTTACAATTATTCTACTTATTTTCCAAACTTGTCACGGTGATGTGTGGGACTTTTGCTGAGTGCTCAGCTTCTCCAACTGATTTGTTGGAGGCAGACTCGAATTGCAAGGACTAGCAGCTTTCCACGACATGAAAGATCTCGACGCGACATGATGTCTTGAAACAGTTTTTGGTAAGACCGAGGAAGCGAGGAATCCCAATTCCTGTGTGCAGTCATGCTATGGGCGCTTTCCTACGACCTGCATAGCCTCTTGCATTGCTCTTGCATACAGCAAGCTATAAGACCCTTATGTAGCCTAAAACAGACCGAAAGGCGTCAATACTTGGTGCTCCCTGCGTTGACGACCGATAAGTGGCGTCGATAGAAGGGAAATCGTTGGACAGATCATGACGCCTGTCTTGTTCTTAAGGGGTTGCGCCAGTGATTGTGTAACGCTGGATCGTAGAGCTCTTGCCTGTCATTGGTGGATAAGATCGACCGAGTCTCCAGACTTTGCCAAAACCGAACAAACCTAGAGTATCACAACTGGGATGTCACATCTGAGATACTAAGCACTTGCCTTCAAGATGAGGTATAAATGATATATCCGTAAGATTGTGCGAGCGCGCGCGCTTAAGTCATAAAAGTTCAGCAATATTAATCTGATCCTGAGTCACTGCATCAGAGGTTCTAGGAACCCTGGATGAAGCCGGACGAGACTCGAGTGCAATTCATAGAACAAACAGCCGCACCGGAATGTCATCCGGTTCATGTAAGAACGTCTCCGTCGAAACTAAGAAAGTCCTAAATGCGACAGACGTACAGGTAAGGATAATTGAACTTAGCCTGAGGCGCCTTAGACTGCGTTCGTACGTGAGGCTTTCCAAAATCGTGTTAAAGCGGGCGTTCTCATTTGGTGGAGGAACTAGAGAAACGGTATGTTTCTGTGGACTATCCCCTGGCGAGCCTCAGCACTCAATGATTTGGTCAGGGAGCGACTAAGTGTGTAGATGAGTATATACTATACGGTGTGTCACGGTGGTACATGATGCCTTACATACCTCATCGAGAACTTCCAGAGCCCTGAAGGCGTTGTAGCCGAAGTCACCGGATAATGAGTGCAGCGTGACTCAATTGATAGTTCGATTGGAAGATTTCCATACTTTGAGCAGTGACATAACGGAATATTTTTGGACTGCTGCGATATGAATTGGATTATCAGTTCCTCCTAGAATATTATGTATCACCAGTGACCACAGCTTTTTCAATAAGGACGAAAGCACTGCTAGTGCACTGCACAGCGTATTTTGGAGAGGAATTGGTGACGTTGAACAGCCAACGTACAGTACTATGGTGTCTGCGCCGAAGCCTGATGCGGCTAACCGTAATATCTGACTAACCAATTTTTGAGTTTGCCACAGCAACTTTGTCAAAGTTTCATTCGAACTTGATTCGAACTGTAACCTGTTCAGTGTTGAGAGATAGGCCTTTACGATGTGCCGGTCGGACGGCCCACGGGTTGCGTGATGGTTCACTGCTCCCTGCACGCGTCGCAATTCTCAAATATATACCCGCAAAACCAGTCGCGTGAATAGTGACACCACACAGCTGCTTTTCGCTGCCTTGGACGCTGCTAGCAGGCTGCGAGCCGCCTACTGCATTATTGTCTTGCAATGGGTAATTGTTGTTCTCAAAATCCGGCGGTAAGTTCATGTCCTTCCATTCATTGTGTACGGTGGTCACAGATTACCCTCGACAGACGGGAAATGGCAATCTCCAGCCTCAGGATCACCGAGTTGCTTTCAAGGTTGAGCCACCCAATATTCCTGCGACAACCATTCAAAGACTTGAACAATTTGCTAATGGTTCAGGAGGGCTCGGTGACGTCTGGAAATGTTCTATGTCTACACAATCCGAGACTCGCACTGTAAGTTTAGAAACAGTGGGTACTAGACAACTTGTTATTGATCACAAACAAGGTCGCTGTCAAATCAATCAGGGTTCCTCACACAAGTGATATAGAACTAGTAAAAAGAACATGCAAGGTTAGGGCATGAAGGAGTCGCATTTCCACTCGCTGATAGTTTTGTTCACCATCCCAGAGAATTCGCCGTGAGGCTTATGTTTGGATCAAGATGTCACACGACCACATCCTCCCTTTTGAGGGTGTCACCGAAGATTTTGGGCCACTTCCTGCGCTAGTATCTCCATGGATGGAAAACGGATCACTGAACGATTACTTAAGGCGCGAGTTTTCCAAACTGTCTGACCATCGGAAACTAGAACTTGTAAGTGGATGGCTATCGCACTGGCTTTATAATACTTACACAATTTCAGATACAACAAGTGGCTTCTGGCCTCAGTTATCGTATGTCTCATTCATGAATGTAACGATCACATGATATACTAAAGACTAGAGTTCCTTAGTGCATGGGAGAGATATTGTGCACGGCGACTTGACAGGGGTAGGTCTCATCCTAATTTACATGTAGCATGCGGCCGAATTTAATGCATTGTGACCAGACCAACGTTTTGGTCGATAGCTCTGGTCGCCTCCGTCTCGCAGACTTTGGTCTATCAATAATTCTTGCCGAGGCGGAAAACACCACATTCAATTCCTGTCATCCAGGAAACACGCGTTGGATGGCCCCTGAGGCGCTCGGGGACGAGAAGCCAACCAAAGCTGGGGATATCTATTCGTATGGCTGCGTGATGTTGCAGGTCAGTCGGATCATTAATTCTTGAAATAGCTTTCTTATAATTGCTCCAGATCTTCTCAGGAAAGAAACCTTACGAGACGATCAAATCTGCATTTGCCGTTATGAGTGCAGTGTTTGAAGGGCGGGAGCCTTTCGACGGCATACAGAGTTATGGGGTGTATGGACAGCTCTCAACGCGATGTCTGAATAGGATATCGGCAGAGCGCCCAACGATCGACCATATCATGCAGGTTCTGGGTCCTAAGAATTAGGTTTTGTGTCGTCGTGAGATATCGGTGTGATATACTACCGATCACATGAGTTATTGGCTACTAAAATGTACAATATGATAATGATATTTCTCGTGTGCAGGCCTGATTCTGATTCCTGAACTTCCGAGTCGTCCCAAGGTGGCTACATATACTGTGTGAACTGCCATGCTTTGAGCAGCCGTAGCTTGCTGTACAATCTTGCGAAGTCTGCCGCTGTACAGTTTACTGACGAGTGGTGCGAGTCGATGGAGCCCTACGGCCATGTCCTCCAGTACTTTTGTTGGACAAACGAGGAAATTTGATACCAGGGACAGGGCCAAGACTCTCAGATATTTCAGAGATCATGTGCACGAGACGTATGAAGGTGTTAGTCTTGCCTGTCTCCGCAGCAGGCATGTCGTAAGGCATCTTTGAGGGCCCAGAGTCTGGCGGCAAAAATATACGCCCTCTTCATGTGCCACGAGGGCTTGGTATTGTATGCAGTCTGCTGGCACATAAATATTCCCCTGTACACAATGTAGGTGCCGACCCAGCGGTGTACTTATAGTATATAGAGAAATGGCAAAGTGAGAATATATATCCAACATGATACATGAAGGTGAAAAGGACGCAAGATCGGGGTTGATATAAGAAAAATAATCACTTCAAACTGAGAATTTATATAGGAGAAGTCTCATTCGACAGTGCTTCTTGAAGGTAGATTAGTACCTCCTCCATCGATGGACGAATCTCGCTCTTTATTGACCAACACCGCCGCATGAAATCTAGATGATTGAGCTGGATATTGACGGAGGAGTCAATGGGTTCTATGTCTTTGAACCTCGCAGAAACAACGTGTATGGCGGTTTTAAGCCACCAGTAGGGCTGTTTCCCATACAGGACCTGCAAGCGGGGGGTGTGAGTGTCACTAGCAAGCCAACGAGAGACTGACCTCAAGCATGATACCACCAAAAGCGTAGATGTCACTGGATTTGGTTGCGCATTGTATAGGTTGATCTTCCGGGGCATTGAGGAGCTCTGGAGCGACCCAACGTACTGCACCGGTGTGGTAGGAAAAGGCAGGGTTGGATTGTACCATGATATTCGAGATACCGAAATCTGAAAGGCGAGGGGATCCATCGGCAGCAACCAGTACATTATTCTATAATCACGATCAGAGGATTACGGATGCAAAGCATATGTAAACTTACACTGGTCAGGTCACCGTGTATCACGTTGTTGTCGTGGACTGTTCGAAGCATAGGCATCAGTTATATCGATCGCTTCCGTAGTCAATCCATCACTCACGATACTTGAGTCCCTCAGCGATTTGTCGGAGCTATTGAAAATAGTCAAGTTCTCGTAATCGGCTTCGAGAATAAAACTCACGAGGTGAAGCCTACCCACCATCGTGAAGATCTCAGGCGCATGATTGAGGTAAAAGTTCAAAGTCCCGTTCGGCATCCAGGGAGAAACCAATGCGCGAAACGGGCCGAAATCCTTTACAGTGCCATACAAACGCAGTACATATTCATGCTCTAATACGGCCCAGATACGGATCTCGCGGTCAAGGTTCTGCATTCAAGAATAAATGAAGTTCCTTCAGACCGTATCTCAACATACCTTATTGATTTTGACAGTTGCCTGATGATCACTCAAATTTGGGAATCGTGGGGATTTGACTGCGACCTGAAGTCAGAGTTAGTACACGCCAAAAATACGAATTTATGAAATACCTCTTGCGAACTTGCATCGCAGTTCCATGTACACTTGTAAACATCTCCAAGACCACCCGAGGCAGTTGGGTAATTCGTTTGCCTGATGATATTACTTGATTGAATACAGACAATGCTACAGTTGGATGTTTAAAAGTCCTGGCCCGACGTAGTAAAGAAATAACTTACGAGTCCCCTGTGTCAGAAGTAGATGCTTTGCCATTTGGTGCTGGGCCAATTCGTCGCTTACTAGAGTCGTTGAATTTAAGGAAGCGTGGTAATAAATGCACAACCTTCCGTAGGCGTTTAAGCATGTGGACGGGAAATCAAAGTGGAAGGTACTCCTACCCCTCCGGTACCGATGAACTGCTTCTTATATGTAGTCATTTCAGTATGTCAACGTCGCGAAGTTCCCCACCGACAATTGCGGGGAGTAGAGACTGCGTAGGGTTCAACTGAGGACATCACGACTGGAACGTAACCCTGTGGACGAATGAGATCGACGCTGAATGCTGTCCTTCCACAACAAACGCCCATTCTACAGGCGTCAAGTGGAAACCTGCTTCTCGTGTACGGCAGATAATAAACATGACATTCTTAAAGCATGTTGTCAGGGATGGAGCATTGGTGGCGCTGATAAGCCTAGTTGTTAAAACAGCAGCAGTTGCGCGAGGCAGTATTGGCTATCAGCAGCTTCGGTAGCATTAGACAATCATCGTGGCGAAAATATGGACCTTTGAGAAAGTCAGACGTCCATGTCAGCCAAAGGAGGCTGTCCATCGGTGTCGTTCAAACAAGTTCTGAGATGAAGACATGTCGCAGTGACTTGAGCGCTTACCTGCTGAATTGGCAACCAGGCCATGTTGGAGTCGCTCTTTGACCGTGAGGTTTTCATACCATGTGACTCATACCCGAAGATACGGAATGAAAGGTATCCCTACTGGCGTAAAGAAGGGCTGGCTGGACCCTATCACAGCCTGTATGATTATCTTCATTTCGTGACAGGCGGGGGCAAGGCTTTGTTACGTCATCGGAGCCTGACAGGCCTCCCGCATGCGTGTATTCCTGAGTGGATAGCCGAAACCGAAGTTCTGAATTCGATCATCCAACGTTGATTGTCTAACGTTGAACCGCCCTAAAATCATGAACAGGTCCTTCTACCGCCTTGATCAATCCTGAATGCTTGCGGCTCTACTTCGTCGTGTGACTTCCGGATCAGGTGGAATAGCACGAGCACAGCCATCTCTTGTAGAATTTCATCTCGTGATTGCACTGGAAATATATGCCACAAACCCCGAAGACCCCGCAGAAACCTAAATTGAACGTTTGCAGCATGTAAATTTTAAACCAAGCTAGTAGTAGTTTGCACATACCACTCAGCGTCCATCACCGCTCCGAGTAGGCGTTCCGGGGTCGTTGTCGAACAGTTGCTAATACCGAGCAAATAATTCCAGAAGGCTGACGCACAGAATCCACTGTGGCAAGAGGTGCATGAGGAGACGCTTGCCTGCCTTCTCCGGGCCGCCATGAGCATCCACTGCACCTCAATCAGTATGGGTGAAGAAACCTACCCATGCTCATCAACAATCATGAGTCAAGCACAAATATACTGAGCGCGGACACAACGGTGGATTACTCATTTCACGGCGTCTAACTTCCTATAGGATCGCATGAGCTTTAGAAAGGATCCTTGAAATTACTGAGAAGCTAAGTACGGACTCGTATATCGGATAGTATGAAGGGCCTAGCTCAGGCTCATTAATCATTCTCCATACACTTATCAGTACTGCTAGTGATACCAATGGAATCATGAGTGGAAGGACGAGAAGGACGATTATTAGTATTCACATAATGTACGTAATATGACTAATAATGAAACATACATATATATACATATACATAAATCAAGGTAGCAGATAAAATAATATCGATCAACTCTCCGATAAATTTACTGTTTCACTTGGACTCTAGCGCAATGACATGATCTGATCCTAAAAAACTCAAAACCTCAACAGCAGAGGGGCGACGTCCTATATCATTCCAGCATTTCTCGATGAAATCCCAGAAAGAATCTGCGATGTGCGGACTCGCGGGCCTTGTGGGCTTGTTACCCTTGAGTATCAAGACAGTGACTTGATGATCGCTCCGTACATTTGCATAGGGTTGTTGACCTGTCATAACCTGCAGAGGCTCAGTTGCAAACCAACACAACTAGGAATGCGAAAGACCTGAAGCATGATGCATCCCAAGGAATAAATATCGCTTGCTGGCTTTGGAGAAGTCAACGACTCTTCGTCCTCGGGCACCTCAAAGAGCTCTGGAGCAGCCCACCGCACATTGCTTCTGATGTATGAAGTACCTGAGAGCTCAGAACACATGGTGAGGATCCCGTGGTCTGCTACGTGGGCGTTGTGGTTGGAATCTATTAGAATGTTGTTCTATCATTCCAGATCTGATCATCAGAGCTAGAAGGAGGGTATCAGAGAACTACGTACGGCAGTGAGGTCACCGTGAACAACACCCTTCGAGTGAACTACAATGCCGTAAATCAGTGTTTCTGCAACTAATGAAGATCCCAACTTACGGTACCTGACGGCTGCAGCAACTTGTCGCAACTAAGAGTCCATTGAATACCATGTGAGAACGCCTTTGGGGGAGAACTCACGATTCGAAGTTTAGGTTCGATAGTCAACTCTGTGAAATTCTGTTCAAGATATGTGGTAAGCGAGCCGTTGTGTATCCAAGGGGAAACCATCGCTGGGAGTTGCCCGAACTCGTTACTGAAACCGAGCAGAGGCAAAAGATTCTCGTGTTGCAGTTGTTTCCGTGCACGAAAATCGGCCAAGAGTCTCTGTGAAGCCATGATGGTTGAGCAAGCGTATCAGATGCAAATGGGAAGCCGAGGGTACTTGGGTAATTCTGGCCTTGGAATCGTCGCCTGCGACGTCGATCCTTATGGACTTGACTGCTACCTGTCATGGATTCAAATCGTTTAGCTAGACTAGTACATCATGTACACGATATGCTTGCCTCCTGGTCGGACGCGGTGTAGGTGCATTTCCATACATCCCCGAAACTACCGTGCGCTATGGGATTGGACGACTCCTTGGATATGAATCCCGTGAGGTCAGGTAGGCTGCATTAGAAATGTGAGGAATTGCATCATTATAGGGTACTATTATGAACTCGCTGGTTGTCGGGGTCTGTCTCGGTGAGACTTGTAGGCGGGAGGCTTCTCCACCACAGTAACTTCCTCCCGATTTTCCCTAACCAAGACCGGTAGCAGGATAAGAAAGGAAGAGGCATCTAGGTGATAGAGTCATAGTTCATGGTCTTTTAACAAGGGGAGGCCTACACTCGCAGATGCGGCACGCGGGAAACAATAAGTAACTCCATTCTACCAAGATCCAATATTAATTGGTTCATCTTCCAAAGTTCCATTCCAAATGGACGGATGTCGGTTTACTTAGTGCTATCATGTAGAGCCTAGCGGACGGCTCCCGAATTATGCATAGTAAGTCGCGTCAGCCACGCCAGTCCTTTTGTTCTCTTCCATGGAAATCATGATGTAGAATCGCCGTCCAACCTTGCTCGATGGCAGCGAATCCCAACGCTGCCGATCAGCACGATCACCCTAGATTACACCATTACCAGACCCACTGGTTTCACCAGAGGGTCCTTACCGCCACGCCACCTGCTTCAAAAGCTACTTTCATGCCGCTTGAATTGTCTTCTCTGGGCGTTCTACCACAGCGAATAATTGAATGGACCTGTCTGGTTGCAACGTGTACCTTCAAAAAAAATGTGCATTCAATTCCCGTCGGAGTCCTTGCCCGGACTGCCCGTATCACGCGCGCTATGATCGCGGTATTTTGCTGGATCCAATCTCCGTTCGCCGTCACGTCATGGCGGGAATCACAAGGGGACTCGAGTTATCATCTGTATTTATGTCCTGGCTTGATACATGCACATTGACGGAACAGAAGAAGCCTACCTGAATCGTCACTATATTCGTTAGCAAGAGACGAGTTGAACGCCCGTACAGCCATAGTTCTAGACATGTGAATGACACAACCAGGTAGGGGTTGACAGTCGCAAGCCTTGTTCGAATTACGAATCCCCATCTAATGTGCACGAAAGTCCCAAGAAGTCGATTGCCAAACTCGTCTGATATAAAAACAATTAACACATAGCATCCCTGTAGCGATACATCAAATCCCGGATATCAGCAATAGGAGGTCGCTGTGATATCTCGAGCCAACATTCCTCGATGAAATCCCAGTGACAATCATCAATGGTAGGGATCTCTGGACGCCTAGGCTTGATACCCCTAAGTATAGCCACAACAACCTGGTGATCACTGCGAATATCACAGTACGGCTGCTGACCCGATAAAACCTAGCGCAAATGAGTGAAACAACACAGCAAATATACGCCGTCGACAGACCTGGTATGCGATGCATCCAAAAGAATAAATATCACTGTCTAGTTTTGGTGGGCCAGGCACATCCTCGGTGTCGGGAACTTCAAAAAGCTCTGGCGCAGCCCATCGCACATTACTCCTGATATAAGAGGTCCCATTTAGGTCGGAGCATGTAGTCAGTAGGCCATAGTCCGCTAGCCGAGCTCTTCCACCGCTGTCGATGAGTACGTTGCTCTAAGAGGACGTAAGAACATTCACGTGTATGCATATGCGTTTACTTACACCTGTGAGATCCGCATGTGCCACTTCGTTAGAGTGGACTAAGCGTCATATATCAACTTATCTTGATGCAATCCAGATGTGACATGACGTACGATATTGAAGACCAGCAGCTACATCAGCAAGCTGTTACGACGGTCATGAGTTGCGGAGCGGTCATATTGAGGAAAACTTACCAAGCCGAACTTTTGAGCCTCAGAGAGACTGTCATAATGTTTATCGAGATATGTGCTCAAGGATCCGTTGTGCATCCACGGTGAAACAATAGCTGGTACTGGACCAAACCCATAGGTAATCCCGCACAGGGGAAGAATGTTATCGTGCTGCAGGGGTTTCCACTTGTGGAAGTCGTCCATTAACCTCTGGAAATGTTTTTATGTCACTAGTATTCTAGGATCTGGATCATATCAGCCAACCTTGTTGACGATGTGCTTGAAACGATCATCCGGAATTTCGATTCTTACGCATTTAACCGCCACCTTGAAACGACATTAGATTGCCAGAATTTAGTACGAAACTTATACAAACCTCGACATCATTGTCCTTTCCCGCGAATCTGCATTTCCATACGTCCCCTAAGCCACCCTGAGCAATAGCATAAGTAAACTCTTTGACAACTTTCGCAGTAAGATCGTTTAGGCGTCTAGATTCACTGAAAGATTAGCCAGACATTGGAGCTCTGCCGCGGTAAGAGGCAAAGTTCACTCACTGATTATCATCGAGGTTTACACCCGGGTGCGTCGAGTGCGATACTTCTGTTTCCGGCTGGACCCCCCATGCCCAATTTTTAGGCAACACACTAAAGATCCAGGCGGAAAGAGAAACCATGTGGCCGTGTAGCGTGATAAAATCGGACAAGCTAGATCTTTATCGTCTGACAGTTAGAGTAACTCTCCAGAATGATGCTAGCTTTTGCGAGATTCCTGCCTTTATACTGACATTCGAGGACGCTGGCTGTTGACTAGCTGTGACCTGTACGATACTCGAGGTTCGAGCGCCAACGGGAATTTCCACAGGAATATGCCGTGTGGTCAAATTGGAAACGTAAACCTCGCTAACCCCGCCATGTAATGATTCGGTCTTGACTCTTAATACTGCATTCTGGCACTTCCATACGGGCAGGACTCCAGTTTCCTCAGAACCGAACTTTCAGTACATGCAGTAAACCAGGGTCTAGATATGTATTGGAGCGTTATTCACTCAGATTCTCCAGCTGTACCCACGGTGTGCACCTGTGTTCTATAATAATTCACATCAAGAATTCATTCCGTTACACAAAAATCATCCAATCCATCCTATGCTCTCTGCTATGATCCCGATTGAAGATCAGCATTATAACCAAACGTAATAGTACTACAAACCACAGCCTACCTGGTGAGTAATCGTGGCACTTGGGACAGGCGCTATGCGATCCAGTTCGGCGAGTTCGCACCGTAACGTTGAATAAATCCCCGGCAGTGAGCAATATACAGCCTATCCGAGGACACAGGAAAACTCTTGCGCCTCGGGAGTTTTGAGGTTTAAACGTTAAAGAGCTGTAAGTTCCTCGAAATACACTGTACAGGAAGTAATACGCATACCTGGAGCATGCATGAATTTTACAAACGAGTAAATTTCACTTGGAGAGAATCGTTCCTCCTGCAGAAGAAGCAATTCGATGGGAGCTACTCGCTTTCTTTGACTGGTTATACAAGATGAAGTCGCTTGCAATCCATTGCCGCGGACATTGACCGACTCCGTAAGTGAAGAAACCGGGTATCACTCTTCTTCGACTAAACATTACTCGCGTCAGTTAATTAGATGCGCGGTAAGTCACGAATTTTAGTGTACCGTATCGAGTACTTACGAATACCCAGCAGTTTAGATTGAGTAACAAGAGACGGTGTACAGGAAAAAAATTAAGGCTATACGCAACGTCACAGAGCCAATACTTAAAGGAGTCTCTCAACAGATAACCCTTATTGTGAAAGAGTTTGGATCCGGAACCGAGAGGTTTCTATGCAGGTGCATATACTAATTCAGAGACCACTCTCGGCCGTAGCGTTACATCATCTTCATCCAAGACCCACATCTGAGAGAGGCCTCTCTTACGTTGACAATTTGAAGCTTTCCCTAGCTTAAGCGAGCGCTCTCATTGGTGGAGAGGACTAGAAGTCCGACACTATACCAAACAGGGATCATTCAACGATAGTTTTTCGACGGGTCCAAATACTGATGCGGCACCGAAGGGCAACATTGGGATGCTGGTTAGGAGGGGCTGTGTCGGGCTCAATGTTGAAGACTGGTTCTAAGCCAAAGTTTCAGAGATCACCATATCATCACCATATGTGCGCATCCGAATGTTGTGCTGTCAGGCAGATATCTAAAGTCAGTATCTTAGTTCACCGCTACCGAGTTCCGTATGTCACTTCATAGCTGGCTATGTCCTAGGCTTGTGACGAGTCGCAGACTTACGCCACGACATCACGATACGAAGTAGGAGGACTCTGTTGTATCTGACAAGCAATCCCACCACTCATCACGCAAGAGCCTCACAAAGTGGTTGGTAACAGATTATAGCCACTCAGTCGATCGAATGAATATAAAATCTGCACCAAGAGCTAGCAGAGCCCGAGTGCAGTGTGCTTGACATCAGCCAGAAATATGATGGTCACAAAATCAACCAAGAGCTTGCTTGAACAATTACAAGTCACTAACCGAAAATCTCGGCGAACATTCCTGACTTCTAGGGTATTTCTGGGATGAAAGATGGAAGAGGTTGAAAGTAGAACATTGGCCCATGTTTCTCACGCAGTTGCACGTTGACTGTGTGTTTTGAATGCAGCATGCCACAGCACTGACTGCGCTGACTAGGCGTCTGATAGGGCCCTTGGTTCACACCATCTAATTGAAAGCTTCTGTGGGAGCAGAATACGCGCCGAGTGTGACAAATCTAACCGGTGTAGGTATGACAGCAGATGCTGAATGTCCTACCACAATGCGCTCCGATGCAGACCCTGCTAAAAATGTAGACCTTCCTGCGCAACCCGGCGCAACCCTATTTCAAATCCGTGATGTGAACCATGTACTGATGGATGCTTGAACAGGTCACGATGCGTGCATTGCATTCGATGGCGCTAATAGAGACTGCAGCTGTGAAAAGGGGGGTGAGAACGTCATACACGCTGCACGGTTCTCAGGAGTGGGAGAGAACAGGGCCTCGGGGGTGAGAGAGTAGGGTCTAACGCCACAGAGTGAATCACAATCCTTACCTGATCAAGTACCACCGAAGAAGGCATATTTCCAGACTCATCGCCTGCATGATGCTCAGAATCCTGATGGGGAGCAACTTGGCTCGGCTAAATGGAAGTTCATTGAGAGGTACGACAAGCTGCATTGATAACACGTACACCTGCGACTAAGTTCGTCATATTTGACCCAGATCCCCCGGCAACGGCACCAGCACTCTGAGTCAATCCCGTAAGTCCCTCCTCCCTTGGAACAATATCGATCAGGAAGTCGAACTGGTCTGATTTTGCGAGGGCCTTCGCAATATCGGCACGGGACAGTGTTCGACGCTTATTTGAGTCGGCTATGATAAATGCACGAGCAGTTATTTCAGATATAAAAACTTGGTGGGCGAGCGGTGTTGAAATTTTACCCGACACAGTCAGGAAGAGAATGGAAATATTAAGTTTCTGTGGCGTAAAGGGTACCACGAGACGCACTTTCACATGCTTTGCAAAATAAGATGGGCGCGTCTGCTGCGATCATCTTTGTAAACGTAGTCAGTAAAAGCTCGCACCGTTTATGACGGAGCGACGTACCTTCACATCTGGATCGCTCTTCATGACTTTCTTAATGCGTGCGAGCGGTAGTGGAGGATGCCTGTAATCTGGCGTCTCTTGTTCTGCTGCGTCTACTTGCCGCTGCCAAAATGAACGAAGGAAGTCATTGAGAGGCTCCCCGGACTGCACGTATGGTGTGGTGGGTGACATTAAAGGAATAGGTGGGAAGATCTATCAATTCGCGTCAGTAGAGTATTAACCTTAACCCTAGACTAAGGGCAGCCCGGCTTAACCAGAGTCTTGAATTTTTCACACCTGCCAGAGGCGCTAAAACTGCAATGAAGCACTGCCTGTAACGAGGCAAAGAATTTTCGCTGTACAAAAAAGTGACCATGTGGTAGCAGCCTGCATGAGGATTGTCTCGCAATTGATATAATATTTTATTTGATGGTAGGGTTCACGCATAGTAATCACTATTGCTGCAAACATATGTACTACTACACAAGGATATCGTTGAGATGCCCCTAGATTTGCCGGTCTGAACCCCATGGAAACCTCTTTGGTATCGCATAATATAGAAGTAACGATATTCTGCCTAGGGGAGGCTAGAGAAGTTCGTATTGAAGCTAGCAAGTGGGGAACTCTAGATGCACTACGAAGGGTAAGGTAGGAAAAGCTTCAAATTGTCAACGTAAAGAGAGGTTCTCTCAGCTGATGTAGCTCGTTGCTTGCATGCAGGTGACCACTTACAGCACTCACCCTCGAGGCTCCATGATCAAATTACGCTTCAGCTTCTGGCCGTCAATCACAGGTACTGAGGTAACTGCTCCATTGTATCCAGTAACATTCTGTCATGCTAACATAGATGGATTTGATGGATTATTACTGCTGTGTTATGTAAATGGAATGTGGTTTAATTGCAGTGTGTTTTAGTTGCAGCGTGTTGACAACCAAACCCTGGCGCTCGAGTCACTTGGACAGACCTGGAAGTGTATTTCATGCACACCAACCATTCTTACTGTGTTCTACGGATTGCCCCAAGTGCAGTAAGGCAGTATGGCCTCTTCGTCCCTCATCAGCGTTCTTTCGTGGTGTCGGTCCATTCTGTGCGTGCTGTTCTCGGAGAGGCTTCCCAGCTCGGATCCAACCACTGGTAAAGACTTGAACGCGGATCATGGTAATGCTCCGAAGAATGCTGTTGACGGACCGTCTCATGATCGTTGTCGAATTCTGGAGCACAAGTCTGTGAGTGACTTTACTATGATCCTTCCATTGTGATTCTTCCAGTACATTTTCTAACCAATTTACGAAAGAACTGATTTATACTACAGCAGATTGCCGAAACTTTGGCTGCACCCGGACGTCGAAACTCAGTTGATGTTCTACGTACTAGATCCTCATCTAGTTCATCGAGTTCGCTTTCTGAAATGCCAGCGCAAAATTGCACCGCAAGTTCACCACCCCATGGGCCAGTTGAAAGGACACCCAAGCCCCAACTTTTCTCCAAAATGCTTCGGATACTCCAATTCCGGGCACTGTCACTTGGAGTATCTACCATCAGTTCCTCACAGCCCGACTCGGATTTAAATGATCCAAAAAACCGGTGAGGCCTATAGCTAAAGATCTTCAACCTATGGTATTGAAGATGACTTGGTTCAGAATGGATACCCTACCTGATTTGACCGGCCAATTGATCCGTACAAGTTCTTATGCCACCTCTTTCGGGGGATTGAGTGACATCTGGCGATGCAAATGGAACAGGAATGGTGCCATTGTTGGTGTAAGCGAGTCCCGAATTTTCTGAACGTGTCCGAGTCTGATGACGATACCACAGGTGGCTGTGAAGTCAATCAGGACTCAAGCAGTAAATGAAGAGGATACGAAGAAAAAAAGTAGGGTTCGTCAGCGTGCTCCATCCAATTCATAAGCGTCGCCTATTGGTCATTATAGAGGCTTCGCCGCGAGCTTAAAGTTTGGTCGCGACTTAGACACGATAACGTTGTACCACTGTACGGCACTGTGTCCGGCTTTGGCCCATTCGTCGCACTGGTTTGTCCCTGGTACGACAAAGGATCGCTTTCATGTTATCTTGAATCTCTTGGCGAGACTTTGTCCATGATCAATCGTTTCCAACTGGTACGTACCGTATGATTTGTCTGAAAGTTTACCCATGCCTTCACAGCTCGGTGATGTTTCCGCGGGTCTTCAATACCGTAGGTACCTTGTTCTGTTCTGCAGCATAGTCGCTAATTGTTGTTTTGCTTCAGTTCACTCATGCTCTGTTGTTCACGGCGATCTCACTGGGGTGAGTAGGTAGTTTGCTGAATTCATCGCTGATAATGATCATATCTGAAGTCCAATGTCCTCATCTCATCTGATGGGAGGGCCCATCTATCTGACTTTGGTCTTTCCGTCATAGTCGTGGAGTTCGTGGGCACGTCTTATTTCACGTCTGCCTTGAGTGGCACTGTGCGGTGGACAGCACCCGAACTTCTTGCAATTCCCGAAGAAGATAGTGCAACCATAATCCCAACATCACAAAGTGACATATATTCGTTTGGGTGTATCATGTTCCAGGTTTGACCAACATTCCTTTCATGTAATATTCTAACCCTTGCACTAGGTGTTGACGGGCAAGGCTCCATACTCCGAGTTCAAACGGGACGCACAAGTAGTGGTTGCAATTTCTCTCGGAACAAAACCGTTGCGCTCTGAGTCCCCCGCCATCATAGATCACCATTGGGGTTTCATTCTGAACTGCTGGTCAATCAAGGACTACAGACCATCTGTTCAGCACGTAGATGAGTACATCAAAGGCCAGCTCCACATCTTACAGCATGAAACATCTTCCGATTAATCTGTTGGGGCTGGCTTATCATGAATCATGCCTAATCGTACGGACCTTACTTCCTATTTTCGTGCAACAAGAACCATCGCTCATCATTTGAACTAAGTTCTGTATCCTCGGAAGTTCTTACATAGTAAGGACCATGCAATATTACTGGCCCCAACGCTTGATTCGGTATCAGTGAACCAGTCACTGATCGGTTATCCGTGCCAGGATGTCATCAACTGATGCAATGAGGTCGTCTTCTCTGCATGGCCTCGCGAATATGGTTACAGCATCCAAATCCGTCACGAAGAAGCCAGTGTCACGACACCTTGCGTATCTGACATGGATCGTTCTGATGGTGATCGTCCACTATCTAAGCTCACAAGCGCCGTTGTTCGTCTTAACCAAACTGTTCAGTGCTGATCACCTCGTGGCTAGAGCGTCAACCACTCCATCCGGGACGGTGAAGTATTGAACTGTTGCCGTGAGCGCTCCTGCAATGCATCTAAATCTTATTCTTAGAGTTCTGTTGAACCGGTATCTCAAGAATTTGCAAGTCAACATGCTAATCAGCACTCTACCAAATCCAGGACCTGTCGTCTGGCATAAAAGATGAAGTAAGGACTTGTGTTGCCCTCATCTTCTCCCTGCCCTGTTGCTTCGTGATGTCAGAACAGAAGGCCGAGTCACCAGTTAGCCCAACTCGTGGGTGGTCCACAACCTTATTTTGGGAGGCGGTTCGTCGGATTCTGCCCTCCAAGCCTCCCGAGAATGGCTGTCCGTTGGAGTCCGGTCCACATACCCTAGTGTGTAATTAAATTTCCTCCATCAAGAGCAGCATGTTGATTTTTTTGCTGCAGGATCAACCTCGCATGGACATCATACATCACCTGGCGGCATCAGAGCCGGTTACAAGCCACGAAACCGATAAACCAATGTTGGTGACCTAGCGATTCTGATGTTCCACTCTAAATCATGACGAATTAGTGTCCTACTCGTCATAGATGGTCTTCCTGACCTAAGTGGTCAGATCAAGAACAAGGGTGCCTTCGCTGACAGCAATGGCGGATTCAGTGATGTATGGAAATGTATCTGGGTCAACGATAACAAGCAGGTTCGTCTGAACTACACCCATCGGTCTCACACTTGTTAACTGTCCTCTAGGTCGCTGTGAAAGCAATCAGGATTCAGGGCGATGTCAAAGACAGAGAGAAGAAGAGCAGGGTAAGGCATCGACATCCCTTGTGATCCCACGATCTCATATTATCTTAGCGTCTATGCAGCGAGGCAAAAATATGGGCGGCCCTCAAGGATGTACACATTTTACCGCTCCTTGGACTTACATGGGGGTTTGGTCCTCTTCCAGCCCTAGTTTGTCCGTGGGTTGAGCATGGCCCACTCAATGTTTACCTGGAATTGAATAAAGATCTCTCTCTGGCGCAGAGATTCCACATTGTAAGATACCTAATCCATCCCACTTCACCAAATAAGGCCAACTTATATATATCCCTCGCTCTAAGCTCCAAGGATTGGTATCAGCAGTCTCATACCGTAAGCACTCTCGGACAAACGCCAGCATATTCTGATGGACGGGCCTTTAGTTCATTCGCAAGAGGTCATACACGGCGACATCACAGGGGTATGCTCGTGAACCGTAATATTAACTCGTAAACTGACATTTTCAAACCTACAGTCGAACATACTTATTGACGGACGGGGAGAGCCCTTTTTATCGGATTTTGGCCTCTCAGTCTTGGATGTGGAGCTCACTGGACAATCGTACTTCACATCCTGCAAGCCAGGGAATGTACGATGGGCTGCACCAGAATTACTGATTCCCCTGCCAGACGGATCTTCGTGCCGTGCGTGTATAAAGAGCGATATTTATTCTGTGGGTTGTGTAATACTGCAGGCAAGTCAGCCAGCCACCGCTGTGGTATTAAATTGCCAATCTGCATGTTAACTCCGCAACGCAGGTACTTTCCGGCCGCGTGCCCTACGACACCTGGACCGATTTTATGGTCATCAGTGAGAAGTTTAAGGGCGAGGAACCTCTGCGACATCCCGAACCTCCTATTGATGACCGCCATTGGCAATTCATGAGACGCTGCTGGCGTCAGAAGCAAGAACGAACTGTGACAGTGAAGGACGTAGCTGAATTCATCAAAAAAGAGTTGGACGATGCACGGAACCTTGGCAAGCTATAAAGTAGTTACATTGGATACTATTTTTGATCCTGTATTCGAGTTTCTATCAAGCGCTGAGTTATTAGGTTAGTTTCGCCGGTATACCGCGGCAGACCGCGGCAATAACTTCAAGCCCAGCGCTGCCAGTGGCGCAATGCTTGAGAATGATACTTATATCTGCCTTCCTAAACAGCAACCAACGTTGAAGCTTCTGAAGTTGAAATGCTCGCAGCCATTCCTCTTCTCAAGTCCGCAACCCGCCGATACACAGGCGAAACGAAGGTGCAGCATCACTAGGCGATTCAATTACCCACTAGTATTGTGAATTATGTGAATATCCTAATTTAAACTCGAATGCGGAAGCGCCCAATTGCTATAAGTACTGCTCTTCGCATTTTTCTCGAACCTCATTCCTGAGGTACTGGGATTTGGCCTCACTGTAATGTCTGAACGCGACGACCGTGCTTCATCGCGATCATGGTTTGGAGCCATTCTGGGATTCCTCCAACAGCTGCCTCTCTCAGGCTTGTGGCAAAATCAGGCAAGTTTTACTTTTTTTTTCTATGCTCAAGCTCGACCAGCACCGTGACACCCTTAGTCATTCGCATAGCTCTTGAATTCAAGAATATACTGATGTGTTTTGCATTCGAATTAGGCTGGGTATTCCGCAGAGCAGCGAGCACGAAGGTACCATTCGTTCTACTCGTTTCAACAGCAATTTAACATTGTTCAATTACAATAGCATTCTTACGGGACAAATAGAAGGAAAGGGACCATATCCTACAGCATACGGAGGGTATTTTGATGTGTGGAAGTGCAGCTGGATGAGGGATTCCGGGGCCATCGAGGTATCTATGTCTCAAAGATGTTTCAGAGTGCGTTAATTGGCAAACTGCAGGTAGCAGTTAAATCTGTTAGGGTGCATGGAAATGATTTGAACAGGGAAGGGAAGAGCAAGGCGAGTCCTTCGGAATCGGACTTCCTTCCGTGTACTCAATGGGATATCCAGAGACTGGGTACAGCAATCGAAGGATGGCTACGATTGGATCACGATAACATCTTACCAGTTTTCGGGATGGCACTTGGATTTGGTCCCTTACCAGCCTTGGTATGCCCGTGGATGAAGAATGGTACTCTTACACGTTACTTGGAGCAAAGCGACCATCAGATCACTGCCTCAACCAGAAAGGCAAGGGTGAGTGATTATCACACATCTGACGATTTCTGACCCCCTTGACGGGATTATACAGCTCCTGGAAGTCATTTCCGGAGTTCGTTATCGTACGCCTTGACCTTTTCTTTACTCGTGCCAATTTAAACTTTTGCGACAGTGCATGACCATGGCGTTATTCACGGAAGTCTTTCTGGGGTATGGATCACTCGATATTATCGGGTGAAACTAATACTTTGTTTTAGTCGAATGTCTTCATCGACGATTCCGGACGAGCATGTGTGGCCGACTTCGGAATGGCAGCTCTACTGATGGAGTTTTCCAGCGAGTCTCATTTCTCTTCTTCCATTGGAGGGGCGGTGAGATGGATCGGACCAGAGCTCTTCCAAGTGCCCGACAAATCAAGCAATTTTGTAGGATTTCCCAGTACTCAAGGTGACGTATATTCCTTTGGATGTATCATGCTTCAAGTGCGTATCTTTGCGCGTCAATCAAGCTGTCCTCAGCCTCTCTCTAGGTCCTTTCTGGCAAAGTCCCTTATCATTACTTCCACCGTGATACACAAATTTTCTTTGCGATATCCACAGGGGTCAAGCCAGTGCAACCAGATAGCTCATGCGTCAACAATGCTCAATGGGGCATTATCCAGCAATGCTGGTTGTCTCCCCAAGAACGTCCTACAATGGAAAAACTCCACTCTCACCTTATTGAACTAGATTTCTGAGCGTCTCACTTGTTACGACCTTACGAACTTAGGTACCGTAGTCCTAAGACTGCATGAACCGGAGATTGACGAGCTATATTTCGTTACTGTAGTACTACTGGTAGGTACTCACCGCCAAACTCGGGTTCCTGGAGTTTGTATGTTATCGTTTGCTTTGTTCTGCTGTATTCACCCGCAATTCTTCATATCCGTCGTATGCCCTGCCATGTCCCAATGGTGAGTGTGCGCAGGCCGCGTTGTCATATTGTCGATGCCAGTGTCACAGGCCTCAGCACGTTGCTCAACACCATCACCCTTCTGCAGATTCTCAAGTGTCAAAGATCACGACGAGCACGCATGTTGATGTGTCTGATCCTCATTGCGGGATGACGTGAGTTCATCTCTGAGTTTGCCGGTGGCGACGGGTTAGGGAACTTAAATGAACACCGTACGATCATATATTTAGAACACATGCGGCAGTTCTGAAGTCGCTGCCCGCAAAGTCTATATCGGATTTGGTCGCTAGCGCTTAATCATATGTGGGCTCACTATTCACGTTCGACGATGCGCCTCACAATAGGTAAGTAAGTACATACTTCCCTTGCATGACTTCGAGGGCAATGGGTCATGGGCTTCAAACCTGTGGAGTTGCCCATTTGAGGTACGTAGATTGTCCTCGCTGTCACAGGGAGCAGCGCCTACGTACCCTGACTTCAGAAAATAGCTGAACCCTGAAACAAAGTAGAGTTGAAATCTAAAATAACATTGGTGGGACATTCACGCTGGCACTGCGCCCCCAAAACTGCGCCAACGTGACATCATTTACAAAAATATCTGATCTATGACGTGGTAAGCATCACCTGCAGACTTGTGGGCAAGATAGGGTACTAAGAAAGTCCCGCATCCAAGCCATCTACACTGCTTAGCACTGGTACAGAGGTCAGGGTAAACCCGATGCACACATGTTTTCCAGACGGTGGGACGGGATGTGAACAACGTCGAAATACGCGAGCACAAAAGTTGCGCGGGTCATCGCTCCGCGCACTGCAAATTGATTAGCGTGGCTACCGATTCGTGGGGAGAGCGGAAGGCGTGGCTTCAGTGCTCGACATACGAGGGTTTAGTTACCCTACCTCCACCGGTGGTCATCTGGGTGAACATACCCAGAGATCCGTGAACACGTTCAGCATACCTAGCAGGCTGTAATTAATGAACAACCACAGCAGCGGAACTACCCCATCCGTAGAGAAAATTACAGCCACGGCGTTAATATTTTCCCTCTCCAATAACGCGGCGAGCTAGATGCAACATCTAGGTCAACAGCGGGAATTTGATATGAAGTCTGATAGAGAAGAGCTGACTTCTTGAACAACTGAGTGAATGGAACGATGGAGACGCACGATTTCTATGTACAGCCCTTCGTTTGATAGCGCTTATATTTCCATCTTGATATCGACTTCTGGTGATTGCGTCTCTCCTACCATTTTTTGAAGACGTATGCTATTTTTCATGGATTGCCACACCTCCGCTGCGCCTTCCCGTGCCACCTCTTTGGCCCTCACAAGCTCAGCCTCCTCAAACGACGTTCCAGGGCGAGCGCTATAGGTTGACCAAATATCTTCGCAAGGTGGAGCACTTCCTTTTATCGGCCCTGAAAGGGCAAATCCAAACAGGAAAGCAAAACATCCACCACCCTCAAGCACAGCATCATCGGCTGGGTCAACCTCCATGGAAACTATGCTCCCCTTCCTCACTCTACCAACAGGAACCGCGCAAACCACTCCACGCATCGAGATTGAGCCGGCATTAATGAGAGCGAGCGTGCATGCATTGATCTCGGCTGCGAGAAGGGCGTAACCCGGGGTCGGGGTCGTTAGGGCTTGAACAACGAGCTGGATGAGAGTGCGGGGATGTTGTGCGAGAAGACACGAGCGTTCTACGATCTCTCGTAGCGCCATTCCACGAGACTTCTCCGCGGTTCCTGGCACTGATGAGAGCGGACGGACGTGCACTTCGACAGTTGCGCGAGCAGGATGCTCAGCAGCCAGACGTGCCGCAATTGGACCACTGACTGAAGCAAGAGCTGAACAAGAAGGGCGGAAAGAGAATCTGGCTGATCCGTCAACACCATCAAGGCCTTCTTCGCATGATATGTTAATTGATCCTAGAGTTGTGGATGACATGGATGTCGATGGCGGTAAGTTCGATGGTAGCGTTTGCAAACAAAGAGAAGGTAAACCTAAAAATGGGGTTAGGGTTCCTAATCAAACTGAATTTGAATTTCTCGACGGTTACTGCGAGCTCATGTCTGCAAAACTCCTTTGCCCAGATAGTTTTTCCATGGCTGTATCGCAGTTTGGAGTGTGTAAAACACACTGTTACGGAACTACCTTCTGCTTTGACGGATCCACGTTGTTCTGCAAATGAACGAGGGATAATTGCCTTTGACACATTATATGGCTCAACGAGCCTAAGGCGCTCAGCGTTAGCGGAACCTTGGAGGGAATCACATACAGGAAATGTGAGCAGGAACTGCGAAAATGATTGCCGTTGAATACGTGAATTGAAGGTATTTGAAATACCTCGATTCGTGTTGCGCTGGCATAGCCCAACTGTAGCGAGAGCTCGATCCCGGCCGCATGGCTGCTGGCGCAAACATATTGGCTCGCCGGAAAACCTAGCAACCTCTCGCAACTCAATACCCTGGTGGACTAGTCGGTCCCACGGTCAGCGGTAGAAAAACTGAATTATATGCGACATAAGTAAATCCCTAGTGAAATAAGCAAACTGTACTTTCGAGACATCCTAAATCCTATAATAATGTCCACGAGGTCTTGTCTACGCTGGGGATCCCACAAAAACGTCGATAAGCCTATCCTCTGACATTACTCGTTGCCTCTGGAGTAGATAAGCCACTAGAATATCTTCTCGTAAAGGTTCCGCATCATACTCCAGTAAAAATGCCGGGTTTCCATTTGACAGAGTGGCATGCAATGAACACGATGCTATTGGTCTATCCAAATCACACTGAGCGTAAACCTATGGGATAGAAGGCAATGGTAAGGAAAGGCTCTCTTGTCCTGTTTTCTGAAGAAGAGTCTCACCTTCTGACGGTGGCTTGAAATCACCTTCCACACGTATGGACCGTAATCGGTCACCATAACAAAAGCGGTTCTACAGTAGCCAGTTCATGAATTATCTAAAGGCCGCCTCGCTGGCAAAGTACGGCTTACGTTCCGTCTGCAAGTTTGGTTTTTCGGAGCCATTTTTGCACGCTGATCGGTGCACCACCACTCCGTTCTGGAAATGAAACGGTATTTGGGAGAATTTCTCGCCGGTGAAAAATGGCAACGGTCCGCCCAGGAGTACGGCGGTCGTTGATTTTTGTTTGTTTCCCATCGCTGGTGATCGTGTACAGTGGCACAGCCGGGTGCGCGTAAATTGTGGCATTCTTTAGATTAGTGGTGGTCATGAAGTAGGATGTGGGCGGGGCGGGATTGACGAGCGTTGCTGCAGAGTCCATAGTGAGATGTGAGAGGGGTGCCAGTAACTCTGACCGAATAACAGAAGGCAAACGTCACTGTCTTATATCTTAATCGGATTAGTACGTACCTGTAAGTCGCCAGTTTGATATCTTCATAATGAAAATGATGATGATCTAGACACGTATCATCTATCATCCGCCGAGGGTCCTGTGCGTCGGACTCCAACATCCATAACAATCGAGTTTCAGACTCAGTATGTCCCAAGGTGTCCCGTCACGAAAAACTGGATGCCCCAATGTTGATAATGGACTTCGCAAGCATGGTTTCACAAATTCGGGAGAATTTGAGCGTAATCAGTTGATTCAGTTCGTTCAACTTCGGAACTTCGAAGGGTAATACCGGCACTAGTAAGACTAGCGGTCTGGATCAGCCTGATGTTTTCTACACGCCTTCGCCTAGGGTGCATACGGAGGAGGAACTTTATGCATACCGTAGAGCTCGTGCGGTATTATGTATGTGACGAATTGTGAAGGTCTTTGTCTCAGAGTGTGGTCTGTGTACAAATATTAATACTCCCACCCAACTTGACTTCTGACGGAATTGACGGAAAGAGACTAAGTCCGCAGTTCATTCACAGCTTATCTTTAGACTACTGTATCATATGTCGACCGTTCGTGCACTGTCTACGAGCACAGCCCGACATTTTGTTCTCTCTGGATCAAGATGTCGAGCCCCCCGTAGCTTAGCAGGTTGGATCAACCTTCGAGGATTCGCAGCGTCCACAGAAGGAGTAAGTCGTTGAGAACTTGCTAGGTCGAATATTATCTTTACAGAATTCTATTCAGTCCCTCAGGAAAACAGGTCTTTACGACTTTCATATCGACAATGGCGCAAAAATGGTTCCTTTTGCCGGGTATAAGATGCCTCTTACCTACGGGAATGTTGGCCAAGGTGCGGTCACAGTCGGCTTAGAGAAGCATCGTATTAATGATTTGTTTCTAGGTGCCAGTCATGCCCATGTCCGTACCGATGCCGGTTTGTTCGATGTTGGACACATGGTGCAATCCAAGTGGGTTTTGTTTTACCTTCATTATTACCGCACCGCAAACTGACGCAAGTTTAGTTTCCGTGGGCATTCCGCTACGGCTTTTTTGGAGTGGTTGACACCCTCATCGCTAACGTCGCTCGCGCCGTATAGCTCCACCTTATCTGTTCTCTTGAATGAAAATGGCGGTATCATTGACGACACCGTCATTACGAAGCACTCAGAAGACGCTTATTACGTGGTGACGAATGCTGGAAGACGGGACAGAGATCTCACGTGGTTCAAGGAGAAGCTTGAAGAATGGAATGCTAGTGATGGAGCAAAAGGAGGAAAGGTGGAGCACGAGGTCTTGGAAGATTGGGGACTTGTCGCATTGCAAGGTCAGCCTGACGTGGTAGATTTCTCTAACCTCTGACTGTGTTTCAGGTCCTGCGGCGGCGCAGTATCTGCAGAGCTTGACCTCCTTTCGATTTACGTGAGCTAACATTTGGCAAGTCTGCTTTCGTGCCCATCGAGGGTTTCAACTTGCACGTTGCTCGGGGAGGCTATACTGGCGAAGACGGGTTTGAGGTGGGTAATATTTGGCTACTTTGAAGGAATGCTTCCTCATAAAATTTTAGATCTCGATACCACCATCTCAAACAGTGGATGTTACCAAATTGCTCTGCAATGCCCCAGTGCAACTGGCGGGACTGGGTGCTCGGGACTCCCTACGTCTAGAAGCTGGCATGTGTTTATATGGTAATGACCTGGACGAGAGCACTACTCCTGTCGAGGCTGGCTTGACTTGGGTCATTGGTGAAAATCCTCTTTGCGTGAGAACGATGTGGTAAAGCTGACTATTTGTTCAGGCAAGGAACGTAAAGAGACCGGAGATTTCATTGGTGCGCAAGGGGTGCGCAAACATCTGAAAGATGGCCCTCCGAGACGCCGAGTGGGCTTCGTAGTGGATGGCTGCACCCGCGCGACGTGAGAACAGTTCCTACCGTTTATTCGCAGATGTGATCCTAATAACTGCTATCCAGAGGGTGCTCAAATATATTCATCCCCAGAAAAAGAATTGATTGGCACGGTCACGTCAGGCATTCCCTCCCCGACCCTTGGGAAAAACATTGCGATGGGCTATGTGAAGTCTGGCTTCCACAAGAAGGGCACCGAGGTTGAAATCGACGTCCGAAACAAACTGAGGAAGGCCATCGTCACCCCGATGCCTTTTATGAAACCAAATTATTGGAGGGGATGAATAGGAGATGGTCCTGGACATATTCTCGCCTGCTCAACTTAGGTGATCGACAATATTGTATTTATACCTAAAAATATGGATCAAGTTCTGGCTTCAAGTTTACGCGTGCGCGCCCATATACAATTACAAAGAATGGTATCATCCTTCAGCTGCAGACGAGTTCACGTTACCCTAAGAAAATCCATGGCTTCCCAGACCTAAGCGCTCCAACCGTGACGTAGATCCACGTTCAGGGAATCACGGCGTATTAACGTGATGTCCCAACACTATTTGATTTTGCTCAAACTTGCCCCCTCCAACGTCCATATTCTTTTCAGACACTCTTAGGCGTTGTTCAAGAAGCAAGAAGGACACGATGACGTCGTCGCGAATGAGCTCCGCTTCTCCTTGCATGATTACCGCAAAGTTTTGGGTTCGTGATCCCTCTTGGAGGTGTGCCACAGGTTTGGACATGTCACCCTTCCGATACAACTGGCAGAACGTAATTCACAGAGTAAACGTCAGAAAGTGGCACAAATGCAATGTGTCGCGTGTTGACTTACAGCCAGTCGATAAGCGGCGTCTGACTTCCAAACGTAAGTTCCATGTGCAGTCTCAATGGAGTGGATATGACTGTAGACACGTCAGTCCCTGGACTGAGCTCACTTACGCCAGTACACGTACTGTCCATTCTCAAGCTTGCTTTTATGTAACCATTTACTAAGGGATATTGAAGAGCCACCATTTCTGTCGGGAAATGTGATGGTGTCTGGCAGGATATCCCTCCTGTCGATTCGAGCCAACAGGCGGTTTGCACGAGCATCAAAGATGTCAGTGCGCTTGTCCGACTTTATGTCGGTGACCACAGAGTACAGAGGAGAAGCTGGTTGGTTATTGAATATTTTCGTGTTTTTCATATCCTCCAGGCTGAAATTGTATGATTTATGTGGGGCAGGATTGACCGGCGTTGTCGTTGACTGCATAGTGCGAAAGATGCGCGACGGTAGGTGTGTATGGTGTGTGCCTTGTAGGACTGTCTTTTATGGTTGGTAATGTATAGAATACAGCAAGTCCTCGAGGCTATGCACTTAAGACAATACTCGAACGTCATAGGTCGGAAGTTCTCCGGAAATCAGTACAGCCTTCTTGACACAGCTTAAAAATGTTCCTGATTACCAAGTGATGAACCAGTGAAGAACCGCGCCCCAGGATCGCATGTGCACAGGCTGAAATTGGTCGGAAGTACCGCCGTGATAGTTCTTGCTGAGATGCAGGAAACCCATAGAGTGGATTGCAACGTCTTCTAGAACATGAAACTCGCATCGATCTGAAAAAGGAGAGACATTCATTAGCTGAGAATACATGCAAAGATCCAGATTCCTACCCATCGGCGGGTGTGTACTAACATAAGAGAGACCCCGACATCCGACGGCCACAGTTGTGTTTGGTCTGTGGCCGTCGACAGCTCTCTCTCACACACACCGATGGGCATTATAGGAGTCTGGCTCTGATGAAGCTCATGGTGGAATTCAAAGAACCAAATTCAAATTCGAGTTCCTGTGCGTACTTTATGTTGATGTCACGTGATTATGACCCATCGGAAGCGGTTTGTCACCTTTGTAACTTGTTGCGAAGAAACCGCGGGCAGATCGTGATTGGAATGGTAGTGGAAAGACGTACATGTGTGTGATGAGAGTTTCCGAGTTAACTTTCGTCTTGTGGTGAGGTCCGGAGTCCGAACAAGTCTAAGCGTCTGCAATTTTAATTTACGTCCTGGAGCTCATAAGCCCCAAATCACGAGAATGATAGACCTTCTAAGCATGAAGCCGGGGTCTCGCATTCTGGAATGGAGAGGACCGAGAAGAAACGAGACCAGACTGGGGGATTGACAAATCTCGCGCCGAGAGTGAGCGAACGAGACGAAGAAGGTTTGATGATGTTATCGAAGTTCGTGAGGATCTACTACGATCATGCACAGGTGATGATCTTCGCGAGCGTTGGGTAGGGAAGACAAAAGCAAGACATTCAAGTTGAACAAGTACGGTACAGCAAGGTGAAATTCTAGAACAAACAAATGACATCATACTTAATTTCTTCATGTTACTGATATCGATCTGCAATCGATCTGTGACATGATACGACGATTTCGACTACTATAGACGCTGTCCCATTTTTTTGCACTCCTAGGTGATTTTAAAGGTAAGTATACACATATGCAATCAATTGCTTGCTCGATTCGTAGCGCTAAGTGAGGTTGATATCCTGCCAGTAATCTAGCTGATAAGACGAATACGATGACCACGAGCGTAGAACAGGGAGATGCTCTTGTAACGTCCACCGATCCTCTGCATGTAAGCCATTTTTAAATCCCTGCCCAAATCTGCAACACTGATCGCGAACCGCACCGCGGCCGCTAACCAGCCTGCGAATCTTATATCAGAGCTATGCGCATCCTTCTACAGATTGGGATGGGTGACGGGCACTGGTGGAGGTATCTGTATTCGTACTGAGTCAGTTCGTTCGTTATCAGCTACATCCCGCTCGTGCTGATCAGTGTGCGGTAGCGATAAAGTGTACATCGCCCCTTCAGGCGTACAGAAAGAGCGTATCCAGCCTTCGCATATATTCGTCCTTCCGTATCCTCAGGCGGAGCCTTCACCACATACCGATAGGATTTTCCTTCGTCGCCCAAAGTTGAACTTGAAAGAGTCTGCCTGCACCCCGCTCTTCTGGAATGCTTTTACGATTCGTAACGCTGGCTCGTGCATACACACTCATTCTCAAAATGCGGTGATGGCAACACTGCTCTGGGAGAAAGAGAAGATGTTCAGGATTTCTCATCAAGTAAGTTGAGCTAGCATGTGAAATCTCCCTATGCTGATCTTGTTTGCAGGAGGTATCGAGTATTTTATTTCCTATTATCCCACCACTGATCTCTGGAAAGATGATCAAAGGTGTTCCGAATTGGTGGTAACGGCTCGACCCTGTCATACCTTGACACCCTCGAGGTCCCAATCATCGACAATACTCCTAACGAGGAAGACCTGAAGGACAGCATGAAAGAGGCCATGGAGAAGTACCCCAGTGCCGCTGGTATTCTCGTTCTGCGGCACGGTATCTATGTCTGGGGTATGTCATCAGCCATCATCTTGTTTTCTAGTGTCGAATTTACTTCGTCAGGCGACGATTGGCAGAAAGCCAAGACCCAAACAGAGGTCAGTTAACGTGTTTTCGGATTCAGGCTGAAGCTTAGTCATAAACAGTGTCTCGATTACTTGTTGGAAATCGGAGTTAAAATGAAGTTGGCCGGTCTGCCGACGGTGCTCAATGAATGAGCGCTCGAGCTTTGTGTACAATGTACATGTGCGGAAACTAATGTTTCATTTCCCACCTCGCCACTGATACCATCACAGACCCAGACCACGAGACTGCGGAATATTAGTGTAATAGAACGCTTGACGACATCATTTTCGCTACTGCGGCCATGATGTGTTTCACATATGCAGACTTCATTGCCGTTAATACTGGTGGGTGCAGGGCACGACTTTAAGGATAAGAATACGAGAGGAAATGCCGTTTCCCTCACCTTGGAATGAATGTCTATCGTTATGCCACCTCCTGTTTGGTACCGAGATATAGATCTAGGCTGTCTACCGAAACGCCGACTGCACTGCAAGCATGATGAGCATGGTGCGATTGCATGGTTCCTTGTAATCCACGGAACACGAATTACCGTGGATCAAAGTGGTAAACGAGGTGGACCCGTATGTCTCACGCGGTGTCGCATTGAGGTGTAAGAGTATCGGATGACTAAAGATGACTGGCATCGTTACAATATCGTTAGTGTATCTATATGGCTCTTTTGTCTCAAAAGCAAACTGATCGCCCTTCCATGTGCATCACGGCCATATGCAATGGATATCAGACAGCTGCAGTCAACTAGCAGTGATAGATTTGTCCAAGGTTCCGACTAGGTGTCTTCAAGCATAGATTCTCACGCACCCGCTTGGTAGACTGGAGTCGGCAAGTCATCACTGATCCACCTAGCATTTAAGATAAACGAAGTGGTTAAGTTGACGAATTAGTATCGTGGACAACAGATACTGACGCTCGCCCGTTCTTTACAGCATGTTTCTGAACACACGGTGGATATTAACACGGAGTTCATCAGATGGTACCAGAAAATGGACGATTTATCCTCCACGTTAGATAGTCACGGATTCAGAGCTGGTGACAGCAGCAGATTTGCGATTGCAAAAAAGTTCATTGACAGTCGACGCTGAATCGAAGGACAAGACTGGTATGATGTTCTAGCTGTCACCGCTACTCTGCGGCTATGCTGGCGCTGTTTGAAGACTCTGCCTCTCAATACCTCATGCCGATGGACAGTTGCTTGAGAGCGGATTGGACAAGTGAGGGAGAATATATTGGGTAATAGTGCGAAAACGCACACGACAAGGAAGAGACAAAATACAGAGAGTCGGCAGATGACCTTGTGACTAATGCGAAGCGGGATGCCGACCGTCGACCAAAGAAAAATCCGCGGCAACTCACTCCTTCAGCAACTGGATTGGGTATGTCGGTTGTCCTCGAGACCGTTGTCCAAACTGCAGGTTGAACTGGTCGTATTGAACTGTCGGTGGCCCCCTGCATAGCTGCTGCAACTTCTGCCTCGGCAATATCGTATCTCTGAAAAATCGTTTCATCGATATCAAAGAGGAGCGATGGCGAGCCACTCACATCCTCCCCGCGATAAGGGGCAACACCGGCAGGGCGTTTGGTGAACCGAACTCATTGTGGACGAGCTCGAAAGATCAAGCTGACTCGCACATTGAACATTGCCTCGGTGCAAGTGTAGAATCCATTGTCTAAGGCAGGGAGTTAGACGCCGTGTGTACCTGTTGTGCCTTGAGCCGCATCAGCGCCTTTGCTTCGTGCTCGAACGAGATCGCCATCGATTTCAGGACGCACATCAAGATCTCACCATGGCACCCATCGACCCTCAGAACATCAGAAAGACAATCGGGCGCTTTCGAGTTCTGATCGTAGGAAGAGCGAACGCAGGCAAGACAACCATCCTTCAGAAGGTCTGTAACACCACGGATGAGCCAGAGATTTACAATGCCCAAGGAAAGGAGGTGTGGGCTATGGTTTATACCCTGCCGCGGGGGTCGAGCACTGATCACTTGTGAGCAGATCGATGTTGCCGTCGTGGAAGGCTCGAGAATAGTGCGTGGACCATCTTCCCTACGAGTAGTACGCATGCACTAATGGACACTCAGCGTGGGAACCACGACATCACTAACGAGATGGTGTTCAAAAGCAATCCCGGTTTCATCTTTCACGATTCGTGCGGTTTCGAAGCGGGCTCTGAAGCCGAATTCGAGGATATGAAGAAATTTATTGTAGAACGCGTAAATATGACGAAATTGGAGGAGCGACTGCATGCTATCTGGTGAGTGACTCCCTCCTGAATTCTGCGCTCGTGAATTGTTGTCATACAGGTACTGTATACCGATGGACGATCATTGTCGAACGTTCCAGCGGGCGGAAGAGAAGTTCTTCTCTGAGTGTAACACTGGGCTGGGTGAGCTTGCGATTCCAGGCTGCCGTGTCTGTTGCTATGCTCGTGCTAATACACCCTTCAGTTCCCGTCATTGCGATATTTACCAAGTTCGAAGCTTTACGTCCAGTGGCGTTTGGAGAACTCAAAAAACAACTAATTGGGTTGTCGAAAGAAGAGCGCTCGGAGAGGATTGCCCAGCGTGTGGAAGAACTTTTCATGAATACATGTGTCTGGGATCGGTTGTGCGACCCTGGGAACCGTGCCCGTCCGAAGTGCTATGTATGCTTGGCGAGTAAGCGATTCAGATCAATTTGTCAGTATCAAAGTTGACATGGGATATATTATCACAGATATGAACCGAGCAGATACAAACTGTGACCTGCTAGTGGAATGTACTACTTTTGCATTGGACGACAAAGAATTGCGGCTGTGTTTCTTGTCAACACAGCAGTCAAATCTGGAACTTTGTATCAAGTGTGCTGTCGAGTGAGTCACAGAGTTGCAATTCCAGTGCTTGTGTTCCAACATCATCTAGAACAATTGTTGATCATGCACTGGCACATCAGCAATCTTTGCCGCTTCCAACTAATGACGAAGACTACCAGTTCCACATTGCTAAGTGGTTTCCATATCTCAATGTAAGATGATGATTGATTCAATAGATGATGCCTTGGTGATGGTGCTAATGGATGGTAAATATTGCACTGCTGAAACAGTAGATATTCTGATGTTTTTCCATGATTATAGTTACTCTTTCATGATAGCTGGTAAGATAGAGATTTGCTAAATTCGAACAGCATTGACAACACTAATGGCTTACTTCTGCGGGCTTGGTGACAGTCAGTAAGTGCATTGATGGTTTCTCATTCTCAACCCATGCTGATGATTGTCACTGGTGGCCTGTTGACAGAGAGTAAGTGCCTTGACCGCTTCTCATCCTTACATACTGATGATCCCAATGCTTGTCATCAACAGCAAGTAAGTGCCTTGATGGTCCCACATCCTAAACCCTTGCTGATAGTCTTGATGCCATGTCACTGTGGCTGTTGACAGGGAGTGAGTGCCTTGATGGTCTCTCATCATGAACTCATGCTGATAGGCTCCTGATGCATTGTTACTGTGGGCCTGTTGACAGCTTGTAAGTACCTTGATGGTGTCTCTTCCTGAATCCATCCTGATCACCCTAATACCTTGGTGCTGCTGGCCTGATGGTAGTCGGTAAGTGCCTTGACAGATTCTCATTCTGAACCCATGCTGATGCCTTGTTGCTGCTGGCCTGATGATAGTCAGTAAGTGCCCTCATTCTGCACTAATGCTGACGATGCTGATGTCTTGTTGCTGCTGGGTCATTGACAGTCTGTAAGTACATTGATGGTGTCTCATCCTGAATCTATACTGATCAACCCCATCCTTTGCCACTGCTGGGCTGTTGACAGGAAGTATGTACCTTGATGGCTTCTCATCCTGAACCCATGCTAATGATCTCAATCCCTTGTCACTGCTGGGCTGTTGACAGTTGGTAAGTGCCACAATAGTTTCTCATCCTGAATCAATGTTGATAATCCACATGCCTTGCTGCTGCTGGGCTATTGATAGAGAGTAAGTGCCTTGATAGTTTCTTATCCCAAACCTAGCTTATGATCCTCATGCATTGTTGCTGCTGGCCTGATGATAGAGGGTCAGTCCATTGATTATTTTGCTGAATCCAGCCTGATGATCATGGTGTCTCATTGCTGCTGATCTGTTGACAGAGAGTAAGTGCTTTGATGACTTCTCATCCTGAATCCATGTTGATGATCTCAATGCCTTGTCATTGCTGGGCTGTTGACAGTATGTAAGTGCCTTGATAGTATCTCATCATGAACTCATCCCAATCATCCTAATACCTTCCTGCTGGGCTGTTGACAGTCAGGTAAGCAGTACCTTATTTCTCATCCTGAGCCCATGCTAATGATTCCGATGTCTTGTTGTCACTGGGCTATTGGCAGTCAGTAAGTAGTGCCTTGATGGTTTCTCATCATGATCCCAATGCCCTGTTGCTACTCACCGGTTGACAGGAAGTAAGTGTATGGATAATGTCTCATCCTGAACCCATGCTAATGGTCCTGATGCCTTGTTGCTGCTGTCCTGTTGACAGTCAGTAAGTGTCTTGATGGCTCCTCATCCTGAATTAATGCTAATGCCTTCATGTCTTGCTACTGCTGGCCTGTCAACAGTATGTAAGTGCTTTGGTTTATCATCCCGAACTCATGCTGATACTGATGATGCCTGGGTGATAGGAAGTAAGTACCTTGATGGTGTTTTATGCTAAATCCATGCTCATGCTCCTGACACCTTGTCCCTGCTGGCCTTTTGACAGGGAGTAAGTGCCTTAATGTTTTCTCATCCTGAATCCATGCTTATAATTTCAATTCCTTGCTGCTGGCCTGTTGATAGTTGGTAAGTGTCCTGATGGTTTCTCATTTGGAATCCATACTAATGATTCTGATGTCTTGTTGCTGCTGGCCTATTGACAGTCGGTAAGAACCTTGATAGTTTCCCATCCTGAAGCCATACTGATGGTCCTGATTTCTTGTTGCTGCTGGCCTAATGATAGTCAGTAAGTGACTTAATAGTTTCTCATTATGAACCCATACTGATGATCCTGATGCCTTATTGCTGCTGACCTATTGACAGTATGTAAGTGCCCTCCTCCTGCACCCATACTAATATTCCTGATGTCTTGTTACTGTTGAACTCTTGACAGGGAGTAAGTGTCTTTATAGTTTCTCATCCTAAATACAGCTAATGATCATAATGCCTCACTACTGGCTTGTTAACAGAGTGTATGTACCTTAATAGCTTCTTATCCTGAACCAATGCTGATGATCCTGATGCATTGTTGCTACTGGCCTGCTGACAGTCAGTAAGTGTCTTGTCAGTTTCTCATCCTGAACTCAAACCAATGATTGATGCCTTGTTGCTGCTGGCTCAATCATAGTCAGTAAGTGTCTTGTTGGTTTCTCATCTGAAACCTATGCTGACAATCCTGATGCCCTGTTGCTGCTCTGTTAACAGTATGTAAGTTTTGCATTCTGAACCCAGCTGATGATCCTGATGTCTCATTGCTACTGGCCGGATGACAGAGAGTAAGTGCATTGATGGTTTCTCATGCTGCATCCAAGTTAATGAATCCAATGTATTGTCTCTGCTGACCTGGCAATAGAAAGTAAGTGCCTTAATGATTCTCATCCTGATCCTATGCCAATGATACTGATGTCTTGTTGCTACCTATTGACAGGCAGTATGTGCTTGTTGACTTCTTGTCCTGGACCTATACCAATGATCCAAACACCTTGCCACTGCTGGGCTGTTGACAGTTGGTAAGTCTCATGATGATTTCTCATCTTAAACCCATCCTGATCATCCTGATTGCTGGGTCATTGACAGTTGGTAAGCAGAGTCTTGATGTCAGTTTCTTGATCAAGTAAATCCATGCTGATTATCCCAATGCATTTTTACTACTGGCCTGATGCTAGGAAGTAAGTCTCTTGATTGCTTCTCATCCTTAACTCATGCTGATGATCCCAATACCTTGTTGTTGCTGGGCTGTTAACAGTCGGTAAGCATTGTCACCTTGATGAACCCATGCTGATGATTCTGATGTCTTGTCATTACTGGTTGGTCAACAGGAAGTATGTGCTTGATGGCTTCTCGTGCTGTTTCCATACTGACACGAGTCTGGATATTTTGCTACTACCACTGGTTTTTTTCACAGATGGTCGGTCCCTTTATTTTGTCTTGCATCACAATGACACTGATATGATTATGCTATATGACTTGTACATTTACATAGCCTACTGTAAGTCTCCTCTTTTTCTGGCAGACATGTTGAGTTCTTATCACTTATATCATCCATAGTTCGTTGAGTGTCCATTCTCATCCACACTTCCTCGTCTTACATAGTATTCTCATGCCACGCACAGAATGTAAGTTATTTGCACTCGTCATCATGTGTCAATTCTGATTGGCACTTTCTCTTAGTCTGTGAGTATGTTTCAATCACTCAGGATTCTTGCAATGGCACTTGATGATAGCACTCCTTTGCTTGTTCTGATTGCACGTTCACAGGATGTATGATGTCTCCTGCTCTGATATAATCGCTTCACTGATATGCAATTTTTTGGTCTTATATATATAGCTGGTACGTCCATTGACCAGCATATCTTCACTGTTGCAGTGCTAATCTGGTTCTAATTCCCTGATAGTTCGTAAGTCATGTGCTCATAGTGGTCGCTATCTTGTGGTTGATCATTCAAAACTATTAACCGAGCAGAAAGTAAGTCTATTTTGAAATATCAAGAATCCCGCCTCATGATTTTGACATTACTTTGTACCAGGAGGCAAGTCGTTCTGTTCGAATTGGTTTCGATGCTAACATCCACCCGTCTCAATAACTAGATCGCCATCTGGAGTGATCGTCTTTTGTTTGTCCTTCAGCCTTTGGTGGGCAAGGTTCCGTGTGTCGATCCTCACCACTCTTAAGAGTCTACAATAGGCTGGCAAGGGAACATGGTTCACTTCTGCGAACAGAATCATTCAGACTGGCATCGGTTAGTTTCTGACTGCACGGCCAACTACAGTTTTAATAACAAGAAGCAGCTACCATTATTGTCCTCGAATACTCCGCCTTCCTCCAGTATGACTATGCACTGGGGTTCATCAAGTCTGCCGTGGACCGTTACATGAAATCTCCTGTGGTTGCCGCTGTGGAGAAAGTCGCGACGGAAGTTGCTAATGGAGGCTATAAGAAAGAGGAATCGAAGAAAAAGATTCTCGAGTTCATCCTTGAAAATCGCATGCCAGTGTGTACGTCCATTGCCTCGTTTCAAAACGTGGAACTCGAAGTTTACCAGTCGTCTGCAGCGAGAACCTCCGTGGCGAAGTAGTGCTTTTCGATGTCCCCCCATGCTATGCCATGTTATGTACGATACCGAGTGCGTCAGCTTCAACTGCTGGTGCAAATTGTTGTTTCCTGCTTTCAAAGTTTCGATGTACTATGTACTACTATACCAGGCACTCCAGCTTCAACTGCTGAGCGCTGCAGACTGTACTACCGGGTTTCAACACCCTTTTTCGTATCTTATTATATTGTTTTCTGTTTTTGTTTTCTGTCTTTTTACTCTCGCCCGTCAAAGTGATCACTGGTCATTCTTACTTCCACGACTAGACTGCGATCTTGAGCGTAGGTTCAGTATTCAGTATTCTTCAAAGCTAAAGCAAACCGGTTTGACAACGGACACGACTGACAGCCCTATCAATGCGCGTCAGGACAGCACGCAGCCCGGGTGAATCAAGTCGTGTACATGAACATCTGGGGAGACCGACGTGAACTTAGAACGAACAAACTGTCGAAAAGGCAATCACAGGACTGTAATATCGTCTCGCAATTGAACATAATTTCATTGGATCGACAAGAATAAACGAGGGGGGACGAACTGGACGGCAAGCCAAGCCAACAAGAAATGAAACGGATGTATGTAAAGCCTCGTGAAGCTTAGGTATTGGCGCGGGCATAATATAGGTAGCGCTGCGGCCTAAGTAAGTTGATGGTTTGAGAAATTGGTTGAGGAAAATGCGGGCAATAGAGGCGAGATGAGCACAGTGACTGATTGTGCTCATGACAAAGGACGCACCATAAATATACTTCGTTTTGCTCCGTCCCCATTGAATCCATTCTTCCGTGCATCATCAAGAGTGCTCCAAATTGTTTGTTACCACCCCAGGGAACTTATGATGACATGTGTTCAGGTGCTGGTAATCGGGCCAGGGCAGACGGCGTATCACCAGTACAGATGAATATTCATATTAATGATGCTTGGTAGAGTGCGGACTAATTGGTGCAGTCACTGCTCATAGATGGTCAAGTAACAGATTCGTTCAGGAGCAAACCTTGTGAACCTGGCCAAATCAGTACGAGAACGGTGACAGCTAATGACGGACTTACTAACAGTTGTAGCTTTGCTGAATGCTAGAACGCGCGCCATCCCCGATTCCCATAGTGGAAGAGGGTTTCGTCAGACAAGATCGTAACAATTGTCTGTACAGCGATGTGCGGGAAAGTTTCTGACAGGTGCTTGACATATTGTGGTCATGTACAGTTTTATGCTTAGTCTGTGCGTCACGCGTCACCGTGGAATCCTGGTATGTACGGATGACTTTCGGTGCTCATGGCGGCGGTTGCATGTTAGGGTTAGCGACTCAATATGCATTAATTTGACATTGCAAATTACAAAACTCTGCTTGCATCTATGACCTTTGCGAAATTCTTTACACTGTATAGAAGTGTCGTCTCAATTCATTAGATTCTATTTCTGTGCTTCGACCACTGGGCCTCAAAAAGTTGTCACGTGGACGTCTGAATGTGACACGCAGGCCCAACCATACTAGAGCCGCTAGTTGTCGATCCTCTACTGTGATGAGCATGTATGCGTCAGAGCGCTTTGAGAGGAGCTATTATTCAGGTGTAGATAGCAAAGGAATGTGGCGAACACCACGCGGGAAATATTCCTTGGAATGTGAAGCATAAGCAAGAGGCCAAAATCCGAAAAAAAGAACTACCTCGGCATACGATTGAAGGAGAATTGGCAGTCCCACCGAGAAAATACACCGATGTCAAGGCAGTACCCTCGACGAGGTTGGCACAAGCTCCACCCTGGGAACTTTCAACGGTGTATCTTCAAACTCTGCCCATCCACCTCGCAGCCCAATCTCCACCACCCGCTCTACAATCCTCGCCAGCTCATTATTCCGTGCACGTTCTCCTTCGAGATCGCCCAAGCTTTCCTGGATTCTCTCCAGACGCTCTGTGAGGGACGCGACATTCGTAGAGAGCTCCTCGATTCGTTCGTTGACATCATCTCGCTGTTTGGACTGATTTCGAGATGATCGCCATGTTTCGCCTATTATTAATAATGCGGCCACTGAAAATAAGAAGCCTTCCGCTAATGTGTTGGCACCGTTTTCAATTGCTCTGAGGCACAAATGAAGAGGAATCAGACATGAAGGTAGCCTGAAAAAATGGGGCAGTACACACCTCGTTTCTGATAATGGCTTCACATGTTGTCTGGCCGGTTCGCCGAGAATATTTGTCCTCAGTTTAATTTCAGCCGTATGCATACCCTGGGCAAGGGAAATACATATAGAACGGAAGGTTTCGTGCCTATAAATCCACCATTCAAAACGTCAGTATTAACCTCGGCAGGAGTTAAACAACTCCACATACTGCTTTGCTTGGTTCTTCAGTTGTGCAGAGATGGGCTTCGCAACTGTCTGTCACATCTGAACTGAGACACTCGAGTTAAAGCATGACAACGGTTGGTCTGACTCACTCGAATAACGAGGGTAGCGAGTTTGACTGTAGCCATGGTGTTGAATAGTACAGTTCAGAGTCTTGATACTCAGAGCAGCAAGAAGAAATGTTCAAGATGCTAGTCTACTGAGCACGATGCCGAATCCACACGTCAGCTCAGCGCCGTCGGACCTAACGCCGAGAACCGGACAACCAGCGGAGACAGAAAACAAGGAGAAGGAAAGGTTTCCAAAGAGCACGACCTGCAGCGCAGCTTACACCCGCTTTCCAAAGACTCGGGAGTTGCGGATCGCTGAACCAAGTGTTCTGAACTTTTGAGCGAACCCGTTCACCACCCATCTAGGGGTCGCTGATACCCATTATGTAAGCTACTGTGGATCGTCAGACTCCAAGTCCGTTGCGTTATTGACGGCACTTTCTTCTTCACTAACCACGATGAGCTCGACAATGGACTCGACGTCAGACCCACTACTGGCCCTACGCCATGCGATTAAAACCAAATCTCCAATAACGTATGTCGCAAATTCTGAGCCTACAACTTCCCTTCTCGCTTCATCCCACATCGTACTCTCCCCAACTCTCTCGCTTCCAAAATCAACTCCAACGCGCTATTCAAAACCTGGGACTTCTGCATCTTCACCGTCCGACTTCTTTACCCTCGAAGCCGTGTATTTAGCATGGCTCCTCCGCGATGCGCCTGTTGGAGAGTATATGAAACAGGCTCGAGAGAATGGTCTTGCAGTGGGTTTCGTGAGCGTTACGGAGAGGAAGAGCATTGTTGAATGGCTGGAAGGCAAGGTAAATGACTTGAAAAGAATAGTGTCACTTGCAGGTGCGTGGTCCTGTAAACTCGACTGGGAGCTCTGACCGAGCTTCATGCAGCACCAGAGTCGACAACTCCTCCAGGCACACCTACCCACCCCGGTGCATCCACTTTACCTTTAATTACCCCGAAGCGCGCAGCACATGCTGCAGACACCACCACCACTCCCTCAAAGCGACGTTACGTTGCCGATCAACAAGATGTTGAAGTTGTAAAACGGATCAAGCAGAACGAAATTGAATTGCGGGACAGGAACACTGTACTACGAGGAACGAAACCGAACGTAAGTTTGGATCTCACCCCGAGTTTGTGTCACTAACCGCGTTCCCAGAATTTCTCTGCCTTACGAGTTATATACTCTGAAAAATTGAAGAAGCTCAAGGATTCAAAATCTGGGGCTGCTCCAGCTCCTGTGCCATCTGCTGGCCTTGCCATGCAAGTCCGCAAAGCTAGTATGTGCTCACTCCGAATATTTTACTCAAAACTCTCAAATTCCATTCAGAAAACATGTACCCGATCATCATGATTTCCTCTTCTCCAACTGCCCTTATAACTATGCACAATGTCAAGCGTTTCTTGCAAGAATCTCTGTGCGTTTCTGTTTTGTACGTCAAATAGCTTCACTCAACTGATGAGATACACTCGTAGTTTTGAGTCTTCTACATCGGCACGCGACCGTGCTGCAGCTGCTGGCAACTCCCGCGCTGAGGATGTCATTCACATAGACAGGCGACGTGTACCGCCTTCCTCATCCTCACAGCCCACCTCTTCGTCTCGCGGGGAGATCCAACGGTACTTTGTAGTTGATAGCACTGACGCGTTGCAGAAATTTGGTGCAGACGCATGGGAACGTGTTGTCTGTGTGATGACCACCGGCCAAGCTTGGCAGTTCCGTCCATATCGGTGGAATGAACCCCGAGCTCTGTTCCATCACGGTGAGTAATTCGCTTTTGGCCGACATTGATCGCCGATGATCGTCGGATGTTCTAGTTAAAGGCGTGTATGTTTCGTGGGCTAATGACCCGCCAAACACAAAGATCAAGGACTGGAATGTTACTGAACTGAAGGTGTGCCTGGAAACTTCCTCTTTTTCCTTCGAGGCTGATGTGGCATTGTGCTAGATTGATCCTCACAGACGACACATTGACAAGTCTGTGGTGGCGCATTTTTGGCAGCTCATTGATGACTGGACGATCATCAATAAACCGTGGTTGATCAAGTCATGATGTTTTGCTTTCGATCCGTTTGTCGGTGGCAGCGAGCCATTGAAAGGAGGGTCTGCTTTCGTTCTCAGTTTTGCGCTATTTTGTGCCTCCATCTACCGGAGACGCCCACTTATGTATCGGAATCATATTTCTTGTACTCGACGTGACGTGTAAGGGCAAAGCTCAGCATATCATCGGGGACAGGTAAATCGCGGCGATCATAAGCCATACTCTTAAGATATAAATCTCTCTTTTTGCCGGTACCCTAGATGGGCCGAGAACCGCAGTTATTGCGAGATTACAAAGTCCGAGCATGCATACAGTCGGCTATGTCAAGTCGAAAGTCTGCATTATTTCGGAAAATCAACATCCCATCTTGGTGGACAATGTACTTGACAGATGTACATCAGAAGTACGGAACCAAAGTCCCAGTCACTGACCTGGACTTGCATTCCTGTAGATACAAGTCACTATGCAATACGTGGTCCGTCAAGCCGGCAACATGGGCTCCTGTGGTGCTTGGTTCATCTTGAGCTCTTTTGTGTTTGCGCCCGTAGTAGACACCTCCAGCACTCATCTACCTCACTCCATCCAGCCTCGCGTTGTTCAAATAACTGCGGCACGGGGGATCCGATATCGCAGTCGAAAAAGACCACCTCAGTCAACTTGGGCAGTAATCTGTGCAGTTGACCAGCGACGGCAATGGGATCGACGATCGGAGAAACCCCCACAAGGACATTGGTGATCTTCTCGTTTGGAATTGTTCCAGAGAACGGCTCGCTGTTGACGTCTACTGCACATGCGCAAAAGGTCATTTCAATGCTGCGTAATTGCGGGCAATGATGTATGAGGTGGATGACTCCTACGAAAGTGAGAAATGGCGGGACCTGCTAACAAGCCACAGTTCCAGACCAGAAATTCTCGAGCTGAGGCCAGGATTGCGTCATTGTCTTGAGTGAGGCATCATCGATGGCCGAAATGCATATCCAATCAAGCCGTAACTCCAGTAAGCGATTAAACGACATCAACTGGGACTAGTAACTGTGTCTTCGTCGACAAAGGTACCGAACTTGAACTCGAAGTCGACCACGAGTGTCTCAAGAGCAGGAGAGAAGTGCTCCGAGAGGGAGATGATGAGATCTGGAACTTCCAGTGGATCATACCGGAAATCGCCGTCTAAACTGACGAGCACCTCCACTGATCGACAAGAGAGAAAATGGATGTTTCTGAGACAGTGATTAACAATAGAAAGTGATGGTGCACTGATGCGCACTCGATCGAGTTGGGAGGAATCCAAGGAAAATCTTGGAGTGGAATTGGGTTGCGTGTCGTTAATTTCGTAGTCTCACAGGCCGACAGACACAGATTTCAACGATGGTGAAGAAGCCAAGTGAAGAAGCGTTCGTGTGTTGAGAACCTCGGTATTAAGACAGAGGAGCTTCCACAAGCTACATAGAGATTCGCATATTACATCTGAACTTTCTTCAGAATCACCGCCAAGGGAAGCTACCAAGGCAGATTTGGCAAAAGACGGGTCTCCTGATCCAAAGCCCAGATTGACCGATGTGATAGACAAAAACTCTATAACTCGCGCGTCCTGCCATCAACCATACTGCACCGATGCGAAAGGAGAAACACGACTCACTGTAGTTCACTGTCGCGACATGCCACTCACTCACGTGACATACAGAACAAGATGAAGAACTACCATGCCGGTGAGTCATGTGGTTAAATCCCGGACGCATAATACTCATACTCACAATATACAGTATGCATTCGTGCCCAGGGCAGCAATCGCTAAAATAGCAAACTGTAGGACATGTGTCGTCACTGACAGGTATCGATGCTGCAGATATCAATGCTGTCAAAGTAGCAACAACAGTGAGGACAAAGGAGAACCGCATTGTTTGTGAGGATGCGATATGGGATCAAATAAATCTGAAGGGGACAGTAGGAAGACGGCTTGGTTTTATGTGAAGAACTTATCCATCTGAAATCCCCTTTCGAACAGATGTATCTGAAATGCCAGCATATTGCCACCTACCTTGTGAAGCAAGATCTATTGGCAGTTTAGCGTGGAACAAAATATCCCCTTGCGAAGCAAGGTCGATGCCAGGCGTGGCCCATAGTGTAGGAGAAAGCGACTTCTGCCAAAAGAACGGCAGAACGGCAAATGGCACAAATCGGCAGAACTCTTCTTCATAGACTCGACGTCTTCTTTAAACACAAAGTTCGTCGAATCAACGGGGACTACATGAAACACGTTGCTACTCATGTCATCGCACACAATCAACTCCACAGCGTTCAGTTCGCATCTGTCTGCACGATGACTGGCGGATCTGTTTTCGGGGCCCAAGACAGACAATGATGATATTAATCCCATTCAACATTGTGTCTAAAGAACCGTTAGTAGAAATCAGCGATGTAGAATAAAATGAGTAGAAACCTGCTGAAAAGACGACGATACAGTGATTCGTCATGTCGTCGGATCAACAAGATTCCACTCAAATTTAAATTCAAAGCTATCATCAAATCCTTACTTGTCAGATGTTGTTGAAGAGAAGTACTTCGTGTTCTTGGAATGCCAAATGTAAAGTACACAGTCGATACACTGGCAGGAGGACAAGGTCCGCAGTTCATACCTGGCTGACGGTTGTAGTGAGCGTCAAAAGGCGGTAGTGCATGGAAGGTACGAACGGCGTCTGGGATCCGAATGGGAAACGAGCTCAAGAAGTGCTCATTAGCGAACCACCCAGGAAGAAATGGGCAATATTTCCAGAGCCGCAGTCTGGTTGGTGAACGAGTCCGATGCTCAAGAGACCACGGCCCTCACTGGTAGAACTGGCGCTGAGATATCCAGGGAGGACGGGCATACACTATCAGGGTAGTAGGACGTGGTTTTGTCAGAGAAATGCAAGGGGGAGTTGAGAGGGGACGTCACCGCCCGACACCAATACCTGCACTGCTAGCAGGGAGATGTGGTCACTCTCTGTACAGGCATATGCTACCGCCATGATCAAGACGATCCGCGTGGTTTCGTTCTCTGAAATCGAGCGTTCCGCCGCCAGATGATTCGATTGGAAGTTCGATTGGTCTTTGGCGATAGCGTATGCGGAAGTGGCGCAGCCGAGGCCAATTGCGGCGATACCTCAGACGACAGCACATGGTGGCTGATGAGCTTGATAATGGTGAGAGACGAAGTATATGACTGCTTGATTCGTTGAGCTAGTGCTTCACGTGAATTGGAGAAGGAGACAGACGATTTACACGATAGTAGTCACCATTTGAGTATTACATCATGGAGTCGGTGTTCAAGGATGAATGGATGTAGTAGTGGTTCGTGCCTGGGGAATGAGGCGAACCTTTGCATGATCGCGTCAAATGTGGAGGACGGGGAAGAAGATAAATCTAGAGTCAGTGGGGGATCCGGAAAAAGTGTGTGTCCAGAAGAGAAGACGCAAATGATCGGGATGAGAAACACAGCCCTTCGGTCCGCTTCGGAGCGCTATCTAGTCGGAATCAGGTAGAGACCCTTGGTAGAAATATGAGAATGGGAAGTGGGCAGGTGGATAAAGTCTGTATGGCGCCGCACAAGTGGGGGACAGCGAAGAAGAGCAAGAGTCGAATCTTCGAAGCAGACGGCCTATTTGGGTAATCATGAGGCGCACAGATAAGTGCCATTCTCATATGGAAGCACGAGAATGCGAATGGATCTCCACGCGGGCATTTGCGCTTCTATGTTCAAGCCTACAACAAGACTACAAAATTGCGTCATACTAACGTATTCTATGTATTCAAGATTTCCTCCATTCCAAGATCTCCATTGCTCGAGCGGCAGTGAAATTTATTCACAAGCAAGCAGGTTGACCAACTCCGCAACAAAAACTCTATAATCACGCATCATGCCATCAACTATACTGCACGGATGCGAAGGCAGAAAAACAACTCACTGTAGTTCACTGTCGCGACATGCCACTCGTTGATGTACATAACAGGATGACGAACTACCATGCCGGTGAGTCATGTGGTTATATCCAGGATGCAAACTACTCATACTCACAAAACTCAGTGTGCAATCTTGCTCAGGACAGCAGCTATTAAAATAGCAAGCTGCAGGACATTTTTCACTGTCAGGGTCACTGGCAGGTATTGATGCCGCAGATATTGATGCTGTTAAAGCAGCAACAACGGCGAGGACAGAGGAGAAACGCATTGTTTGTGAGGATGTGATATGGGATCAAATAAATCTGAAGGGATAGTAGGAAGACGGCTTACTTTTATGAAGAACTGCGCCTGAAAGCCCTTTCGAAAGATGATATTTGTAATGCCAGCAGATTGCCACCTAAGATCTTCCTTGTGAAGCAAGGTCTATTGGCAATTTGACGTGGAACAAAGTATCACGGCTCGAATCCCCTGTCGAGAAAGTACTACACTGATCAGAGCTTGGTTTCGATCCAACCTCAGTGTTCGTAGATACCAACTCTTCCTGCAATGGTTGGGAGGGTGAGCCTGCACCATCAGGGTAGGACATGGCGTTCAGAGAAATCCGACGGGGAGCTGAGAGGGGACGTGACACCGCCGACATCAATACCTCCGACAGCAGAGAGGTGTAGACACTGTCCGTACCGGCGCACGATCAAGACGGTATTTGCGTGACCTGGTTCTCTTGCCGCTGCTCAATCGGAAGCTCCCGTATAACTCGTTCAGCCTTCAGCGATAGCGCATGTGGAAGAAGCGTAGCCGAAGCCAATTACGGGGATACAGGGACGAAGTATATGAACACCTATATTGCTTGACTCGTTGAATTAGTACTTCGTGTAAAGAGAAGAAGACATGACAATAAACGACTTGGGCGATAGTAGTCACAGTTTGAGTACTACGTCAAGGATTCGGCGTTCAAGCAGGACAGGATGTAGTAGTCGTTCGTGAGCTGCTTTCTCGTGGGGGGTGACAAGGAGGAGGCGGACCTTCGTATGATACTAAAGCGTTGAGGACGGGGAAGAGGATAAATCTAGAACTGGGGATCCGGAAAAAAGTATGCGTCTAGGGTGAGAGACAGAGCCCTTACGGAGCGCTGTCTTGTCAGAATCGGGTAGAGACTTTTGGGTCTGAAGGAGAGGTGACAGCAGAAAAAAACACCTAGTAAAAATATGATAATGAGAGGTGGGCGGGTGAACAATATTTGTATCATAAGGCGCCGGACAAGTGGGGGACA